AACCAGTATGGCACCCAAGAGCAGATGGACGAAGACTGCGCGGCATCGTATTCAACTCAAGCGAGTACAACGTTTGTTTTGGCAACGCCGACGCCCTGACCGTTACGACGTCACGAACCAAGACGTACATGAAGTCCCTCCAAGGTCACATTCCTCACGACGAGAAGGCGGTGAATATCAAGATCAAGTACTTGTCGATGTACTTCGTCGAAATCAACGAGTCGATCGATATTGAGCCCTGCAATGAGAGTCCACTCCGGACCGAACAAGAGGTAAGTGACGATGTATCGGCTGATTTCTAATGTTCCACTTAGATTAAGCTACTAGCGCAAAAGTACCGCTGTCAGTGCAAGGGATATTACCAGTCTGGCTGGTACTGCTCACATGCACTCGCAGCGTCAGTGCTTCAAGGCGACTATGACATCACCAAGGCGAACGCTCAGATCCCAGTGCGACGAAGCAGTGGACGTCCAAGGAAGAGTCGACACTGCTTGGATGCTGAACGACCCGACCCGTTTTACTCACGAAAGCAGCTGAAGAAGCGACTTTTGGCAAAACCGGCATTGTGTATCAAGTGGAATGTCGTCAACAGCTTCGAGTACGCTGATGAAGTCGACGGCCGCACAGTCAACGAGCACTTAGCTGGTAAGATCATGAGTTGGTCCAACGAAAACGGGACCTACATGTGGCGAGTACAGTTTGACGATGGTGACTCGATTCATTACAATATCGAAGACTTGTCGACAATGATTGAAATGTCTGCCACACTCGGTGTATCGATAGCATGATGTTTATAATGAAAAACAACCAATACGTTCACAAAAATACGTGATTGTTTTTGGTAGCACAAATGTTATCTCGTACTAGAATATTTACTTGTCTTAGTACTAGTAGTACTAACACTACGTGAGTAGTACATACCCCTAGTAAACCCCAAAGTATATTTACTAATAGTAACCCCAAAGTATATTTACTAATAGTAACCCCAAAGTATATTTACTAATAGTAGTAAATACTACTACGTAGTACTCCGAGGTTCTGTAATCCAACTTGTAGTGTTGAAAGGAATCATCACTATTAATAGCTAACGTTACATGTGTACTACGAAGTACTACGTAATAACTACTAGTATTAATACTACGAAGTAACTACTAGTATTAATACTGCGAAGTAACTACTATTAATAGTATTAATACTACGAAGTACTACGTAGTAACTACTAGTATTAATACTACGTAGTACTATTAATAATAATACGAGTACTACTCCAGAGTACTTAGTACTTAGTAGTAGTAGTAGTAGTAGTAGTAGTACTTAGTAATGGTACTTACTAAGTACCATTAGCTGTACTCAGCATTGGCATTTTAGAAACCATATGCTTTTATTTGCTCGGAAATTCACCAATGACTAACACATGTTTTTGTGCCTATTAAGTACGCTCGGAAAGTGTCTCTGGACTATTTTGCTCGAAATCGATCCATTCCAAGGCGTGCTCGAAAATGCTCCATCATTTGCTCGAAAAAACTGCGCACCCAAACTCATTCGTCTCAATCGTGCCACCAGTCACACCACGAAACACGAACAAGATTGGCAACTTGGCACCATCGGTGCGCACAGTCAGTAGGGCAGTCATGCGGTACGAGTTTGTTTCGGAGTTCGCTACGTAACTACCGCTACCACGCACAGCTCAGATTGTGCTGGGACACATGTACTGGATTTCCGTCTCATCAGCGTTGTACAGGCAGTCCAATGCAACGTCTGGGTGGTCAGCATGAAACTGTTTGCCGAAAGCAAGTCTTGTCTCCTCCAGGTCTTGCTGGGTTTTCTTCTGGCGACACACTCGTTGCTTGGAAAAGCCGTGTCGGTCAGCAAACGTTTGAAGCAGACGTAGCAGCTCGGGTCGGTATATAGTCTTGGAAAAATTCCGCCAATCATTGTCGAGGTAACGATATCGATGATTATTATTGGCTGATTTGAAAATTTATTCCCGCCCTGCTCATTCATCCAGCCGGATGTTGGTCCAGCGCCACTTCATCGTCCATGCAAAGTAGATGCGCATACTGGTAGCAATCAAGTGGCAGCGTCATATCGCACTCAATTGCAAGTAGAGCACGACCCCTTACCTCTGCCATTCCGCAAGCCCAACTAGCCCATTTAAGTGGAAGTCACAAAACCAAGTAACAACAGTATCACACATCACGGATAGAATACTCAACTACTATGCCTATTCTACCCACACAACTCCTGCGTCAGCGAGAAGCCGCTTCTTGTCTTCAGGAACTGCGCGAATGTTCGCCTTGATGGTTGCCACCCACTGTCCCAGTGGGAACTGCCACAGGTCGCGAGGAAACGCCGGGTCTTTGTCCTTTACGACGAACGACGCAGGGATGCTGACGTCGGCGTCGTACGCTGTCTTGTAGATTCGGAGTCCCCACAGGTTCAGGTCCCATTTGTGCTGCTCAAAGTCCCACACGAACTTGATGGCGTCGAGCTTCTTTTGGATTCTGGGGTGTATCTTGCCATTGACTTTGGCTGTGCGGAACCCTCTGATGTTGACAGTCTCGCCTCGCAGGGCCTCTGGCCACGGCTCATTGTTCGGGACCTTGAACAACGCCGGCATCGTTGTGTAATCCGACGTCTTTGCCTGGTCTTCGCGAACGAGTTTTGCCAGGATCAAGAGCATCTTCTGACTCTTCAGGGACGAATACGGATGCAGTGGACATCGCTTTTTCGTGGCTTTCGTTGCTTTCGAACCGGCTGTGGACGATGATGGTTTCGCTGCCGACGAAGCAGCTGTCGGCATCGCTGGCTTGGTAGCCTTCTCTTTGCCCTTGTACAGAGACTCGATGGTCTTGATGGCGGTGTCAAACATCTTCTCAACTTCGACCGGAGTCAAGAGCTTTCCTGCCATGATCAAGAGCTTGGCACGGGAGCCGACGGGCCGATTCGTGATTTGTGGGACACGTGGCTAACGGAATGCATTTGATTTTTTTAAAATCTCGTGTGTATAGTCCATACAAATACCTAGTGCAGGCAACGATAATAATATAATTTGACCTCTCAACAATCCCAACACAAGTAGTTACAGTGCTACCTACACAGCAGCAAATGACCTTGTGATTACTAGTTCTCGCGTGCTGCCATATAACAGTCTAAGCCTTTCAACGCCTGGTGCGCCATGGCCAATATCGAAGGAACATGCCACTGCGGCAGCGACAGCAATCTCTCCACCTGCTGATGCGCATTGGCGTGCTCGAATTCGGCGCGGAACTGGTGGCGTTGATCGTGTGACACGATCCACAGCACAATGTCGAGCTGGATGAGGCAGAGCGGCTCCGTGGATGACTCCAGCGTTCGAATCCCGAGGCAGATCAGCCGCGACCACTCGCGACGGAGGTCCACGTGGCACAGATGCCGCAGCATGAGCAGCGCGACGTGTTGGGCTGACGCGTCTTGCCACGAGCCGGCCATGCCCAAGAGGAACTGCCGGTCGATAAACTGGACGACATCCCTCCAACAACTGCCTTCCAGAGACCGTCTCAACCTCCGCTTGGTCACGTTTGTGAGTTGTACGATGGTCGGCACGTCAAGCGCGGCGCACTGATCGAGCAGGACGGCGGACACGAACCCATCGTAAACGGTCGCCAAGCGGTCCAGAAGCGCCAGCGCCGCGGCGGCCACTTGGCATTGCCGCAAACTGACTAGCCGCACGAGGACGTGGACGACTGTGTCTTGGCCAAACGGCGACGACGACTCGATGTCATGTGACGAGGTTGGGGCAAGCTCCCCCAGCAGCCTCAGCGCATGGAGGGCCACGTCCTGTCGGGTAGAAGAAGCCAAGTCGAGAAGCGACTCAAAGCACGTTGCGGAAACGAGTTGCCGGCGAACAAAGAGGGCAGAAGGGGGGTGCCGGATGTCTTGGATCTACAAGTGTGTCAAGTCAACCCAATATTGTCACGTCGATATATTCGAAACTGGAGTAGGGTGCTCAATGAGCAGCACCAAATCGAATTCACACATATCGATATATCGACCAATCAAAACCCACAACACGAATCAAGTAGCCAATCAAAAATTCACTTCTGGACCAATGCAACATTGAAATTAGTGTTTGACACTGGCCGATGGGTATTTACTGTATTTACAAAAAGTCAGTACAACGAATACTCGATCGATAGATTTGGCGAAAAGTCCAAATTTGGGGTAAAAGTAGACACTATTAATAGTGTATGGCGTTGCCAATGCAAAACGACGTACCAATGCAGTCAACACCTGGAGGCGATACACCATCGGGTGAGGGCTACGAGTGTTGGTGTTCGACGACGACGCACGCAGTGGAAACGGCACCATGGCGCTGGTGGTGGAATCGTAAAACGTCGGCGTGGATGCCGGACAAGAGACATCATCACGGACGGCCACCAGCGCCACGACCAAAAGCCGCTGCACCAGGCGTGTCCATGACGGTTTGTCGGCCACATGGAGCAGCACTTGGTGGCACGTGGGGATCGCCACGGATGACGCGAGGTCGCCTAAAAGCACCGCGTGCAACAACCACGAAAGGGGACCCAACGTTGTCGCAGATTGAGCCACCACAGATGCAAAGCACTGACTGCCGACGGCGGCGGCGAGGTCAGAGAAGCTGTTGACGACGGCACGTTTCGCTGCCGTGTGCCACTGCCCGTGCTGCAGGCCCACTGCCACACATATCATGGTGAGGACAACTGGGACGGGAACGTCGAACGATGGGTCTGTCCACACTTGCGTCCACACGTCGAAGACGTGGGCTGACGTGGCAGCTGTGACGCTGTTGAACGCGTCTAGAAAGTCCACCGTTGCGTGCATGTCCAGCAGCAGGGGGCGCGTCCGGTCTGCGTCTTCTTCGGGACCAAACACCAGCCCCAGCACGTACTCTTGAAAGACAAGGCGGAGTGTGGCGGTGTCCACATGCCGTTCAAGGAGGAATGGCCACAGATGGCCGACAAACCACCACCGGCCTCCACGTGGCATGGTCTGCTGGAACAGCCCGAGCAGGGCCACCACCGGGTGCTTGTACGAGGCGTCGTTGGGGTACGGCGGCGGGTACTTGTGCACCGTGTCATCGAGAAGCGGAAAGCTCTGCGTGGGGGTTGCGAGTTGGAAAAACGTTTGAAACGCGTCGGCAAACAGGTGAAAGTCGCCTTGCGGGGCATATCCAAATCGAATGAGCGCTTCGCGCACGACGGCGGCATGGAACGCCCCCACGACGCCGCCGCCGCCAAACTTGTCGTGGCGTTCGAGGCGGAGCAGCGCCTCCACTTGGACGTCGGCGTTCGGGACGTCCCAGGACTCGTTCTGCCACATGCGCAGCCACTCGAGGTTGTGCGGTTCCGGCTGGATGAGCGCCAAGTACGTGATGGAGTTGGTGAGCTTGGCCACGACCACGTGCAGCAACTCGTCCGTGCAGTCGTGTAAACAGGCTAAGATCCACGGGTTCAGCAGCAGGTTGCCGTCGTTGCCTTCGAAAAGGGTCTTGACAATCGCTAGGGTGGTGATTTGGTGGCGGGTGGACAGCGCCGTGGGGCCGTGTCCAAGCCCGCGCCGTCTGAGCAGGCCAATGTGGACCCGCATGGCGGTCGTAAGGGGGTGCTTGTCGGCGGTCACGGGCTCGTTGCTGTGGGTGAGCCGTTGAATCAACGGCTTGAGCAGCGTCTCGGCGTACTACTCACGGAACACGCGTTGAGTCACGATGACACTAGATGGTAACAAACTACATACCTCGGGCCGTTGAAATAGAAACGACACCAGCACTTCGTCGAGGAGGGTGGGGTAGTTGCACGGGTATCGCGGCTGGACGACTTGCGTGAGGTTCTGCATAAACTCGCGACTGTGCCCAAAACTGCTCAGTTTGATCCAGTTGTTCGTGTGGTCGACCACAATCTTGGCCACAACGTCGTCTTTTAGTCGCACGTCGATCTTGTCCACGAGACCTTGGGGGACCATCACCGTGTCATGCACAGCAAAGTACGCCTCTTCCGTTCGAGGGTCGTCTCGGCGCTTGGGCTTTTGCCGACTGGACCGACGCATCAGCTCGAGCAACGACTTGCCACTGGATATGTCTTCGCGGCCGGGATGAGTCAGGAACAGCACCGTGCCAGGTTGAACTGGTACAGCCGCCGCCGCCGTCGCATTTCCATTGGACGCGGGGTCAATTTTGTCTCCAACCGCGGATCGGTACTGGTCGCGCGGTTCGTCCAGGTACTTTGGAGGTGGTGCCCCGTCCGAATCTTTCTCGCGTCGGCCTCGTTTGCGGCTGGTATACCGATGATCCACTTCGTCGTCGTGTTTCCTCCTGGACCGCGTTGCTTTGGCAGGGGATGGCACTTCGGACGACGCGAGTCCAGTCGTATACCCACCATTCGTACCCGGCTCCATGCGTCGGGCGGCCTACACTCCAGCGCGCCGATTTCCAAATGCGTACTCCTCCGACCCACGGTTCGTAGACACTATTTCAGGTCAACGATTCTAAGAGGTCGGTTCAAATATAGACTATCACAGGTCCTCTCAGGATGTGAATGAAACGGCAACCGTGATATTATATTTTACAGTTCCATCCAGGGTACTACGTAGTACTATGGTGCACTTCATCTAAAGACTAGTTGGATTGAAACCGCCAGGAAACAACGTGCCGTTACACGACGACAATTTGCTACGACTGCCTGGGGGTGACATGGGTCAATTCGAGTACTACGTGTACGTAGTTCAACGTAGTACGTAGTACTGTATAGCTATTAATACTTCTACTCTGGCCAACAAGAATGGCCACATTTGCTTTTTGACTCAAACGTACCTCTGTTGACTTTATCTTGATTATATTATCCATCTGGTGAGACATGCTCATATTTTTTAATCAAGATACATCGCAGGAAACCGAAGCGCTGCATATATTCGTTCGCAGGTAAGTTAGGAACAGCTTACGCTGTTCGCGGTTTGCTAGACAAGTGAAACCTGTGGTAGCTCACTTAACGTAAGTTTCCGCATTTACATTCGTATTTGAGCTCACGATACACAGCTCCACACATTGAGTGGTCTAACTATAAGTACCGCGAAGCGACCACCTCTATATTCGGATGTATTTATATTAACTGTAAAACCAATACTAGTACTATACCTTTATGTTTATCAAGTTGTATAAACCAAAGAAGCTCAATACTCAAATTTAATTGGCTATTTACTTGGTGACGAGTGCCTACCACAACACACCATATGGATAACAGATATTTCAGATGAAGTCTTGAGTGAATTTACAGTTGAAGCTCGTCTGAATATTGCTGTACTTACAGTTAACCAATCAGAATCATGGTATTCAAAACGGTTGGTTTGATTTGTCAAAATAGTCACAGTTGACCAATCAAACTTCAAGATTTCGATTCAAAGTGTGGCAAATGAAGTATTCATGTAACGTAAAAGTCCAATTTAAGGTGCTCGATCCAATTTAAGGTGCACGCGAATTAGCCAATCAATCCTGCAAAGGCAGTTTGTAACCTACCCGCCCAAAAAATATGCAATTTGGTATACAAAGACTAAGCTTAAATTGGTGCACCTTAAATTGGACTGCTTGTTTTAAGCTGCTTCTGGACAAAGTGATGTGAGTGATAATGAATTATAACAGTAATCATATCACATTCATAACTCCCTAATAGACCTGGATTTTGGCTGATTGTAACATATACTAGAATTATAATCCGATACCTACGACTCGAGTTACTACATCCTTTCCCGGCAGCGTCTCAGAAAAAGTGTTCTGTTAAATTGGACTTTTACGTTAAGCATGAGCTTCTCTGCGGGTTAACGAGCCTTAAAATTTGGCTCTAACGTTCCAGAGTTTTCCCTGGACATCAATAATGTACATATGTCGCTCGCTCCTTACATGACAGACGTGTACAATATACACAACTCTAGTATGCCCATTACAGTATATTGTGTAGGTTCCTGTCAACTTCTTCACGTTGTCGCGTAGCTTACGCGTTGGATTCCTTGTGGTGCACACACTTTTCCACCGTCCGAACGGCCGACCCGAGCTTGATGATAGTTTCATGGTACTCGGCGGCGGGGTCCGAGTCGTACACGATGCCGGCGCCCGCCTGGCAGTACACGCGGCGGTTGTGCACGACGATCGTGCGGATGGCGATGGCCGTGTCGAGCACCCCGTTGAAGCCGATGTACCCGACGGACCCGCCGTAAATGCCGCGCCGCTCCTGTTCCAACCCGCAGATCAGCTGCATGGCCTTAACTTTGGGCGCGCCCGTGAGGGTCCCCGCGGGGAAGAGGGCGCGGTATGCGTCGTAGATGGACTTGTCTTGGCGCAACTCGCCTTTCACGACCGACACAATGTGCATCACGTGCGAGTACTTTTCAATCTTCATGAGTGCTTCGACCTTGACAGACCCGGGCACCGCCACTCGGCCGACGTCGTTGCGGCCCAAGTCCACTAGCATGATGTGTTCTGCCCGTTCCTAAGTTGATTGAGTACCACGAGTACATTTTTATGCATAATAGCCACCACAAACCTTTTCGTCAGCGAGGAGTTCGTCGGCTAACGCCGCATCGTCGGCAGCCGTGTGTCCGCGGCGTCTAGAACAGATGACATCGATAACATCAAGGCAGTGTCTGTGCCTACCGAGTGCCAGCGATCGGATGAGTCTCCACGATACGCTCGTGGTTGACTTTCACAAGCATTTCAGGCGACGCTCCCACCACCTAGGGTGATTGTGGACCCAATTTAGTGTCGTTAGTTACTAGTATTATTAATACTAGTAGTAAACAACGTACTTCCAATCCGTCGGCAAAATCCAAGTAAAACATGTACGGCGACGGGTTGATTACGCGCATTTGGCGATACAAGTCGAAGCTGGTCACGGTGGCCGGCAACGGGATGTTGAGGCGCTGCGTCATGACACGTCATGATTCACGAAACGTCCGCTAGCACTTACGTGAGATGGCACGGCTTGGAAGATATCACCGTCGACAATGTGGGTCTTCAACGTTGTGACAAAGTTCATGTACTTGTCGCGCCCGACGTTCGAAATGGCTTCGTAATCCACTTCCGTCTATGTGCAAGGTGAATAAAAAACACGGTTTTAAACAAACGTACGAGCGCCGTCTTGTCGTTGACGTGCGCGCTGCTGCTGGAACGAGCGAGCGGCGCGTCCAAGACGCCCTGGATGGCGAGGATGCGGTCACTCGCGGCTTGGTACTCGGCGTCAAAGTCGCCGTGGATGTTGACATGGGTCACCACCTTGAGCGAGTGGAACACGTGGTCGAACACGACGATCGTGTTGAACAGCATGTACATGCTTTCGGGAATCCCGAAGATGTCGGTCTGCTTGTCCACGAACGGACCGACTGTCGGCTCAAAGTGGCGCACGGCGTCGAAGCTGCAGTACCTGTACACGGCAAAACGCCACATAAAGATGGTGAAGAACGTAGATGACTGTATTGTACCCCACGGCGCCTCCCGTCATGGGCACGTCGAGTTCAGGCAAGTGGACCACGCGAAACGTCTTCATTTCCTGCTCCAACTGGACAAGCGGGTCGCCCTTGTACGCGCAATTGGGGCCAGAGAGTAGCGTTTTCAACGGGTCGGTGCCGATCAACGAGTACCGCGCAATGTTCTCGCCTGGGAAGATGGACTCGAGAAGGAACGACTGCTTCACGTCCCCTGTTTGCTGCTGGCGCAGCTTCAAGTAGACGCTCACAGGAGTGTCCAAGTCTGCCGTCAAGTCCAAGTAGATCGGCAACAAGTCTTTGTCCGTGGCATGCAACGCATGGAGTTTCTTCGCGTCGGCAAACGTCGGGTGGATGCTCGGCATGATGGAGATGAATGATGTCAAATGATGCCTCGAGGCGACCAATCAGAACACTCGACCCACGACACTTTCAATTGTTGTCATACAAATACCAAGTCATCGAGCTATCTTCTTTTCATTTTGGACATATTTTTTACTCTAAAATTACCCAAATTACCCTTGCATACTACTGGTACAGTATAATACAGTAGTGCAATATATGGATGGAATCCCCATCGACGAAGCACTGTGTGGACAGATACTATAACGAGATCCGAGTGACGTGAACGATCGCGCACTTTGCACAGGAAGCCACCGTAGCTTCAGCAACAACTTTCATCCGACGACGAGTCGTAATCCACGCGATGCTCATGATCGCAATTCCGGCACAATGCTTTTCGGATAGTTTCGGTCTGGGTGGGGAGGAAGTACGACGCAAATACACTTGACCAAACGGTACGCCGCTGACGTTGCACCAACAAAGCCGTTCGCAGCACCTTCAGCGAACAGACTTTCGGGGTTTCGGGGTTCCGCATATTCACACGCGTGCAAGAGGGCCGTTTGACGGTATTTATCTCGCGTTGAGAGGTCTGCAGATGAAGCAAGGGTATCAGGGCCTTGGCATTGGGGACCCAAAGCGCTCCATCGGTGATGTCACGCCGGTTTCCCAATCCTTTGCGTTGGTCAAGCGGGGCTCAGCTGCATGTTAAGCCCGCACCTGACCTTCATTGCCTTGCTCAATTGACAGCATCGTAGAAATCTTCACCCTATTTCGCACAATTCGACAATAACTTACAGTAATATTGCGACAAATGAGAATAATTTCTTGTTTTCGCACAAGGATTAGATTTGGATAAGCCAATCCGAGAAGAGAAAAAGCCCTAACAATGTCGAATTACTGCCAATCCAAGTGTCGAGATTGCCAGTAGGCGGCATGGAATTTTAGCAATATTTGAGGTTTTTTTGCTGATATAAGTAATTCCATCAGCAACATAGAAAGATCCAAACTCCAGATCCCAACATGAGCTCCGTGGTGCTAGTTCTGACTTACATCTTGGCGCTGTGTGTACTTCTGGGCATGGGGGCATATGGATATTGCTCGTGGAAAGCTCGCCGGGAGATACTTCTTGCAAAACTACTGGAAAGAAGAGGGGCCGCAAGCGACAGCGACCTGCTTGTGCCGCCGTCGTCGCCGCACATCGCCGTGCCAATCCACTCGACCAAGAACGACTTGTGAGTACGCATCACCGTGGCCACTATATGTATTTAACGCTTTGTCAATCAACTCTTATACGTATATTCGTCCCATTAACGGGCATGTGGAGCGAGCGAGGTCTCCACTGCCGCTACACCTTGCTAAATTTACCTATGCTACAGTTCCCACGTTCAGACCCGTCCACCGTACGTTGACTGCTCTTGGTGAAAGAGTGTCGTGGTGGGTTCGACTTGTTGCTGTGGCCCGTCGCCGCCAAACAGCATGTCGATGATGGCGTTTTCGTCAAAGAACGGATCGTTGAAGGTGGTGTCGAAATCCAACGGCGGCGGCGGGATGTTCATCTCCGGCGGAAACGTTCCTCGTTGAGGCATGTTGTAATTGGACGGCCACGGCGACGCTTGCCTCGGCTGCCCCTTCACTTCCACTGGCGACGTCTTCATCTGGTTGTCCTCTTCTTCTTCTTGAAGTAGCAAGTCCACGTCCGTGGGCTGCGGCGATCCATGCCCCATAAACTTGAAACTGTATGGTTGTTGAGGTAATTGCTGCATGGCATGTAGCTGCGAGTGGAGTTGCTGGTGAGTCAAGCTCTGGCTTCGCGTGGGTTTCATGTAGTTGCTGGAAGCGTTGCTTGCGTAGGCCTGCAATGGCTGGTGGTGCTGTTGGTGCATGCTCCACTGCGACTGCCCGTACGATGCTTGGTTGTGGGGCGATGGGGCATACTTGTCCATGGGGTTGTTGTTATCTAATCCCGTCTCAAAATCTCGGATTGCGTCCATTTTCGCGCGCTGGATGGTGGTGTCGTCGAAAAGGAGGTCGCTGTCGTTGTTGTTGCCTAGGATCGACTGATGATGCGGCGGTCGGTAGCGCACATGTGCGCCGAGAAGCGACGCGGGTAGCGACGCGCGGCGTTTCTGAAGGTGCGCGGGGAACGACATAGACGAGTGTGGATCGGTGGGGTGATGCGCATCGATGTGGCTCTGAAGGGACGAATCGTGAAAGTCGATCGTCGACGAACCTGAATGGTTGAGCCCGGGTGGTGTCCTCGCTTGCAGCTGTGGGAACGACTCGGACGACCGCCGGGACATCAAGCGGTTCGACGTGGACGACGTGGACGACGACGGCGACGACGCGTCAATCTTGTCGTGGAAGACGCCGTCGTGAATCTTGCGATGCCGCGCGAGGTTTCCGGCGGTCGTGAACTTCTTGCCGCATCCTGGGACGGTGCACTCATGCGGTTTGTCGCCCGTGTGTGTCTTGATGTGTTCAGTCATGGAGAACTTGCGTGTGAACCGCTTGCCGCAGTGGGGATGCGGGCACTGAAACTTTCGCTCCCAATCAGGGATCTGTCGTCGCATGTGGCTCCCACTACCACCACCAGTCCCTTTGAGCTTGGAATCGGTCATGTACGCGAGTGATGTACCCGCCGATGTATGTGTGTGTGTGTCGGCCGTGGAAACAGTTCTAGCACGAAACCGCAATCCAAGTGAGTGGGTCAAGTGAGTGAGATCCATAGAACGCGCGGCCGTTACGAGAATCAGTTAGAAACCCCCGCGTCATCTCGTCCGAACGCCGCACGCCATGCCGTCGTCGAGCTCATCAGCATGTATCAAGTCTCCGCCTCCATAGCTCCATATGTCCCTCCTTCGCACAACACCCCTCGACGCCGCCTCCTCGGACGGTCCGTCGTCGTCGTCCGTAGCCTCCGCATGCTACTCGTCCCTGAGAATCGACGGAGTCGACGCCTCTGATTGGTCCATCCAACCAACTTCAACTCTGTTGTGGCTGGAATTTTCGAATCCCAAAGAAAACAAAAAGACGAGTGCTCAGTTTTGTCAGATTGCCCTTCTTCAATCAATCGAGTTTGCCGTTGGCGGCGAGCTACGTCGGCCACCCATGCCGCTCCCTACGCCGACCTCAAATTGTGACAGACAGCTGCTTCCATCTCAGAACGTGTCGCTACCGCCTTTGAAGTGCGCTCGGGCGACACGTTAAGCAACACAGTTTGCCTCCTCTTCCTGTATGTCTGACATTCATCAAAGGAGATTACTCGACATGAGTCAACCTGTACTGTGTACAATCCTAGTCCATACCGTGTAATGTATATAGTAGATGCGGGGCCAGTATCCGGATACGGATAGTGTGGATTACCCTGTGCATACAATAATCAAGTGTAACCATCCCATTATATAATGTTACAGAGGGTTATATCATTTTACAGAGGAGTCCAAATCTATATATGGCTGTCTAAACCTATATACGCTACACGGTAAGAGGACGTTAGCTGTCGTGGGTGCGTTCTCGGTGGGAAAAAAGGACGATGAACCACGTAACAACGGAAGAGGGGGAAGTGCAGACAGCCTTCAAACCAATCACAAGGGAATCGCCACGGTGGTCGCACAGAGGAAGCGATGGCTCGTTTGTCCCTGCTTTCTCAGGCATTTGAGTGTTGTGAAATAGCATGTACATAGATGTACGACAGCCGTCAGTTTGAAGGAGAACTCACTCGATCGCTGACGCACGCACACATGCACGTGTGCAAGTGACTGCGAGCGACGAGAAAGATACCCTGAACAGCACGAGGCAATGTCTGCTTGTACATTGTCGGTTGCTACTCCCCCCACCTCGTTTGGCCGAGAACCAACCGTCGAAACCACGACGCTTATGTACGTCGTGGCATCCCGCCGCCCTTTTCAGTGAACTCCAACATATTCGCAACACGTTCACAGACACACAACTATATGAGGCATGCTGCTACTGCACGGCTCGTCGAAGGCGGCCAGTGGTCGGACTCACGACGTGCGGCACGTCTTGCGCGGCCAGGCGCTTCTCTGCCTCCCGCGCTTCGGGATGAAAGATGCACACCTGTTCAAACACGGCTCGCTGCATGTCCTCCTTCACTTCCGGCACGTTTTCATGCGACGAGTCCACGGTTCCGTCAAAGAGGTCCAATGTGGGGTCGTACATGAGGCCAAGCGACGTGATGTACGGGTGCGCGAGGGCCTGATCTGCCGTGAGTCGCGACTGCGGGTCCAGCGTCAGCAGCTTCGCGAGCAGGTCGATGGCAAGGACGTTGGTCTGCGGGTACAACTCGGAGAACGCCAGCGCCGGGCGGTACGTTTGCTTCTCGACCCAGCGCTGCGCCGCGGGCTTGAGGAGGCGGTCGATGTACGCCGACGACGGCGTTCCCAACACGTTGAAGATTTTGCCCAGCTGGTTCACCGTGCTGCTGCCAGGGAACAGCGGCTTCCGTCCGAGCATTTCCGCCTTCGTACGTACACACACAGATTTGGGTTATCTGCGACACGGTGCTTGATGCATATTCAGGGGGACGACAGTACATACCATGATGCACCCCGCAGACCACATGTCGATGGACGCGCCGTACCGAGATCCGTCCAGCAGCACTTCGGGCGCTCGGTACCACCTTGTGACAACGTACTCGGTCAAGTTGGCGTGGACTGGCGCCACGACATCCAACGACCGCGCCAGCCCCAGGTCGCATATCTATCGATATCAACATCAATCCATCATATATAGTCAGTCATGCACAATAAGTAGAATGTGTGACAGAGTGTACTTTGAGTTCGCATTGCGTGGTGAGCAAGATATTGGACGGTTTCAAATCGCGGTGAAAAATGTTGGCCGAGTGCAGGTACTTGAGTGCTCGAAACATTTGCAGCATAAAGTACCCGACGTGCTGGTCGCTCAGCGTTTGCGTCGAGTGAATCACGCGATGGAGGTCCGTCTCCATGAGGTCCGTGACCAAGTAGATGTCTTCCATCTCGAGGCACCGCGTCGGGCGCAGTACGTCCCACAGCCGGATCACGTGCGGGTGCTTTAGCTGCCGCAGCAGACACAGCTCCCGCAGGATCCGCTTGGTGTCGAGCAGTTCGCGGAATGCCTGCGGCACCTTCTTGATGGCGACGGATGCCCCCGAGTGCGTGTCACTGGCGGCAATCACCTCGCCATACGAGCCCGACCCGAGCACTTTGATCACTTGGTACCGCTTGGGGATGTCGAACAGAGACTTTTTGCCCATGATCACATAGTTGTCGCGCACATCCACGTCCGAGATGCTCACGGACCGAAACAACGACGGCATGTTCACTTCGAGGCCGTGGACGTTTGACGCCTTGACTTGGGAGTCTTGGGTGCTACCCACGAAAATCGTCATCACACAGATAGATAGATGGGAATCTTGTGCATTTCCCATGAACACAAGTACCTAAAGTACTCCCGCATGCGCTCGGTGGCGTCGTGGTCTGCCGCCGCGTACATGGCCGTCCCGTTTGCGGCCGACGACGACGTCGCATGCGGAGCAAACACGATGCTCATTTGAAGCTTCCCTCGAAACACCGTCGGGGGCGCCCACCATTCCTTGCAGTCGTTGTAGATGTCGCACAAGTTGTACCTATTCAGTTTGTCACAAATCGCTGTGACGCTGCCACGTCATATCACAAGTGGCACAAATCCAATGGCTGTGACGCTGCCACGTCATATCACAAGTGGCACAAGTAGTGACCATGCCCATCAAATTAATTCGTACCATCGAACGAATAATGGTGCATTCATAACATGTGATATCGTGATATGATCATTTTAGTGCCATCTGCGACGTGGTACACGTACCACCGAGAGAGGGCGCCCGTGGCCTTGGCTTCGGCCGACCCAGCCAAGAGCGCCATGTGCGGACTCAAGTTGACTTTGCACACGCCAATCAGCACGTCCGACTTCATGAACCGGCTTTGGTACACCTCGATGCGTAGAAAGTACTGACCGCCGCGGGGGCAGCCCGGAAATGCCAGCCGGACGTTCGAGTTCCACTCGGGGGCGTCTGTGTGGTACACGATCTGGGTCACGCAACCGCTCTTGTCGCCAAACGACGCGAACGGCCGCTCCATGGACGTTCCCGTGACCCGTTGAATCCCCCGCAGCAACCGTGTGGCGGGGCTCGGCGTGCTTAGCTTGACGTCGCCCGACTCCTTGGTCGTGAGTCCGTCCAGGGTGCGCTCGATGTGCGTGCCTTCGTCCAGCACACACCGCACGTATACCCCTCGGTTCTTGTCGGGCGCGTCGACGAACCCGAGCGAGTGCGCCTTGAGCAGCTGCACGTAGAACGTACCAGGGGGGATGCTCTGGTGGATGGACGAGGTCTCTCCAGGTAAAATCAACCGAAGCCCTTTTCCCTACTCAAGAAGTATGTAAATCGTTACATGATCATCTCAAAGCCATTCTGTATGTATAATCGGCACGATATGCTAATAGACCGTCAAGAGACTTGTGATATTGTATAAGACTATATACCTTGTCGCAGGCGTCAAACGCTACGGAGAGCGCGACCGAGTCGCCGTTGACATGCCACCGCACCAACCGGTCCTTGTAGTCGAGCCACAGTTCGTGCACAAACAGCTGCGTCACTCGACGTAGGGCGTCTCCACTAGTACTGGAGCTCCCGTCCGACGACGTTGGCTGCTTGATCGCTAGCGTTTCTTTGCCAGTGACCACGAGGCGTTTGGTGTGCGGAATCATCGCGGGACTGACGGGGGCAAGTGTGCAGTCGACGGGTGTGGTGTCTGGAAGGAGCTGGACGCAGTCGGCCATTTCAAACGATTCAACGTCCACAGTCTCCAAGAGAGCCGAAATGAACAGCAGCAGGCCATCGTACCGTCGGTATTGGCCCCAGAACGGCACAATGGGAGGGTAGTTGGACGTGAGCAGTACGTCCGGGTGAATGTTGCGGCACAGCATGGGAAAGTCTGAGATTTCTTCACGAAGTAGACTCGACAGCAGCGAGTAAAACACGGGCACGTCCATCGGCTGCGATCCAAACGCAATGTAGTCGTCGGCGACCGATCGGTTGCCTTTGACCAGTTGCAGCTACGATCAGTATGCAAAGTAGAAACGTTAGTGCTGCAGAATACGATGAATATAGCTAGCTAGCTTGCTACGTACTCGAATGGCGCGAATCCACTGCTCCTTTTCAAACGCCGTCCGCGACGCCAAGTGCTGCGTCTTGTGGCCTTCCGTTTTGATGGCAAAGCCGTGCGGTTTCGCCACGTCATCGTTCACTTCCAGTAGGATAACGCGAACTTTGAGCCCTACGTCCGCCATGAAGTCTTCACGCGAGTCGTATATCGCCAGCGTCAGCCCCTCCAACACGCAGTAGCAGCTCTTCCATGCCGCCAGCAAGTCGCCTTTCTTGCTCAAATACCCCTCGAACGCAATGCCACCCAGCGAGTCCTTGTTCATGTGGTACCTCAATGTGTTGGAGCGCTTTCGTGTGGGCAGGTCGTCCAAGTTGTTGAGGCCATCGTCAGGAACGTGATAGCTGAAGGTGTGGACGGGTACGGGCGGCGGCGGCGGTGTCGCAGCGGGCGGAGCATCGAATTCCTCGGGCACGGACTCCACAGGCGTCCGTGGCACTACATACGAAGGGTTGTCTTCTTTTTCTTCAAGGTCGCCAGGCTCGAGGTGCTGTCGTCGCAAAGCGGCCAATACCACGTCTTCGTGGTCGCCGTCAAATATGCTATTCTTGCGGCGAGGACGTAAAGGGACCTTTTCTTCTGGTTGCAGAAGCTCTTGGATGTTTCGGAGGATGCGGTACAGGATCGAGCGCTCGACGTGCCTCGTACGAGGGGTCCGTGGGTCGCTCGACAGCGTCAAGCGAACTTGGTCGGTGTGACGCAACTGTTCGACTTGCAGCAGCACCTGATGTGGGCCCCATGTATCCACTTTGGCTAAGGCTACGCCTTGCCATTGGGGCAAAGGTGCCAGCACTGTCATCATCGTGAGATGAATTGCCAGCAGGTCTTTCAGGTCCTGCCCGTCCGACAACGAAAGCGAGAGCGAGATTGGCGCGTCAGTCTTCTGCTGCATATTTGGAGTGATTTCCTTCAACGGCGGCGGCAGTAGGAAGTCCACATCCTTGTGCGGCGATTGAACTGCACCGAATTCTTCGTCGAGCGTCGGATGGCGGGCCAGCATCGTCGTGTGTATATTTTGGCCGCAGGCGAACATTTGAACGAGCGACCGGATAATTTACCAACAACCGGACGGGAGTTAACAACAATCCAACCTTTTTGCAATCTTCAATCATGTCGCTGCGATGGTCGTGGCTAGCGCGATCAATGTTGGCATGCTCTGGTCCTTTGGACAGGTACTGACAGTCGACTTGCACAAGCAAGTAACCCGTCTGATATCATGGTTTCGTAAGATCTCCTGTAAATCGATCCAATGGCTACTGTACATCGACATCGTGGTGTGACTCACATCACGGTGTGAGTCCATCGGCATTCGAATTGACGACGCGGCCCCAAGTTATGGGGTCAATACCTTCGCCGCATGGGTTTTTGGAGTTTGCCACAGCGTACAGTGGTTACGCGAGGATTCCTCTTGAGCTCAACGAGATCCTGCACCACATGGACGTCGAATTGTTTCTCGATAGCGACGCAGACTCTTGGCAACCTGGCCATTTTCCAACATTGCATGCAAGTCAACATCTTTGACGTGGCTTGTACCCACCTCTTTTCCGAAGTGGAGTCCATTCAAGACTGGGTGCATACGGAGAGACACCACGGCCGGTTGTGTGCGCCATTGCCATTTGATGATTAAGGCGTACAAGAATGCCTCAGCTTGACCGACACCTCTGGTCAAACCCTGCATCACTGCAAGCAAATACAGTCGATGACGGAGTAATTTTAGCTGCGCCACATCACGCCAGGTCAATCGTATGTGGCCCAGACGTACGTCCAATCTCCGTCGACGCTGCGTTGTCACGTCCACACAAGCGATGTTGCCACATATCATTTGCCTACAATCCTGTTCAAATCACATCACCGCGGCATGGTGCCAACATTCTTTCCACTGCACTTGATATCGATTGGGCAACAGTAGCCGAGTATTCTGTCGACCCCAACTGCATCTACTTGAACGACACACAATGGACATGTGTGCGAGCGATGCCACCAGCATCACTCTGCGCGACATGACAAGTGGTAGCTTAACACTCCGAGTCACAATTTCCGTTGCGTCTAGTCCAATCATTTCAGCTCAAGTGATGGATGCAAAGTCGACTTTGCAAGTGGCGTTTGTCATAGCTTGCGACGTAGTGTATGCACTCTCACAATGACTTTTGACATTAACAATTGTTGTACGGTGCGTTGGCACATGTAAAATTGGCAGCTGGCCAACTTAAACGGGTCGATACATTTCTGGGAGCCGTCCGCAGCCATTGAAATCTACGACCTTGGCTGTCCCCGGCGTCTCGAGATGAAATCGCGTTGTGGAGACATACGACACTGCTTTGGATGCCCTTTGAATCCCTTCCACCTCATTTTAAGGACCTTCGTCGAGCCTACGATTTCAAACCATGGGGGCTATTCGAAGCCTTGCAGCGCGCGGAGCATGTCCTTAGGATTGATGCCAACATGGATCTCTGTCACCCGATCGACGACGTTCGAGCAATCTTAAACCCACGGGGTATTCTACACGATTCAGCGCCAACGCTTCCCCAAAACTCGGTTTCACGCAATGGAGACCATCATCCAGCGGCTCAATTGCACAGCGATGATGTACAGGCGACCTCAGGTGCCCGGGCGCCAGCAGGCTACACGCGCAGCTCGTGGGCTTACACTCATGTGAGTGGAAAGTGTTGGGGAAGTTCAGCAGTGGTGTTATGTAGGTGCTTGAGCCACTGGTGGCATGTGCGATGGAGAACGCCTGCATTGCCCCGCCTGGAAAGAATCCTTCCAATCACCGCCACGGTCAAACGGTGCCAACTCGCTCCTCTGCTGTGGTCTCAACGTCAACTCGTCACTGATCCAGGACGACCTAAATGGCTCTCGTCGCCCGTCGACGACGTCCAAGAAGTCCCCCGGCCCAACTGCTAAGAATGAAGTAGTCATATTCACCCGCTGCAAACATCCGTGGAAACCGTACCGGCCCTTTTTGCTCCGACGTGTTGTCGTGTAGACGTTTGTAACCGGAAATGTAACCGACGTGTGCACTTTATGTAGCGTTACACCAAAGTATATTGCATGTCCACGCCGCCGCAGCAGTCCGACGACGATATCACTGCGTCACTCGGCGTCATTCTAGATTGTGAGTCGCATGTCCAGATGCAAGGACTGGTGCTTGGGTTAACTCAAGAAGATCTCGAGGCGCTAGCGCGCTTTCCGTCCCACCCGCATCGAGCCGTGCATCTCCTCTTGGCCATGGTTTACTTGATCCTGCATGAATGTGCCGTGCAAAGGGACTGTCTGCCACCAAGTATGATCCTGCTGACATGGACGTTTCTCCGTGAAAACCTACTGCGCAACTGTGGCGCGCTCTTCCTCCGGCTTCGCCGCCGCCTTCGCAATCAAAGCCCCGTGGTCCCCATGATCACTCACGTGTGTGTGTTGTACTTACGGGATCCCACGTTTCGGATCCAAGCGCTGCGAAAGGTCAGCGCCATCGCAGCCGCCCTGGCTAGCTGGGTGCTGCTCTGCCTCCAGGCCAGCCTTCCATGCAAGCTAGATGGACGTGACGTGGTAGAGCTGCATCAAGTTCAACATACCCCTACCCGCCCTGCGTTTCGCTTTGCATTGCGCCTTCATGGAAGGTGTACGTTGTGTTCGGTCCGAATTGCCAGTCACGTATGTACGGCCATGTCTAGCGTTTCTATCATTCATAGCACCTCATTCTCAAGTAGGAAGCAGTATTCCAGTGGTGTGGCCCAAACTCGTTTCACAAAAGCACCGTCCGCAGGCGGCTTGATGCCCATTTTGAAGCATTAGTGGACAATACGCTGCCCCCGTTTGCCTTTCGCTCGTGGGTGCAAAACCTCTTGAACGCATCGACTAGTCCAACCAATAATGATGGCAGCGACGACGGAGGTGTGCTTCAGTTACCGTCGGTCCTTCGCCTCTACTTTGTCGTTGTGCGGCCGCCCAATGTGGTTGGCGTGGGGCTGGTCGTTGTCGATCCCACGATGTCCCTTCGGCAATGCCGCAGGGCGATTCAAGATCAGTACGGGTGGCATATGGCCATATACTACCGAGGGACTCGGGTGTCGGCAGCCATGGAAACCAAACTCGATGCTCGGCATGTCCTTCCGATGTTGTTGTTAAGTCCACGCCAAGCCAAGTATCGAGCGATCGCACCTGCCCTGGCCCTGCTCCATACCATATCCACCGCTTCTATTACGTTGGTACGTCCAATGGATTGGTGGAGGGATGCTGACAGATGTGCAGCATAGCGGCCACGATACCGCTTCCTCCGTCACTACATTGCCCCACGTCACGTCGTGTCCCATGCATCGAGCGCTCTTGGACTCTGAGCTGGCAACGCAACTCACGAGATTGTTCGAGTTGTGGGCGACGCACGGCCATGCATGTGTGGTGGATACATGCATTGCCCAAATGACTTCAAAAGATCGTTCGGCGGACCGAGTCGAGTCAAGTGACATGGTAGTCCCAGCCGACATCATTGTCATTGACTGACGGACTACTAACTAGATCGCCAACCTTGATGGTAGCGCCACCGTTGTAGAGAACTCTCCCAAACGCAAGGTCCTTCTCTCCAAACCAGTGCCATATGCAGCTGAACTTCACGAGCTGGTACGTCGTACATGTCCGTTGACATATCCATGCCTAACAACTTCACTCGTTTAGGCTCGTAAACTGCACATTTTCACCGTACGGAAAGACATATCCACGACCTACTCGTTCATATGTTGGTAGTAATATCTCTTCATTAGGAAGCTGATGCTCTTGGTGACATGCACACTGCAATGAAAGCCCCCAGGGTACGCGAATTGATGGATTCGTTGAACCACATCGTTTGATTTGTCTACTCGTTTTCGGGCAGGAAAGTACCTATCGGTACTTGCCACTGTACGTATATGCGTCAGTGGAATTGATCGAAGTGTCGGCCACGACTGAAACCTACAAATGCGAGCTCGTGTCGAGTGTTGCCATGGCCCACAAGAAAACCCCTCGCAGTGTCTTCACCAAGGGCGTGATCCTTCGCCTTGGGGCAGGCCGTCAAGTAACTGTCGAGACCTCTTGGGACGATGATCAGCGTGCGTTTGCCGTGTGCAAACCAGCAGGAGGCCCCGTCCTACCGCCGATGTCGAATGTGTGGCTGGTGGTCGAGTCTGTGCGTGCTATATAATATGGCGTACAGTATCTCACATATCGACCATGGTTAGCAACACGACAAGCGGCCGCAGTGGCTCCACGACCTGCAAGCCTACATCTGCCACCCCACCATTGAGTTTGACGGATCTCGAGATTTCTACACGTTGTTTCGCGTCCGTTTGCCTTACTTCACCCCCGAGCACATAGTCGAAGGGGGGCTGTGGAGCCGCGACGTGGACTGGCGCCCCATCATCGCCAAGACTCCGTGCGACGCACTGGTCGACGACAAGTTCCACGAGTTGTGTGCGTCGTATCCGTCCAATTGTACGTGAATCACTCGTCGTGTATAAATAGGCCCTTTTCCTAATCGTGAGTATGTAGTTTTCATCGGTACGCCCTTGTCCCCCTTGTTATGCTGTTGGTGTGTCGAAGAAGATAAATCGACCTGTGGACCCCCCTCTAGACTCGGTCAAGTTTTCGAAATTCATCCGCGACTGCCACGTGCTGCCCGCGAAGCTCTCGTTGGGGTCGCTCGACGGCATCTTCCACCGTTTCGCCATGCTTCGGTTCCAAATGGATCTCGGCGGGTTCCGCGCAGCGATTGCGCTGGTCGTCCACCACGTGACCAAGAAACACATGACGAATACTCCGCTCTTGTACTTTTTTCTTCACTACATGATTCTGTCCCCCAGCATGCGCGGCATTTGGGATCAAGTAGGACAAACAAACATGAAGATCAAAAGCCCATGTTTCCATCTATAACTTGACCCCTAGACAATGCAAACGTATCGACTAGAAGCCAAGATGGCCGCCATGCAGGCTTTGGCGCGCCAGATTTGTGCAGCGACGCGACTTCAAGCGAGCTATCGGGGCCATGTGACCTATGCCCAATTCAAGTACATAGTCGACTGAGCTTACGATAGTCGATTCAACAAGATGAAAACGCTGTAGACATCACTGGGCGATGATGCGGCGGCGTCGACAAGCCGCCACGACCATCGTCAGCTGCTTCAAAATGCTGTATTGCAAGCGACAATTCCAACAGCTCCAACGCGAGGCGGTCGTGGAGCGCGCGATGGAGCTGGCGCGGTTGGAGCGGCTGCAGCGCGAAGAAGCCGAGAGACTGTTCATGCTGAACTGCCACGTCACGCTCCAGGTGTGGGTCAAACACCGGCTGTGGAAAAAGCGACGCGTTCGTCTGCTGTGCCCCGAGTGGATCGCACGCAAGCAGCGCATATGCACGCGGAAGCGCCTGCGGATCGCTCGCCTGGCGTGCCACGTGGGCGGCCACCTCATGACGGTGACCGTGTTTCGAAGCCACATTGACCAGGCCAAAAACTCTAAAATGCATGTGGAGCTGTACCAAGCGTCTGACAGCCGCACGTTTTCATATGATGTGCACGAGAGCACGGTGCAGGGTATTTGGGCGGCACTGGCGGATCACCACAAGGTATGATGACCCGACAGTCAGTCGATTGTTGTTTTGAAGGGTAAACTAAACTTTTTTGTAGCTAGATCCAACCCAATTTCGCAACCGACTGGACGGACTGCTACGTCGATTGCACGTGAATACCGCCATGCAAAGAGTAAAAATGCACTCGTCGGACGACCGATGCGGCCGCGGACGGGTATGTAGAAGAAGCAGGGCAAGGCTTGGCTAAATACTAGTTTGTCTTAGCTACTGGCAAGAGTGGCGTGTACAGTCCAAGATCGGATACGTGGCATTGCTCAAGTGTTCTTGAGACACTTCCACATGGACGTGCTTCTTTACGTCCCCTCGTATGGCCCTTGTGATGTGTTAAATATCGTAAATTTGACAGTTGAAGTAGGGACTGCCGCTCGACAAAGTGGGTGCTGGACATAGCGTTTGTCCAACAGGTCCTGCAGATGGCCCAACCCACCCTCCTTCCCCGGCCATGGACGTGCTGCGGGATCGCATTTGCATCCGACTGCCATGACGTCATGACGTGTCGACAGCGTGTGGCGCATGTCGTCGAGTGTGCCCGAAACGACTTTCCATTCTTGCCCATGTTGATCAAGTACGTGGCAACGTATGGTTCCATTAGCATGCCCCCTACCACCCACTTTGCACCGAAACATCTTGAGGCAGTTGCACAACATTTGCCATCTCGTCCAAGTTATTCGATCGAGAGGAGGTTTGAAGCAGCCACCCGGTTGCAAGCTATTTGGCTAGGCTACAGGACTCGCCAGTACGTGGCCCACTTGCTGCAGGTGCGAACAATCGTCGTAGTATGATGTTAAAGCAAATTCACTTGATGTTGTCGTCCATTCTACGGTTCGAACCCCCGACAACCTTGTAATTCGGTCATGTTGTAGGGCAACTTTGCCATTTCGTACGACCGAGCAGCGGGGCACTTGTGGTACCAGAGTCGCACCACCAACCATTGCTTCAAGTCGGCCCCCCTTGGCCACATCCTTCGAGTGACATACCCGCCACCATCAGACACGTGGCTACCTCAGAACGACAGCCAAGGCCGGGTCTACTACTTCAACCCGTCCCGCGGACTTTCGAGTTGGTTCAACCTCGAAACGGTGACGAGATTACCCAGACGGAAAACCGTTCTGACGTGGACAATCCTAGGCAACGAGAAAGGTCCAGCGTGTGTTCCGACACCGCCGACATGCCGCCATCGGGGGCCTCACGATGCAGCATTTGGCCAGAGCCGTGGCTTTCCATCACTTCAATGTAATATTTACGAAGAGATTGTATGAATCATACCTGATGGCAAGCTGCTTTTTCCAGGAGGACCAAACAAGCAAGATGTCATCCTCTCGATTGTCACCCACCGATATGGAGCGCTTGGCACTTCATCACCACACGATTACCCATGATGTACTGTACAATCTACCACTACAATGTGGCCAAGTCCCTTATGGTTGCAGTTTAACAAGGCGATTGCCCTGTACGACCAACTGCTGCAGAGCCACCCTCGTCACGAAGTTGTGGCGTCCACTTGCTTGGCCATGCTTCTCATCGCCACTGGTCGCGCCCCCCTCAAAAAGAATGCCGCGCGGGCCGTCGCGCTGCTGCAAACCGCTCGAAAGTTAGATGGTTCGCTTCACAATGTGGTGTCGTTGGAGCTTGCGTGCTTTCGGTGGGCAGTTCTCGTGACTCCAAACGATGCCATGGTATGTAGCTAAATGTCCTTTGTCCTGAGAATGCAGTGCCTCATGTTCACCAGGCCATGGCGATGTATGCAGTGTTTGCCGAAGAAGTGCTAAATGACATTGACAAGGTCACTCAAACACCCTAGTAGAACCCGTACGTATGTTGAGTTTATGGTTTTATGCAGGCGGAACTGCTGTATCGTCGTGCGTTGGCGCTGGATCCAGGCCACGCCGTGACGGTGGACAATTACGCCAACCTCGTCAAGGAACGAACTCCCCATGGACGGTATGCAGCGGCCGGCCCTGGACGAGTGGCGCACCAGCGAGCATACGTACATTCATGTGATATGTGACACTGGTTGAATGGGGGTTTATAGGTGGTGGACACGGTGGGCCAGTGGCAGCAGCTTCGCGACAGCCAAACAAACACAACGTTTTGGCACAATCACAGCACAAAGCAATTGCAATGGGATGCGCCACAGACATGACACGCTAGCGTCTTCCTTTGAACTGCAGTTAACCCGTTCCCTATACAGTACAGTAGTCGAGTACATATTCGCAAGTGTAAATTCAGAACGTGAAAAACTGGAATGAGGAGGCTGCGGTGCGGCTACGATGTTGATGTATGTTGCGCAACGACCACTGAATCGACGATGACTCTGATTGACTATATTGATAATCGAATCATGTGTGATAGACAGCATATTGCTCGGCATTCAGGTTGATGCGAGTCGAGTCCGCTGCAGCCAAGCACGCTTAACTGCATTGAGCGCTTCCCATGAAGTACAATGCCGATATGCGGTTGTGATCGAAATGATAACACCGCCTATCGAACAGCCATCAATGTCATGGATTGGGCTTGCTACCATTGCAAGAAACGAATACAAATGATGGTTTTGGTGTCGCTTATGGTGATTGTGATGCGCACGAATGCATTCGCGCTAGTTCAGTAGTATTGACGCGCAAATATAGTTGTGGACTAATATGCATCGTACGTTGGGCCGCTTTACAACCACCTGCACTTCTTATTATTCGACGAATAACACAGTACATCGTCGCATAGAATTGACCTTGGCCAAACACAAAGTGACCCACAATTCAATCTCCGTTCAAGACAGCACCTGACGCAATTCCAAACAACGCATTCGATACCATTATTCTTGAACGCCGCTGGAGCAACTGCAGCAACTTGCACTCAAAGTGAGTGCAACCACCAGACAGTCGCTCGCGGCTTGCCGCGGCCCGTACCGAGAAGCGGGCCGAGGCAAAGCGCCTCTTGGCGCTCCTGGGCCCCCGTCGACTTCAGGACGGCGAATGCGTGGCCTGGAACCTCAGCACCAACATGAACTCCAAGCGACGAGTGGCCACAGCTATGCCTCAAGAGAAACCGCAACAACAACGCGTCCTGGAGCGTCAAGCCCGGGACCAGCGACTGGAACGCCTCAACGTGGTGCCGTCGGGACACACGACACCATGGAACTCGAACACTAACGTTCAGTCGACTCGTGTGGCTCGCCCCCTCGGTAGCGAGTGAACTTCGCGCCTCCACAGGACCGGGAACAAGATCGTCCTTAAACAACAAGCCCGAATCATGCGTCTGGCGCGACTAGTAGTGGCGCCGTTGGTACACACGGCGACGGGAACGCCATTACGAATGTCCAGGCGATCCAGGCGACTCGTGTCGTTCGACCTCGGCAAAAGCCTGCCACGACTCCCCCAAGTGCAAGCAGAAGTCGTCCCCCTCTCGACCGCCTTCATCTGCACGCGCGGAACGCCAGTACAAACAAGCCTTAAGTCCAAGGCTCGTCCTCGTCCGTTCGCTGCTAGTCGATCGGTTTGCCGACGCGGGGCCACTAGCTACATTTCTTCCATGTAATGCATAAATGACACTTGCATTCCATATTATATTTGCAACGACTGAGCATATGAGTGCAAAGTACTGTAGGGGGTGTAGGAAATTGCTGTTGCAGTCGAGTCAGAGTACTGGAATGCTATGAGGTCTCATCACTGTGAGCAGATTGTTGTGGTCTGAATCCAATCAGAGCTGGAGAATCATCAAGCCCGGCATGACGGTATGCTTTTGTGCACTCGCCTTCAGGTGACGGTGGAGGCCGTGTCCGGTCCAGCACGAGTTATATACATCAGCATGTCGCTGGAATGTAACCAATCACATGAAATGCATTGAGCGCACCCCATGTAGTACGTACGATAACTACACAAATCGATATCTACGGCAACGAATGGACGAAGAGTTCAAGTTCGATTTATCAGCCAATCATCGCATTGCTGGTCCTCACCAACAGTATACTCCATAGTAGAAACGAATGGACGACGAGTTCAAGTTCGGTTTTCAGCCAATCATCATATTGCTGGTACTCACTCATTCCCAGCATCTGCCACGACAAACTAGGTAAGTGTAGCGGGCTTCCTGTATAAGAATTGTATAAGAATTGTATATATAAATACCGTGGTGACGGTATATACGAAAGGCGGATATGTGTGACCTCTCTTTCCAATGAATACAATTGTGATATTTTAAGCAAAATTACGCGATAACTTTAATTGCCGACCGCCGTCGCAGTGTCCGTGGCGGTGACCGTGGTAGCAATGATGCCTTGCGCCGTGTATTGGTTGATCATGTACGACGACTGCCACACTTGAACGAACACGACGACGCCCACAAGGATGAGCGACCCAAACACGTTGGCCGTGAACGTCGCGCGTGTGTGGTCCCATCCAGCGTACTCGGTGATACTCATCTTGGCCATGGGGTACAGGTTGCTCATGATCCAAAAGCCAAAGAACATGGCGGAAATGTAGTTCCACGGCGCCGTTGCGTTTTCGTACGCAAAGAAGCGGCTCAACCCGACGCACTGGCTGATCACAAGCGTGAAGTACATGAGCACATTGGGGATTTCCGTCCACGACGTCTTCTGCCCAGCGCCCGTGTTGGCCCACGCAGAGATGACCCCAGTGAGACGCCAACGGATGGCTTCGCCGATGGCCAGCGCCGTGATGAACGAGTACGAGAACCACGTCTGCTGGGCGCGCCACACGTCGTTCGAGTCGACGCTTCGGTTGGCCAACAAGTTGAGCATCCAACGGCACAACATGAGCGGCAAAAACGTCCACAGCATTTGGTTCCCGGGCGTATAAATGGGCGCTGATCCCGTGTTAAGGTAGTAGATAGCGATAAACACGTAGCACAACGCAGGAATCGACCCAAATGGGTAGAATACCGAGTCATAGAAGAACAGCTTGCGGGGGAACTGGAGGCTGGGCTTGGGGTCAGGGGTCGGCACGCGCGGCGGGCGCCAGTCCGGGTCCACTTCGGAGATGCCCTTCATGAGCAGAATTTGCACGGCACCCATCGCCCAACGCTTCCGTTGGCCCAACGAAGCAGCCACAGTTTCGGGCACAGCACCTTCGCACAGCCGAATGCGGTCCTTGGCATCGCCTTCGAAATCCTTGCGGAAGTAGACAGAGTCCCACCCAGCCGTGTGCAAAATGTTGCCAGTGTAAGCATCTTCCGTCTGCGTCCCGTACTGAATGCCACCGATCGAGTCGAACGCTTGCCGACGAAACACGGCGTTGGTCCCGGCAAACGCGGCCGAGTCGAACCCGTCGCGACCGCACTGGACAGCGTCGAAAAAGATCGTGTTCTTGTGCCCACAGGGATCGCCCATCTCGGTCAGCTGTGGCGTGTCTTCAAAGTACTGCGGCGTCTGCACGTACGCGACTTGGTTCCACGAAATGTCGTCCGAGTACTGGCGTCCACCGCCGTCGACCGCCTCGCCTTCGGAAAAGAAGAAGGGCAGCACCGCCAAGAGAAACTTGGGGTGGGGCTTCATGTCGTTATCCAGGATCAAAATGTACTTGCCGTCCGCGCCTTCGTTGAACAGAACGTTGTTGATGTTACCAGCCTTGGCATGGGCCGTTTCTGGCTTCATGCGACCGACAAACGTGACGCGAGGCAGGCCGCGGTCGCGGTAGTCATAGTCGTCGCTGAGCGACCCGACCGCGCAATCGCGACGCTGGATGCCCTTGCTTCCATCCTTGCGGAGTTCGCGCACGCTAGAGTGCTGGCGGCGCCACGCCTTGAGCGTGGCATCGTCGCTGACAGGTCCCACGACACGCTCGTGCATCATACGCGCAACGTCGCCGCGCAAGTCGCCGCACTGTTCAATGTTCTTAGTGTTCACCGTCACCTTGAAGTGGTTGTTGGCATCCCACACAGACTTGGTGTACCCGTCGTCACACAGCCACACATGCAGCAACTCGGGGGGGTACTGCATCGCCAAGATGTTCTTTAGAGTGGCCATTGAGTCCACGACCGGTTCGGAGTAATGGCACAAGAACACATCCACGGTGGGCCATTGTTCCTTGGGAAGCGCAGGCTTGAAGTCGTTTAAGTAGCGGGCGCCGCGACGGATGGGGCGCCACATGGAAAAGTTGAAGAGCAACCCCAAGAAAAAGTTGAGGTACTCCGACCCGACAAAGATGACGTAGCAAAACCAGACGCCGCCTGGGGTTGGGCGAATGCAGTAGAACTCGTTTGAGACTTGGTCCTTGCTGTTGGGGTCAAGACTCGTGTAGCACTTGTGCGCGGTCTTGATGCTTTCTTCAATGAGCGCGCACGGCAAGCTGGGCTGCGTGATGCTGCACGGCGTCTCGCGGGGGTAAAACGTGATCAAAAACACCAACCACACCACTCCCGTGATGGCCGACAGAAAGTACGTCAAGTGGAATGCACCGCCGCCAGACATTTTGTACTTGCGAATGTTGGGCGTGTCAACTGGCTCGGCGGCGCGGTTTGCGATCGAGTACGTGCTCATGGCGAACGACCGGAACGACGGTTCGTAGTGGTTGGGGCGGCCGCCAATGCTGGACGTGTACGGTTTTTCGCCTTGGTCCATGAACCGGATCGATCGACCTTCGGGCGTGTGTTCCGTAATCTTTTTGGGGTCCACAAACGATGTCGTCGACAAGTAGGCGCGGTTGGGGATCTGCTGCCAGCTTGCAGGAGTCGTTCCATCAACACCCATGGCAACGGAAGGAGGATGGGCTTGAGATACAGACACACTTGGGACGTGCTCGTCGCCTGGCATGGCTTCGCCGCATTCCGTGCAAAATGCAGTGCCAGCAGGGACCGTGGCGAAGCAGTTTTCACAGACGAGGCGGGTGCGTTCGTGCATGAAGGGAGCCGACGCAGCGGCACCGCTGGGAAGATCCATCGTTTCTTCGTGGATGGAAGTCATGCCGACATGTGCGCCGACCTTGTTGTAGCACACAAGGCCCCAACGCATACACAACTGGTTCAACAAACCGACGATGGTCACGCCGCCCCAAATGGCAAGCATCACTAGTTTGTCGCCGCTTTGAATGCCTTCGGCGAAGTTTGCCAGAACATCGCCCACAACAGTTTTGAAACCCATGATTCCGAACAACGCTTTTGTGGGCGACGGGGAAGGGTCAAACGCGAGGCGGAAGAGGCCATCGGCAAAGATGAACCCACCGGTGACGGCACTGAACACAATGTACTTGAAACGGTGGCACTCAATGTCTCCGGTTTTGGACGAGCTCACGAATAGCAGGGTAAACAGGAGCGCAAACCCAACGACAAACTCTTGCTTGGCAAACGGGGATTCGTGGTAAAAGAGTCTGGCAGCAACCGTGTCCAGGGTAAGCAGCCAGGGGCCAACGATGAGTCCCGTGCAGACAATAAGCACGATGCACCCAAGTGCAGAGAGAAAAGCCGCGATAATGGCGGCGGCCCCACCAACACAGGCGGCAATGACAATGCGCCAGATTTCTTTCGCGCCAGGGGATGCGAATTCAATCGTAGCGTACACGATCAAATACAGCCTAGACAGTATGACACTATGAGATCCCGTCCTTTAAGACACGGACCAAAGCAACTTACATTGCAAACGACGACAGACTTTGTGTGACGTAAAAGAGAGGTCGAGAGCCTAGAGACAAAGGCGACCATCCAGCAAGCGCGAGGGAGAAGCCCCCCACGGTGCCGATGATGCCCGTGATCAGGTTCCCCAGCACTAACATCTTTGTTCGTTCCGCTGATCCAAAAGAGTCGGCGGCGATGAAGTTGCAGGAACGGCGCTTTTCTCGGAATGACCACCTATTGAAAGGGGGCAAGACACTATACCAACACGCTGTACTTTTTTTTAGTTTTTTTAATTTTCCATTATAATATCGGTTCCCCCGTTGACTGGCTTTTTTCACTGCAGTAATGTATGGCGCCATCGCTCTTGCTTGCCCTCATAATTGCCTTATCTCAATCTCATTGGACTGTCTCGGCCCACCAATCGAAGGTGCTGAAAGCTCTCAACAGGTGAAATGCACTAAAATAAGGTAAATCATCCCTCGACAGACCCATCTGATTGGGTCTCTCCACATCACTATGTTTCCAGGACTCTCTCCTCTGCTCACTCTCATCAGAAGGTGAGATGTAAACGGATTCTACTTCTCCGACCAACGAGATCCAATGAGTGTCGGGGGTCGTTACAGACTCGTTCTTGGCATGAATCATAAGCTGTTGTTGCCCCGTACGTACGTTGTCTATTATTGGGGCTGGTAAGCCCTCGGGACGTGCGTAGTAGCGATAGTTTTACCCGTCCTAGCAGTAAACGAGTTGTTTTCCCGCGTTGTAAATACATTTATGTATTGGATATTTGACATGGTTTCAGTATGTCGCTCTCGAGCTGTAAGAAGTGGAATCTTATTCAACAGAGTGTATTTGACATGTTTTGAGTATGTCGCTCTCGAGTTGTGTGAAGCGGAATCTTATTCAACTGAACGAACGCATTACATCTCTTTTCACCTACGATCTACCACAAGCAGCTCTCATGTGGCACTCTCTCTTTCACTCTCATGTTGTAATTTGTGCGTCAAAATTTCCATCTCACTTCACTGTTGTGTAACGAAGACACCTCCTTCACTACATACAGTACTGCAGTACAGCATCCAACACCTCCCTCCTGAATGCCCTAGGGGGAAGTTGACCCTACTGTGTATAATTGGATATGATTCATGGACTCTCTATCTCTCTCTGCCACACTAATATCGTTTATCTGCCATGGTAAAGTAACCTCGTGTTGACAATTGCAGGGACGTTTTCACCTCCTTTTTTGGCAAAGGCAATGTGAAATTGGGACTGATTTTCAGAACGTTAGTCACAACTTGGTCTCTTGGGCAGAATGTACTATACAAACTCCAAGATAGATGGACCTCGCACTACCCGCGTGACAAAAACGGGTGCTGAAACCCACGGGTTTTATCGAAAGTTTGTATACAAAATATCGAAAAACCGACCACCTGCCGCCAGCAGTCAGTTTTTGTTTTCCTGGCCTTCTCCCGGCAACCACAGCAACGATGACGATCAAGGTGCTTGGTATGTTGGCTTTGGCGGCGTCAAGCACGTCCGCTGTCTACTGGAATCAGTCGGCGGGGTACTCCATCAAGGTCGACTTCAAAGGTGTGTGTGTGTGTATCGATCTATCTTGTCGACAGGAGAGGAGTTCACGAGGACGTGTGCCTAGGCTGGAGTAACTTTTCACCGTTGAATGGCGGTTGCGTCACGTGTCCGTTCACGTGCGTACGGCCGTCGACTGGACCAGATGGCCTCGCGCTTAACTTTTCGAACGCGTCGTCGATTCAAAACCTCCCTTCCGTGTACTCGCAACCGGTCGCGAACGGCTGCTGCTATGCCAAGGGCAAGGTCATGCCAAGCTGCAACAACCAAGCGAGCCCTCCGGAGAAGGAAGATTGCGGCTTTCTGTATGGACCGACGTTACAGTGGAACATCACAGACACGCGTAACCCACCCCCCACGAAGACCCCCATCCGAGCCATTATGATGGCGTCGACGGACTGCAAGAACTTTTGGGCGGTTCAACAGACGTATGTCAAGCAAGAAGGCAAAACCACGGGGCTCAAGGTGACTGGCTCCAAGCAAATCAATGGCGGGTGCTACGGCGCCAGCACGGGCGCGGCCATCATCTTGGCCGGGTGCCTCACGTCGGACCTCAAGTTCGACAAATCTGCCAGTTACAGTTGGGACAAGTTGGCGGTCAAATGCCGAGGTTTGTCTGGCATGTGCACCCGAACGAACGCTCTGTGGGGCCGCAACTTGGAATGCTGTACGGACCCGCTGTCCATCGACGCGGCGCAATGGGACTTCAAGTACAAGCTGTACACGACCCCCACGAACGTGGGCATTGAGTTGTCTGGGCCTGTGATCACTGCGATTGTGTTTGGTGGCGTCGCTCTCATGATGATGGCCGTGCACTTTGGCTCGGCGATCCACCGCCGCGCCAAGCAAACCGCGTTGATGCGCGAACAAGAGATGACTGAAGACTACGAGGAGGTGATGACCCCGCTGACGGCGGGCGACAAGGCGCCGGCGACCAGCAACAAGTCGCTGGCACGGTCCGTGGGGCCGTCGCATGTCGAGCATTCTCTGCACGAGGGCGACCAGATCTACAAGAAGAAGGACGACGAAGTGCTCTTTGAAGGCGACTTGTATTAAGCGTCGTGTCTATTTGCGTAGTCTTACACACCATCGGATAATATTTTAATTGAAGAGCAACTGAATTTCTCATACTATGGGGAAGTTGTTTGGTGATTTACCAGCTAAGCTTAGTTTTTGTAGCCGGCTAGACCATTTAAAAATTGTATAAATCGAGTTGAAATAAGTTAATCTACAGTTTCTGCAGGTTGTCGCTCGAAATGCCTTCGTAGCACATGAGTCCTTCGGCGTTCGGGATGTCGTCCTTGGCGCCTTTGTCCTTCAAGTACGTGGCCAAGTCGGTCCATTTGTATTCGTAGCAGTAGTGCAGGCCCGTGTTGCCGCGAAAGTTCTACCACAACTGTGAATTCACCATTGGTATAGATAGACACTGTATGTACCTGCGAGTCCAATTCACATCGCCGCCGCATCAAGAATTTGCACATGTTCTTGTTGCCTTGCTGGCACGCCAAGATGAACAGCGTGTTGCCGTTCTCGTCGCGGGCGTTGATGTTGACACCTTGGTCGAGCATGTTTTCCAGCTGCGTGCCACACCACCGCCATCATTACATCGACGGTCGTTTTCAAAAGAAGAGTCCCCTATTACCTCCTTGATGTTGTTGTTGCGCGTGTACAGCACAGCTTTGGCAATGCGTTCGGCCTCGGTCACTTCATCCTCCGGTGGCACCTCGTCTTCGTCGGCAGTCGTGTCTTGAAACACTTGCAATATCGTGGACCGACGGCCCTTCTTGGCGGTCGCGGCTAGCACTTTCTTCATGGCCGTCACCTCCGAGTCCAAGTTCTACAGCAAAAGTCACGAGATCCTCCAACAGCAAACCAACGATACGCACGGGAATGATGTGGTGGCGGAAGTCGGGCACTGCCTCCGGCTGGACATACGTGGCATTCTTGCTTGGGTCCAGCAGTCCCAGGATCAACGGCAAGTTGGTTTGGTTGATAAACGACGCCTACGTCCGAGCCAATCATCCAATATTATCGACGATCGATCGAAGGATACCGTGGGGCCTGCGATGGTGGTCGTGTACACTTTCTTGGCAAACGTCTTGGGCAGGCGGGTGGGTTTCAGCCGCTTCCAGCCCTCGCCCAGTGTGATCGGGTGGACTTGTGGTGCCTCCTTGAGGATCTGCAGCCGCGTGAGCCGCTTGACGCTGGCCGTGTTGGTGTCTTGTGTCGATTCGTCTTGAGCTAGCATGCGCAGCACGCGCCCAGCTATCGTGTCCTCGTCGTCGCTGGGGGCTTGGTCATCGTCGTCGGAGCTGTCGCCATGCGACTTCGTTGGACTCAACGGGGCGTTCTTCAGTGACGAGTGTCGGCGACTCGTCGATGCCTTTCTCGACTTCAACCCGAGCTTTTCTCTCAACAGGTCCACGAACGTTTCGTTGTCCGCCAATGATTTCGCGATCGATTGAATCGAATTGTCGATCCGCGCAGACTCTAGTTCTGCCGCGTCCGTCGAAGTGTCGTCGTCGTCGTCATCGTCAAAGGCATCCCCCGTGGCAGAAGGGGGCGGCAGCGGGGCGGCGCTGTCGTCATCCGGGGGCCACTCAGGTGGGGGGGTCCACTGACTTGCTACTGTCAACGTTGGATTCGAGTGGTGGTAAAACAGCACTTTGGACTCGTTCAGCTCCCGTTCCTCCCATCCGTTCCAGTCCCGCACAAGCCGGGAATGTGCCACTCGATGTGCCCATTCTGCCACCGTGCTTTCCTAGAATTGACCAGTCAAGAACACACACAAGAAACGGGTGGCTGTGGGGGGGGGGTCTGTCCTACTGGCATCGCTTGCAGTCCCTCCAATTGCTTGGCCCGTTGTTCTGTCCGCACCAATGCTACCGCCTCGAGTCTACATGTTGTTGCTCAACGTCAATGCACTCAGGATGCGCATCACACAAACCGCCGCTTTTCAGCGCGCTTGGCGTCCAGAGACAGCCGCCCGGCTTGGAGTTTGGTTTCAATCTCCAACAATTGCTGCTTCAGTCGCTCTTCCTCGTGGATTTTCTCTTGCGCGGCGAGGAACGCCCGCAACCCGCTGGTCGTGATTTTGTCGATGGATTCATGGCGCATGTTCATCGTGTACATATTCGGGTCGTTGCCGCCGCGCACGACGCGATTTGTCGCCAGCACCGCATAGTCCTACCCGTGACAATGGATTTGAACAGTGTCACATAATTTAAACGCAGTCGTTCCTGGGCTCAAACAGATTCAACGTACGGCTTCAAGGCGAGGTCGAATCAACGTGTGCGAGTCGACGACTTCGTCGGAATGCCAGCTGAATCGACCGTTCAGGCCCGTCTGGTTGGGGTACCCTTGCACAATCCCATATGCTTGGGCGTCGAAGTCAAAGTTTGGGGGCACTGTAACCCAGCGAATCCACTGCCGAAAGTTCCTGTCGTTGAACTCGGGCATGTCTGGCACGGCTTGGTCGCAGCCGTTGGCGATGCATATGGTCGACGGTAGGTACTCGTCCAGGGGCGACACGACCGACGGCAGTGTCAGCACCATACCGCACGTGGGGGGGATGTAGTAGAACGATGTGGCGATCTCTTTCTCAAAGGGGGCGCAGACAGTTCCTGGGACCCATGCAAACCACGTAGGCGCGAGTACGGGTGAGTCCAACGCCAAGAGCACATGCACGAGGATCGAGTTCGTCGACGACAGCTTCGACTCGCGCAGGTACATGGCAGTGGGTCGTGTGAGGGACGATGGGGACACGCACCACCACAGCCCCGGGTACGTTGCAAGCACGACTGTGCCCGGCACTTGGCCTCGGAAGTCGATACGGCCGCATGCAAGGACCGACAACGGTGAGCCTTCCACTTCGATGCCGTCGGTCGGCGCTTTGACTTTTGTGCGATGTTGTGGGTTTGGGGGTGGAGACGGGGCAGCACCCTCTGTATGTGCCACTGGGTCGTGGTGGTCCAGCGTTGTTTTTGCATTTTTTAACGCGCACGCCATCGACACGGACTGTACCTGGCTGTACCCTTGTCGAATTAGCCCCAAGTCGTGACGACCACGAAGGCAGTTGCGCTTCGCGGGGGGTTGTAGGTACTCGTCGTGCGTGTCTTGCGTCATGTGATTGAAGTGGTCGAGGTTGGTCAGCCACACTCGGTTCACGTCCAGCACGAACTGCTTGGTCTGGTTCTTGGCCCGAGACACGTTCTTCACGTACGTGTTGTCGTTGTCAATCGTGTGGAAGAACTTGTCGTAGATCGGGTGCCGTTCCAAGATGGGCACCACCGGCGACGACTCGGCTTCTTGTTGGAGTTGCGTGGACGCCACCCACGCCGCTTCTCGTTCGCGCTCGGCTCGGTACTTGAAGTGGAGGTCGTCGATCGACCAACTCGAGGCTCCCTACGCATCGCACACAGTGGATTCAAGAGGTTTATGGAGCAATCAGCAATGGAGGATGCACACCTGAAGCTCCATGTCGTTTGGGTTTGCCGTTCGGTAGCGGTGCTCGCACGCAGTGTGTTTAACTGGTTCGGCCCAGCAAGCATTGCACATTCGCCTCTCGACGCTATGTTCGTGGCGGTGATTCGCCGGTCCAGGCTTGCCCCCTCCCAAGCCCAAGATCCGCAAATCATCCACGGCATTCAGCTGCGCCAATGCCGCTTTAAATGAAGTGGTAGAGCTAGAAGACTTGGTCAAGCCCTTGAAAAGCGGAGAGTTGATCAATTTCGACGCTGCCCGGTCTCGAAGGTCTTGTTTGTGTCGTTTGGTTGCCAGGCTTGGCAGCGACCCCGAGTTGGGGAATAAAGAAGTCGTTGTCGTTGTGTGGTCGGCTGCCTCAATGGGGTGGACTTGTATCGTTAGACGTGGCGATTGTTTCAGCTGCGGCATAGATGTGGACGTGGATTCGCCCTCCTTCAGCTTTGGCGCAGGAATGATCAGTGAGGAAGGCCCATACTTGGACTTGAGTTCGTCCCGCGAGATGCTTTTCACTTCTACTGGCTGTTTTGGTCGGCCTTTCTCCACGCGTTCTCTATCGGCAACAGCTCATTCATAGGTGACAATTATATCAATGCCTACCTGGCAGCTTCATCATGCACGCGCTTTGTGTGATCCTTCAAGATCTTCTTTGCACTGCTCTCAACACTATGGATGAACCTTTGGAGGTCATCCTCCATCACCTTGACGACGCAGACGTCGTCGTTTTCGGCGGCGCACTTTGTAACGGTGTCTGTTATGATTGGCCAGCCCAAGTCGACTTGTGATTGGGTGAGAAGAGTAACGAACCGTAACACCACCTTTCAACATGCACACTGCTGCTGCTTTAGGACTGTTCATAATGTTCTACTGCATGTCGTGGACTCCATGATGTTCCTCGCAAGCCATGGGAGACTTCATGTAAACTGTTTGATCCTGCGGCCATCCTGACCGAATTATCTGATTTCGAATCCACACTGTACCGGTAGAGTAGCTAGCATATATATGCTTAGACACTACAGTACAGTTCTTCGAAGTATATTTGTCAAATCGATTTGAAACTGGTGCCCTCAGCAGAATCAAATGTCTTAACAGCATGGATTCAAGAACCGCCTAAGCCAATCAAATCACGTTTTGGTGAATTTCTACCAATCCAAACGATTGAATCCGCCCAGCCTCTCCGTATTGGGCAAAACCAAGTATATACTACTATTTCTATGGCATAGTTTGTACAAGCTTAAATTGGATGATCAAATGGGTTGGCGCACAAGTCCAAATTTGGGTGAAATGCACAATAACAGTACTAACGTCATCTCTGCAACGCAGTACAGTGGTTTGTATCTCCGCCGTGGGTACGCAGACCGCATTTGGAATTCCATCGGGGGTTGTTTCATTGGAGTATCGCCGGTCGCCACTGGTTCGTTCGATTTCTCGACGTCGTTTTTTCCGGATACCACGTGTCCCCTCAAGATCGGCAACAATCCTTCGACAATCGGAGGCGCGAAACTTCGAACAAATGCCCGTGGGGATTCGAACATTTTGGGTCAAAGTGAAACCCCTTGACTTGGTTTCAGTATACTTCCAACACGGGCAAAGTGACGGAGGGGCAGTAAATCCAAGAGGGGTTACACAATTGAGCTTCCACCAATTTTGAAAGGTTGGGGAGGTTCGTCAGTTTGGTTTTCCCCTCGTCTACACCACTCGTCGCACTCTCGTGCGCATCCAACGCAGTCCATCTCAACTCGTGGAGCACGATGGTGACGTTGGGAGCAGCGGTTGCTGGCGCCGTGGGCGTCAGCGGCGGCTTTGCCCTCTCCTTAGGGGGGTGGTCAAGCATGTCTCTCGGCGCAAAGTCGCTCTTCATATCCGTGCAACTGCTCGCAAGTTTCGGCATGTACGTTGTCTAGAATCCACCTTACGTCCACTGTTCACCAGGTCTCATCATGTCGTTGTAGGGGGTTCATTGCAAGCTACATGATCATGGACAACCTGGCGTCCGTCGCCGAAGTCCTGCGCATAGGCATTGCCGCCGGTGTCGGTGGGGGCCTGGCGCTGTTGATTGTTTTCGCCACGTCGTTGGGCCCCTATGTACTCATTGTGCTGTCCGGTGCCATCCTCGCGCCGTGGCTGCTCGTGTTGGATCGGTACACTGGAAAGGTGTTCTTGGGCCAGCCGAGCTTTGCCAAGCAGGAGTTTCTGGTCGCGTTTGTGATCATTTACTTCCTGCTGTTCGTATCCAGCTCCAAGAGTGTGGACGTGGAAACCCATCGCTTCAAGTATCTCCTAATGAGCGCCATCATCGGGGGGTGGCTGTTTTCAGACGCCGTGTTCCGCCTGGCGTTCCCTACCCACGTCCCGTTGTCCAACCTCCTCTTTGGCATCATCGGCGTCTCTCAAAAGCCCGACTTGCCTGACTTGAGCACCGACAACAAGATGCTCATGTTTGTCATCTGGGGCGGCGTGTCCTTGGTCGGCATGATCAACCAGCTGGCTATGCGATGGGGCCTCTTCTGCTACAACAAGGTTGGGGGGCACCTCCCCCTCAACGGCGTCTTGCAGGAAGACCTCCCCGAGTTGCCAGTGGGAGCGGCCGCGTCGGCCGCGGTGGTCAACAACCGCATCGTGTGTGAAAACTGCTTCGCGACTGTCCCCCCCGCCACTGCGTTTTGCACAGAGTGCGGGGAAGCCATCGCGACCAACGGCCAGGGCGACCCGAATGTGTCCATCTCAACGTCGCAAATGCCGTCCGTGGCCGTCGGTGCCGACGGCAAGACCCCCGAGCGATGGACAGAAGTGCCCAACCGGGCATTCATGGCGTCCACGTCGTTTGTCGACCCCAAGAAAATGACGGAGAAGACGACGGAAGCGCGGTCGATTCGGTTCATGGACCAAGGCGAAGGTGGCGGCGCTGGAGCTGGCGGTAAGAACCCGTACGAGTCGTCGTTCCGGTCGTTTGCGATGAGCACGTTCTCGATTGCGGGCCGCGCGGCCGAGCCGGTGCAGACCCCCAACATCCGCAAGTACAAGATGTCGGGCGGTGGGTTCTTCCACATTATCTACTTCCTCTCGGCCATCACGGGCGTGGTGTGGCTTGTGTTTTTGATCACGTTTTACCCCCGCGAGTCGCCGTGCAACCAGACACAGCCGCATTTGGGCTGTTCGCTCATCGAAGACAGCATCAAGTTGATGAACGGATGCTACCCCAGTACCGAAGAGAAGAACGTGGACTTGGCCACGAACGAACCGTACTGTATCAAGCCCACTCCAGGTGGCGTGTGGTTCTGCTACATCATATTTGTCGGGTCGGAGTACCTCAACTTTTTCCTGGGGTTGCTCTTCAACTTTTCCATGTGGCGCCCCGTCCGACGCGGCGCGCGGTACCTGAACGACTTCAAGCCCGCGCTTCCCAAGGAACAATGGCCCAACGTCGACATATTCCTCTGCCATTACTCTGAACCGGTCGTGGACACGATGAAGACGCTCAAGAACTGCCTGGCAATGCAGTATCCCCCCGAGCTGCTCCGCATTTGGCTGTGTGACGACGGGTACACCAAGTCTGTGTGGGATGCCAACAACCACTTCAAGGTGACCGTGAACACCAAGAACATTCAATTCTGCGGCGACTTGCGCGGCGATGTTGCTCGATTGATGCATGAACGCGTGGTGGGTCCTGTCAGCGACGACAATGCGCTCAAGACGTGGCGCCGCCAGCACTCTAGCGTCCGTGAGATCAAGGGCTCGGGGGACAAGGGCATCCAGCGTCGCGATTGCGCGGTCGGGTCGCTCAGCGACGACTACGACTACCGCGACCGCGGCCTGCCTCGCGTCACGTTTGTCGGCCGCATGAAGCCAGAGACGCATCATGCCAAGGCTGGTAACATCAACAACATCCTCTTCAACGAAGGCGCCGAAGGCAAGTACATTTTGATTTTGGATAACGACATGAAGCCCCACCCCAAGTTTCTCTTGGCGGTGCTGCCCTTCTTCTTTTCCGAAGGAGAGGCGGTCGACGGCGGTGGACGCCAGTACTCGGACGACATTTCGTGGAACCAAGTCGCGTACGTGCAGACGCCGCAGTACTTTGAAGACACGCCACAGCTGACCGAGATGGGCGATCCCTGTGGGCACAAAAACACGATCTTTTTCGACGCTGTCCAGTGCGGTCGCGACGGGTTCGACTCGGCCGCGTTTGCCGGGACCAACGCCGTGTTTCGTCGGCAAGCGTTCGACTCGATCGGTGGCATTCAGTACGGGACGCAGACGGAAGATGCTTACACTGGCAACATTTTGCACACGGCTGGGTGGGACTCTGTCTACTTCCGCAAGGATTTCGAAGGCGATGCCAAGGACCGCATTCGGCTGTGCGAAGGGGCCATTCCAGAAACTGTGGCTGCTTCGTTGGGTCAGCGCAAGCGTTGGGCGATGGGTGCCGTGCAAATTCTGCTCATGAAAGGTGACTCGGAAGTGGACCCGGACTGGCGCCCCCCGCGTGTGGCGGCTCCGGACCCGAAGCCGGCCCTCAACTTCCCCCGCAAATTGTTCTTCTACGACTCAGTGTTCTACCCATTTGGGTCGATTCCTGCGTTGTGCTACGTGTTTATCGCTATCTACTACCTCAACACGGGGGATGCACCGATCTACACCCAAGGCAACTTGCTCTTGTACACGTTTTTGCCGCTCATGTTGTCTCGATGGATGCTTAACTTGTTGGCCAACCGAAGCGTCGACTCGAACGACGTGTGGCGCGCCCAGCAGACGTGGTTCTCGTACTCGTTCATCACGGCGCTGGCCATCGGCGAAGCCATCCGTTGGCGTCTCACTGGGGTCATCTCTGCGTGGGCCAACACGGGCGCCGGGCAGAAGACATCGTGGACGGAAATCCCCAATGTGCTCATGTACTTCACACTGATCGTTTCCGAGTTCGTGGCGCTGATTCGGTTCTTCCAGTACGAAAACGCCACGAGTCCGTGGAATTACGTGTCGGCCATGTTCTTTGGCTTTTGGGTCATGAGCAACCTCTACCCCATGGTCAAGATGAGCATCTCCACGTACGCCGGATGGGACCACACGAGCGCGACGTTCACGGCCAACGTGTTCGGGTCGCTGCTGCTCGTGGGCATCGTCGTGTTCGTCCAGTACTGGCAAATGTACTTCGAAGTCAACATGTTGCATGCCACAGGCCAAGTCGCCGCCGGCACGGGGGTCTAAATTTATTCCGCTGCATGACGTTAGGCTGCATATACCTTTTCGTTAATATAAACTCTTGCACTTGGATCGGAAATCCCGAGGAAGTTCCATGGCGTTCAAGAGAGATCCTTGACCACCTTCCCGCCCTAAAGTTACTGAATATAGTCAATTGTAGGCCGCCATTCTAACCTGCCCCTGGAAAGTCAGGATGAAGATGCTCGAATTTGTAGGGACACTCGCACCGGTGGGGATTCTCTCACTATTTCGGTCTCACAGTCAATTTACAGAATGGGAAGCAAAGCTCACCCGCGCTTTAGTTGGACATGGTCGTTATAGTGTACCAGTACAGTAGGTATATGGACTCACCATGGACGATGCGGTTGACAATGACGACTGTTCTAATGTGTTGATTGATGGAAGGAAAATCGGTCATTCACACCTGAAAACTAGTTTCACTGCTCAGAAAAGGTTTTGCTTTGATTGGGTTGCCGGTACACTCGACGAGTTTAGTGTGAGCGCGTTTGAAGAGTCCATTTGCTCAAAGGAAAGTGATTGTTGGCTTTCCGTGTATTTTTCAAAGTACATGACACCGATGGCTGGACATAAATTATCCATTGATAACATGTTATTGGCTGTAATTCGTAAAAATACTGTCGAAACTAACTGTAAATCTGGCCGATTTGCAGTCTCACAGTAAAATTATACAGTTTCCTACAGTCGCCCGGTAGTATCAAAACTGTAAATAATCTGGAGAGAACTGTAAAATAGTGTTTACAGTTGAGGATGCTCTTAACCTACCATACCTATAAGGATATCTATCATACTCACTGGCGTTGTTGACACCCCGTTATATTTCGGTGCCTTGCTGAGCTGCTAGGTGGGCGAGCGCCTCGTCATGCTAGGATAAGTCCTAAGGAGGCCTGTCACGTGCATCTCTCGGTCATACCTTTGAATGATACTACGGTAGGTAGTACTGTACTTCGAGTATATATCTATAAGTCATTCATTGACTGTGAAGACAAGCCTGTATCTTACGTCTGAGCTTCTCTTGGCGAACGTGATTGCTGCGACAACTGCCTTCGGGCCCAAATTAAAGTAATAACCTCTATAATGGTATACAATTATCATATTATAGAGTTGTACTATTTGGTAAAAAGCTCTGGAGGTCATACTTTCTTTAACCAAGTCAAATAGTTAAAAGTATAATAACAATTGGAGTACTATTCCCTCATTCATCAGAAAACAGTTCATACTTTAATCAAGTCAGATAGTTCAAAGTACAATTGGAGTACAATGCCCTCATTCATCAGAAACCACCTCAATTTACAGTTAAGTGTTTATATGTAACTTTGTATATCCTCGGTCGGGGATTTAGCATAATTCCCGATGGAATAATTTCCTCTTTGACAGTGAAACAGTACTTCGGGCCAAAACAACAGTGGAAACTAAGATTGTGGACCCGAGCAAGTTAGTGAATCTGAAGTTGATACATTCACTCGCTTTATGGGACGTTTGCGACAACGACGACTGTGAATTGGGGGAAGAATGATCACGAAGTTATGCCGAAAGTTTGAAACCAGTTGGCCTGTGAGCTTTCGGACAAGAGTGGTATCTTCGAGTTAGACCAAGCTTAATCCTAATTAGGTTTCCTAATTTTATGCCCCGCAGCCATTGGCTGATCCATTTTTTTGAGGCTGTGATTGGCTGGGAAATCTCGGGTGGAACGGAATTTGAAATACACCACACGAATGCTGGAAATTACAGTCAGGAATGCATGTTGCCAGTGGATGTTGAACACATACATTACCGGTATTGACAAATCGAAAAACTCATGCCGGGCGACACTGCCATGACTGACGCGGTGCTGGCTGACGGGACTCCAGCGGAAATGGCATTTGGCATGTACAAGGAGTACAAGATATCTTCCTACGTGATGCTATTCATGCTCCTTGTCTTGATCTCTATCGGTGTCAGCCATGTGCTCGAACGGAAGTGGAAACTCACGTTCATCACAAGCAGCGGAGGTACAAACATGAATTGCCTCCATACCTGCTGCTGATTGACGTTGATTCATGGGTAGCAACCATTCTCATCGGCCTTGTCGCCGGTGCTCTGTGCTCGCTGGACCAGTCGGACATCGTTGCTCGATGGGTTCGTTCCTTCCATCCGTTCAAATAGTCCGGCCAACACGATAACATTTTCACCATGTTGTAGCTGGTCGGGTTTGATCCGAATGTGTTCTTTGTGGGGCTCCTTCCTCCAATCATTTTCAACTCTGGTAAGGTCCATGGAACCAGTGTGGTTGCATACCCAACCTCGTGGCTGTCGTAGGCTACACCATGAAGCGGCGGCACTTCTTCGCCAACTTGTCGAGCATTCTCCTGTTTGCCATCTTGGGTACATTTGCTTCCTCGGTGGTTGTCGGCGGTCTTCTCTACTTCTTGGGATCCATGGGGCTGAGTTTGCAAATGCCATTGGCCGAGTGCCTTGCATTTGGCGCGTTGATCAGCTCCACGGACCCCGTGTCCACGTTGGCAGTGTTCCAACAGCTCAACGTGGTACGTACGTCCCAGAAATTTCATGTCCTCGCTTATATTGGCCGTCCATTGCTAGGACCCCAAGCTATTTTACATCATTTTCGGCGAAAGCGTGCTCAACGACGCGATTTCGATCGTGCTATTCAACACGTTTTCCAAGTTCATTGGCGTCAATGTCATTCATGCCCATGCGATTTCGTACGCTGTGCTGGACTTTGTCGGAGTATGTGTGGGCTCGATCTTCGTCGGCGTCTTCTTTGGCTGTGTGTCGTCGCTGGCCCTCAAGCACCTCAAACACTTGACCCTCATGCACGAAGTGAGTCTGTTTTTGCTATTTGCGTACATGCCGTTCCTGGTCGCCGAAGTGCTCGAGCTGTCTGGCATCGTGTCCGTCTTGTTCGCGGGCATGCTCATGAAGCATTACACGTCCAACAACCTGTCGCCGACCGCCCAGGACATGTACACAATCAATCTCCTTCCCCAACCCCTTAGTCCCTTCTAACCCGAGACTGTCGCTTGTGTAGCGCGTCCAACGTGTTCCACGTCGTCGCGTTTGTGTGTGAGCTCGTTGTGTTTCTAAGTACACATTCCATCGTCACGCTCGCCGTGTGTCTTATCTCTACTACTGCTACTGTAGACTTGGGCCTGTCGTTCTTTACTATGGAGCGCGGACTCAGCGTTCCGTTTATGCTGTGGGCCATCCTCGCGTGTCTCGTGGCCAGGGCTGTGCACGTGTATCCGCTAGCCATGCTCCGCAACGCATGCCTCCGTCGTGGAAGAAGCCACTCCCAATCTCGACTTAGTCGCAACGAGCAGCACATGATTTGGTTTAGCGGTCTCCGCGGCGCGATTGCATTTTCGCTCTCATTGTCATTCCCTCTTCCTTTTCGCGAGGTATGTACATAAATAATATATATGTTGAATTCGCTACAACTGTCCAAACTTCGTTTGTCTAATCATGAATATTGAATCACGCTGGAGTGTTCTGATTGGTTGAATTTACTTATCCGTTCTGTAAGAGCCAATCAAATTCACTCAAGATTGGATTACCCTTCAATAGCGTCGATTCGTGATTCGATTACCGGTATTCGACGGCGTCTGACAATTTGTACCGAATCATCCACAATAGTTATTGTGTAGTACTGTGTTGTTTCGTACTTTATAGTGTAGCTCTACTATGAATACATACTCTTTATGCATGAACAATATATTGTGTAGCAAGTTCGCGCGGCCACGATGGTCGTGGTGGTCGTGACCGTGCTCGTCATGGGCGGGCTCACAGTGAAGCTGCTCAACGTGCTCGACATCAAACGCGTGCCGGTGGGTTTATATAGATAGATCCGTTGTCTGAGATCGAGTTGTTATATAGAAAGAAGCTGAAGGCGATGAAGCTGTGTTGCAAGCCTCCACGAAACGGCATGTGCTATTGAAGTGGGATGCCAAGTACTTTCTGCCTTGGCTCACCACGCTCCCTATGTATGACGAAGTGTACGATATATGCATCATGTCCTTGGATATCGTACACTTGGTTGACATATTCTGTGATGTGTATGTAGGGATTTGCAGTCGATTCATACCGCAGGCTCCTCGCCAAACAGTGTCGTCGACGAGGTTTTAACTACTGCCGGACCAAATGGGTTTGAAATAGTCTCAGTCGACACCAATGCAACGGACAACCGCCATGTAGTGACCGATACTGCCGCTGGTGCTGTGCTAACCTAGACCTACGAACGATATGACAATATTAAGATTTGATCAGTAAGGGTGCGTCTGGTAACATTTAAAAATAATATTCCATTTTCTCGCAAAATGGGATAAACCGAAATGCCATTTTTCAAAATGGAGGTAAAAGGTCCATTTTGTAATACATGGCGTTTCGACCTCTTCAACGAGTAAATCCCATGTGGAATTATTGGATTTGGGCTAAGCCTCTGCAAGCAAGACATGGTTCAATTTTAATCAGATTATTTGAATTTAAATACTCATTTGATTGTTACTACTTGGACTTTTTATTGTAATTGGGCTTTTTATTTTGATACTTTAACTTTTGTTATGTAGTTACCCAAAATGGCGTTTTGGGCCTGAATACTACTCTCTATATTAGAGAGTATTCGCAAAGGCATTTCGAAAATTACAATATTTCCCGTTGCCAGACACACCCTTAGCTAATTCACTGGGGTTTTATAAATGCCAAGTAACTCTGAGCAATAATAATCACATGTGATGCTCAAGTGACCAAAACACCTTGGCTATTAATTCCATCGCGTAGTACACGCTACCTGCATGTACTATGCGATGGAACAAGAAGATGGCGTGGTTTTCTACGATGTGGCACCATACATGTACATCGCTGTACGGTAGAACACCGGCGCATGTCCTCGCTGTGTGACATTTGATCAAAAGTTGTTTATGGTGACCAGTGAATTGTGCAATTTGGTCCCGAGAATAGCAGATATAACTTCGATTTGCACTTTTCAAATGTGCAAAAGCGAGGGAGTTGCATATACTAGTATGACCTCCCTATAATTACATTCTGTAACGAAACGTGATCCTAAATCACTGTACAGATTATCTAAAACACGGGGGTCGATGTAACAAACACCCAGGTTTATGGTGTGAATAGCCAAAACGAGTGAAAAGCACAATAAAAAGTCCATTTTGTAATACATGGCGTTTTCGGCCTATTCAACGAGTAAATCCCACGTGGAATTTGGGTTAAAACTCTACAAGCAAACAATGTTTTACTTTTGGTCAGATTTGTCCCAAAATGGCGTTTTAGGCTGAATATTGCAATATTTCCGGTTACCAGACGGGCCCTAAAAAACTGTTTCAAAAACCGTTTCGTTTTTGGTGAGCTGTCGTATCCGTATGTTTCCGGATAAAGATTGCACATTGTTCGACCATTGGGAATCAACATGGACGACAATGTCCGCGGTGGCGACGCCGACGCGACGTCAACGGAGCGAGTCTTGAAGAGAAAGGTAAAGAATTCAAGGACCAACTTATTCGAATGGGTCAAGTATCGGTGTCACCTTGGGGATGGCTTCTTCCTCTGCGAGTGCCCTACATCTTTCGACAATGAAACGGTGTCGCTGCAAGTGCTGCTGGCCAACATCCTCTCAGTGCATCCGAAAGCAGCGTCGAGGTTTGAGATCACACACGCCACTCCAAGTGGACACAGCTCGGATGAGTTCATGGCACCAACGTCCCAGCATTGCTCACTCTGGGTGCGAACGTTGAAGAAGGCCGTAGCACAGTCGATGCAACTTAACTCCATCAGTCCGACGCCGTTAGCCCTGTTGTCGTCTTTGCGACCACCGCACTTATTTCAAACCAACACCACGGCACACCCAAAGCAATCACTTAAGATTGACATTCCGTGCAGAAACAGCAGCAACAACGCCATGGATGCTACCAAGTTGTCTACTGAAAGCCCATCAAATCCCACACCGCGATGCCATCCAGACGACACCCCGGCCAGTACTCCCGATATACAGACAAGTCCCCCATCACTGACACATCCATCGTTGGCATCTTCCATGCATGAGCCAGATAAGGATTCGTCCCCTCCTGATGCTAGCTCTCCTGTGTTGGTGCATCGTTCGGCAGTATCTCAACAGACGCCATCTGAACACGAGGCAGAGGAGCAACTGGGCATTCTCGTGCGTGTGGAAGGCGTGCTGAAGCAGCTGGAGACGGAAAACAAACTCTACCTGCAGCGAGAAACCCAGTTGCGCCACGAACTGGCCAACTTGCAAGACTCGATGCGGCTCATGGACGTCGAACGACAAGGTACGAACGATAGCAGCTACGGTAGCATTTGACTATTCACGACGTTGTTGCCAGAGCTCCTCACCCAACTCCGGGACGTCACCACCGAGCGCGAAGAATGGAAGGCCATGGCGCGGCGCAAGCAGGCCGACATGACGCAGCTCCGAGACGATCTGCAGCTCGCCCGCGACGAGATTCGACTACTTACAAACGAGCAACTACGGCTACACCATCGCAACAAAGACTTGGCAGTGCATGTCCAACGACTCGATACGTTGGTGTATGGTAAATTTTAACACAACAACCATCAAAAACAGCGCAAGAGCTGGACTTGTCCGCCGTCTTCGCGGGCACCGCGGGTCTCGGACGTGAACGGACTCATGCCGATACTAAACGCGAGTCGGTTCTCGTACTTGGCCTGGACCGCCAACCACTCGGTCGTGGGGTCGTCGCTGTCGCAGATTACGTACGACGTCTCAGCCGACACGACAGTGCGCAGGCCAAAGCACCATGTGCCCTCGTGGTCTTCATAAGGCCCCATGTCGATGTGGATGTGCAACGGGGTCGCGGCCTTGGAGTTGGGGCGAAGCAGCACCAACGAGGTCGCATGAGGAGGTGGCGGGGTGACCAGCGACGTCAGCACCTCGTACGACCCGCCTCCAGATTCCGTTCGGTTGATGGACTAGAATTGAGTCATGTGTGACGAGGTTGATGATGTTATGCGAGGGTACATGCAGAATGCGCTTGGCCATCTCTTCATAGGTAGACGCGAACGCGTGGTACGACGGCCGAAAGGCCACAGCCACTCGATGGATTTCGTCCACCAGAGCTTTGATCAGTGTATCGTACCCGACGATCCCTGGAAACAGCACGCCGTTGATGCGAAGTTGGTCGCGCTTGATGTCTTTGGCATCTTGGAACGCTTCCGCGTCCGATATCTGTGGCATAAAGTTAGAGAGTCAAAACGTAATAGGACGACGATGTCGTCGTACGAGAGGCAAGTTGCCAAGCACGGTCGATGACGGCGTGGCTTCCCTGTGAAGTCGATTGTGCACTGGAAACCAAACCGACGGATGCAACGCTGCATCAAAGTACTGGAGGAACTCTGCTTTCGATGTCGCGCTGTGGATGTCGTCCCGAATGCACTGGAGGAGCTCGTCGCGTCCGCCGTCGTCTTTCTCAAAGAAGCTCCACTCCAACGCATGCTCACGAAGCCATTGTTCGGCCTTGTCATCGCCGTCCACATGGATGCCCTAGGTGGAGCACCTCAGCCATCGTTCAGGAATGTATGAGGGCACTTGTTGGGTCAAGAAGGACTGTATCACACGAACGAGTGCCGATTCTCCCTGCACGCGCTGGATCGCTTCACCGAGGCTTTGATGCACATGGAAAATGTTCTGTGCAATCAACTCCAGTCTGTTGGACGGAGTGTCGGCGACGATTAGCTCCACGTGGCTGGCAAGAGGTTCGGCTACCCTCGAGGTCGAGGATTTCGTCAGTAGATGCACATCGGCATCGATGTCTTCCCATGTAAGTTCCGGCCACAATGACGGGCCACCTCCGCCATCGTGGGTTGTTGGCATTCCAACTGTATCCAATTCAAAACTCCGGATAAATCGTGTACAATTGAGATATCCGGATAACTGTGCTCGGGGATCGAAAAAGAGCGGCAGATTCCATTCAAATCGCGATGCAAGTTGGGCAGACATTCTTCGTGGTTCCATGCATAGATAAAAGCCAAGATGCCAAGAACACGCGAGAAAGCCTCCTGGGACCGAGCGGCGTAGGGCTTCGACAAGGCCTGGTAGAAGGCCGAGATTTCCAATTGCTGGAGCGACTCGAATGGGAGAAATGGAAGGCCGACAATGACCGTGCCGTGGAAATCCCCCGTCAAGTGATCGCGCGAGGTAGAGGATCACATGCGGAAAAAGTCGTCGAGTTGTATCCGCTGCTTGTCGAGGTATGTCCTCATCCATTGCTGCATTCTCGATGTTCATGCAGTGATGCCCTTTCTCAGGTCCATTTCTGGGCAAACGGCATGACTGCATCGGCACCAGTTCAGATGAAGAAAGGCGTGAATCTACACATCCTCTTGAGCGCAACGTTGGACGTATCGTCCATCAAGAATTTGCTGTGGAGCCGCATCTCGTCGCGATACCACGAACTCTTCCCCGAATACGCTCGGAGTACGGATATCCTTGGGTACAAAGCCGTGAACGACGGCAACTGGGCACGCCATATACGCGTGTGCACCAAGTCCCGTCGCGAAGACGACTCGTGGCAGACGCTGGACGAGTCGCCAATGACCCCAGACGACGACGTCCCACGTCAACGCACTGTCGGCAGCCTCAACTTGACGTCCGACGTCGATGCGTCGTGTGTGTTTTTGGTGGAATGCCCCTTCATCAACTCAACGGATGCGAGAGATCCTCGCAATGGCGAGTACTACATGAGTGAAGTGGAGGACCTGGGATGGCGACCCATGCTTCAGGTCGGCGATTACGTCGACGCCAAGGACACTGGCAACAATTGGTACCTATATATATATATATTGTGCTTTCGAGTGAAATTTCATGTTGTGGCGTGGTTTCTCGTTGGAATTTAAATCGATTTGATTGGCTACCTCAGATGAGCTCAAAATTATTAACCAATCAAAACCCATTTCTCAATGAAATTCAACCAATCAGATCGATTGTTGATCGGTTTGGTCGACGCGATTCGATTGCACCCCCTCCTCAAATTTGTATCAAATCGACAATATCTCGATTTCTTGACGTCATATATTTTGTCATAGGTACGAGAGCGTCGTGATCGACGTGAAACCGGAAAAGGTAAAGGTCCATTACTTGACATGGGGAGACAAGTGGAACGTTTGGTTGTCGAGGGACTCGTCAAAGCTCGAGCGATTGCATTCCCGCGCCGACGAGTGGCGGTCGACGTTGGGGAAAGGCGCGCCGGTGGAATTCAGCACGGCGGCAACCACAGGCATCCGGGGATCGTGGGTGGAGGCTACCGTCGTGGACGTGCAGGTCGTGGAGGGGGACGACGAAGGGACTGACGACGTGTGGCCCCGTCCGCCGCCTCGATCTTTGTACACGGGCAAAACCATCCGAGTCAAGGTGCAGTTTACAAGCGGGGGGTTGCCGCACACGAAGTCATTGGACGCGTCGTCGGAACTGCTCAGTGCGCCCAACGTCCACATCCGACGCCAGACGACGGCGGCGGTCGTCGCCACGGACATTGTCAAGGCCGACTGCCCCCAATCCAACTACTCGTACTCGTCGGGGACGTACACGACCAACCGAAACACATCGTGGTCGACGCCGTCGTCCAGTGGGTACCATTCAACCAAATACACGGCCAAAGCCGAGTTTCAAGGGGTCGTGGGGCTGCATAACCTGGGCAACACGTGCTTTCTCAACAGCGTGTTGCAATGTTTGAGCAATTCCAAGCCCTTGCTCGACTACTTTTTTCAAACGGACAACGACGGCGGGCGGGTGTACATGCGCGAGATCAATCCCCGCAACCCCCTGGGCATGGGCGGGAAGATCGCCAAGGCGTACGCCAAGCTCATGGAGAAGATGTGGTCGGGCGAGTCCAAGGTCGTGACGCCGTCCGACCTCAAGTACGTCATCGGCGAGTACGCGCCGGCGTTTGCCGGGTACGCGCAGCACGACAGCCAGGAGGTGCTGAGCTTCATCCTCGACGGCATCCACGAAGACTTGAACCGCGTGCTGGAGAAACCGTACACCAAGCCCATCGAACACGCCGGCCGACCGGACGCCGATGTGGCGAAGGAGGAGTGGGCCAACTACCTCTTGCGCAACGACAGCGTCGTGGTGGACCACTGCATGGCGCAACTGCGGAGCCACGTCACGTGCCCGTCCTGCCAGAACGAATCCATTACGTTCGACCCGTACATGTCGCTGTCGCTTCCCGTGCCCAACCAGGTATGTTCGATCGTTCATAGCCATGCGTCTCCATTTATTTATGTTCAAGAGTGGGATTGTATTCTCGGCCAAAGAGTTTGGGATGTTGTTCCGTGCATCCACTTGACACTCTGTCTCATATGTTCGTGAATTCTATGAGTTTGCACTTTGGCATTTCAAACCTCGCAGAATCCTCAATTTTGATATTGGTTATGTGTTTATATTTTAAACTGGAGCGACATGGAGAGAAAAAAGAATCGACACAACCAAATAGAAGAATCATTGGCAGAAGGATGTAGCCAATCAGGAAACCATCGTCAACGTCGAATTAGTGTGTGAGTTCAATTAGTGTGATAACAATCACCACAGGACAACACCTTTTTACATACAAAAGTTCAGTACAAAAGAATGAATCGATCGATAGATTTGGTGATTCAGCACAAAAGTCAACCAAATTTTGGGGAAAATGACACTATCTTATCATTGTAGGCGTGGGTCCTCTTGACACTGCATGGCATTGGCAGTCGTCCGACGCAGTTTGGCCTACATGTGCCGAAAGAAGGGGTATATGCGGACGTCAAGGCCGCGCTGAGCGCCCAGAGTGGCGTCCCCATCGATCGGCTCTTGGTGGTGCAAGTCAAGCACAACCGGATCGTCCGGTCGTATGCCGACTCGATGGACATTGGCGACTTGGTGTACGCGACCCACCGCGACGTTGGCGTCGTCGCGTACGAGGTCGAGTACCCGGTGGGCCAGTACGAGGTTCGGTCGCCGACGCTGTACTCGCTCAGTTCGGCGTCGACGTTGGACCTGAACCAGCGATCGCCGGGTGAACTGGCGCTGTGTCTGGTGGCGCTGCAGCACCAAGTGCCGGCGACCGTGACCGAGCCGAGCAGTCCGTCCGAAGACGACTCGGAGCAGCCGCGCACTACGAACTGCAGCTATCGGTACAACACGAACCACCACACAAAGCACCGCCGGGTGGAGCGGCAGCTGTTTGGTGCGCCCGCGCTCGTGTCGATCACTCGGGACGCGTCGAGCGCCGAGATTCACGACAAGATCCGCCAGGTCACTGAACACCTAGTGGACCCGGACCTGCAGGAGACGCCGTACAAGCTGCATGTGTCCAACTCCCGCGCCGATACCTTTCTCCACAGGGATGTGTCGGAAGAGTCGGCCGACCCCCTTCCAAACGACATCACGCGCGGCAGCTTTACGTTTACATTGGAATGGACGCCCCACGGGTACGCCCTTGGTTTGTACCTGCGTCGTGGATGGACGTGTGGTGATTTCATGTGTAGATACAAGGAAGGACGGTTGGGATGCGAGTCGCCGCGGCTGCATGTGTCGGCCGACTCAAAGCCAGCGTCGTCGTCGCTCGATCTTCGCACGTGCATTGCCAAGTTTACGGAAAAGGAACAACTGGGCGAAAACGACACGTGGTACTGTCCGAAATGCAAAGCCCACGTCCGCGCGTTCAAGAAGTTTGATTTGTTCTCACTGCCCAATATCTTGCTCCTGCACTTGAAGAGGTTTCGGTATGCGCAGGGGTCGTACTCGATGCAGCGAGACAAGATCAACACCCTCGTGACGTTCCCTGTCTCGGGCTTGGACATGGCCGACTTTGTCGTGGGGAACATCCCCCCCGATACATCCACAGTGTACGACTTGTATGCCGTGTCCGAGCACATGGGGGGGCTGGGGGGGGGGCATTACACCGCCAAGGCCATGAATCCCCGCAACCACAAATGGTACAGCTTCAACGACAGCAGTACCAGCGACACGACTGCCGACGACGCCATCACGTCCCATGCTTATGTCTTATTCTACTTGCGCCGCGCCTTGCCCACGCGATAGTCGTTTATCCAAACCATGGCGGCGTACTTTCGACTTGGTTCCATCAAAAATGAAATATCACCATTTTCAATTGTCATCCTTCAAGTATCCAATCACTGCCAAGCATCGTGGCAAAAATCCTCGTTTCAACCAATGAAATCAAACGACGTGATGTGGTTCAAGTAACAAACGTGATATATCGTATTAAATAGTGTCGACCAACTGTGTTTGAGGTCAAAGTCGTCGTCATAGTAGGTTACACAATCGGGTACTCCGATAGCTTTCGCTTCTTGCCAGCATACCGGTCAAACCAGTGCAGCTTCTTGTCGCCAAACACAGATCGGAACGACACCCAATGCAGCGCCGCGAGGAGGATGGTGGCGACGCCGCCCCACAGCATGAGGCACACCAGCCACTCGAGTGGCGACCGCCACCACGACGTCGCTTCTACGCGGTGTACGATCTCTGGCTCGATGCCCATGGTGATGCCCGCTTCCATCGCATGATGCAGCGCGTGGCTTTCCACGTGCGCGGCGGCAGTGTCCTTCATCGCCACGATGTAGCTAGGCACGTCGTCCTTGAGCGCCCAGCAGATGCCGAGCCCGACGCCGGCGCCCGTGTGATGGACCTCGTACGCGGCGCGCGTCGTTGCATTGAACACTTGCATGTGCGTCAAGAGCGGCACTTGCTCCTGCCGTCCAGTCATCTTGTACGTGTTGCGGTGGATAAACAGGATGTCGCCTTGCGGGTCGAACTGCATCATGGCCACACCGCAGAACCGATCGTCGACGGCGTCGTAGCGACCCCCGAGGGCCGGCGGGGTCTCGATGAAGTGGAACGGGGTGCTCGTGTTGTGCCATGCAAACCGGAACAGGTCCTTGTCCCCCCACACGAGTTCGAGCTTCTCCAAGAGACGGCCTTCCATCGTGTAGAACATGAGCTTGTCCAACGCGGCGGGGGCGCGGCGGCGGTCGACCAGCAGCTGGCCGCTTTCCTGCTCGAAGTCGCCAAACGGAGCCATGTCCAGCAGCTGCCACAGCAAACTCTGCGAGTTGACGTTGAAGATCGAGTAGTCGGGCTGCCAAAAGTCGGGCCAGAACACCGCGCCCGTGTCAAGGAACTCGGGCGCGTCAAAGAGGAACGTCGGGTCCCGCGTCGGAAAGTTGTCCGAGTCTAGGAACAGCACTTGGTCAAATGCGCTGTGGTAGATCGCATAAGGCTTGGACTTGAACTTCTTGGCCGCCTTGTTCAAGATCGGGCGCAAGTTGCAGTTGTACTTTCCCGTGAGTTCGACCACGACGGGATTGGTCAAGTCGATTTCGCCCGGGTGGTAGAACAGCTCGATGGGCAGCACACACTTCATAGCGCGTAGCGATCGAATCACGGCATACGCGCTGGCGAGGACGGGGGTGTAGACTGACATGGCGATGCCGCGAGTCGGCGCATCGGTCAAGGAAGACACAACAAGAGGCTCGTTATGGCGGTAGTTCACCGCCTTGATGGAGAAGTCTGTAAACTCTGTCGCCATGTTACACGTGTATTCGTGGTGGTCGTCGATGCCTCGGCAAGTAGTCGCCATAACGCGGAACACTTCCCCGCTGGTACGGTTGCGGACTTCGCAGAATCCTGCCATACCGCGCTTGATGGGTTCGTTGCAGTTATGGTCGTTCCAAGGCTTTCTGGCGCCAGTGGGGTCGCAACCTTCAACTGCGCGCCACCCGAGGCATTGAAACTCATCCGGGCGCCACAACGACGACACGCGATCCACGGGCATCACGATGTTGTTCAGCGATGGATGAAACACGACGTCGCGGGGAAACGGCGCAAGCATGAAGTAAATCTTAAACCCGGCGACGACGGCAACTCCTGCAATCGTGACTCCCATCAGGAATCGCGTGAGTTTGTACCATCGAGGCGGAATGGTGCATCTGGAACTGGACTCGGATTTGGACGATGACACTGAGGTCACGCGAGCGTCAAGAAGGGAAGCCACTTCAATCACTTGGTTGGACGTCGCGGCGGCGGCTGTCGACGACAGCTCCCGCTGCGAGCATTGTGCCCACATCTCCTTCCTTGTGATGGTAGGTTTTGGAGTAACAGAGCGCGAGAGCCGGCGCGGAGAATTTTCAGCTTTTCACGAGAAATTTAGATATCAGAACGGGCAAGTTTGTATTCAGGATTGTGTGCACTTGATATATGTATACTAACAACGGTGAAGGAGCTACACTCTGGGTTCAACGTGGGAAAATATTCGCAATTTTATTATCGAAAGAACGAAATTTCTACTCGTGGCCATCGTGTCCACGATTGGATAGTCAAATAAAAAAATGGCCCAGGATGTCCATAGATACTCCTGATTTTTCATTATATTATTGGTCGATCCATTGCAACGGCAGGAGGTTGAGGTGTTACACATTGCTGACAGCCGAACAATTCGATAAAGTTCGAGATAAGAACCTACTTCTTATTTGAACGAGAGCGTACCTACTGAATACGCAATTAAAAGGGTTATCTATTAAAATGCATGCGATTACACTTGAATTTACTAAACGGTAATGCAGTGTAGGTTGAAGTATATAAGAATGCATACTAAATGCAGTCTTAGTACGTTGATCGGTGTATCGACTCTTCCGCACCTAGAAGGTGGACACACAGATGGATGTTCGTTCATTGAGTGCGGCCAGGAGTGTCGCGCCCCTTTGACGACAGCGTTGGACACCACTACATACTGTATCTCGGACCAATTCGGACTTTCGAGTCTGAAGGAGATCAACATGGCGTTGTCATGGTTACAGTTACTGTATTTGAATCTTTCGATGTTCGACGATAACGCAAATGTGAAGTGAGCGTCTAAAAATATATCCGAATCCATGACTGTATAATACTCCGCGTATTATACAATGTACTATTTAATAGTACTATAAATAGTAGTAGTAGTAGTACTATTAATAGTGTTTGGGGTAATGCGTACTTAGTACATTAAGTTCGATTTGGGTTGGAACCAATGATCTTTGCGCCTTCCGGAACAGCTTCAACTCGTTTTCGCACATCAACATGGCCACGACCAACCGACCGAAGAAGCGCAAACAGACCCAAGTGGGGCTCGGCGCGAATGAAATCGCGTTCATCGAAGACGAGATTGCCGCTGTGGCCATGGAGTACGGTCTGGAAATGGACGACGACGTGGCCAAGAGCATTCAGTCGAGGCAAAAGTCATCCAAACACAAACGCATAAGTGCATCTGCAACGCCATCCGCGTCGTCCTCCCTGGATGCCAATGCGCTGCAGTCGCTACTTCCCAAGCAATGCAGCATTGGGCCATGCAAATCGCCTGGCTGCAACTGCCGCGGCTACCTCGCCGACAAAAAGAGCGACGACGGCGACTGCTTCAAATGCGAGCACGGCAAGTTTCTGCATTCGATTGTGTTTGCGATTGAATCCGAAGAAGAATCCAAAGCTATCCACGGCCAGGTACTTCTCGGGATGATGTACTCGTTGGTCGTGCTCGGTCGGTTGGCGTCCACCGTCGTGGGCTCCAACGCGTGGACCCAGGCGTCGCTCGAGTTGCTGCAGACGTCCGTCCAGCAGCACCTCAAGCGTCAATTGCTTCGAGCCCAGCAGCAGCAGCAAGACACACCCGACGTGGATCGACCCGCCATGACTAAGCTCAGCTCGGACCTGCAGGCGCTCATCGTGACCGCCACGCAGGCCGTGGCCACCTCTGGGCGCACGCAGATGCGCATCAAACTCGCGTGCTACTTCGACCAAATGTACTTTGCCTTGTACCAAGCAGCAATCACCGTGTTTGGCCGCAATTGTGCGGCGGTGCCCCCCTTGCACGAGTACTTGGGCCAAATCGACAAGCATCGGCCCACATCCCGCACCGACTACGAGATGTTCGTCGCGACTCTCTTGGACGGCGGCGACGACGTGCCCGCGGACTTTCACACTGCCTACGAAGCCAAGCCCAAGCACGGCCTGGCGTTGCTGGACGTGTTGCTCTGTCGTCAACGCGAAGGTACGCCCTGTTCTACTAGATCGTTTATCTGAAATGCAGCGACTCGTGCAGGAGTGCAACTGTTTTACGAGCCCAGCTTGGGCATGAACGGCGAAATGGACAAGGTGGTGGCGGATTTGGGCCGCAAGGTCAAAGAATCGGTCAAGAAACTCACCAAGAAACAGCGTATGAACCTCAACAAGTCGCCGGCGGACCACCTGACGTCGGCAAGTGTCAAGTCGGCGGGGACGGCGCTCCCGGCGTACGCGGAGCTGCGACAGTGGCGCGACACGTGCCGGACGTGGTGCGATAAGCTGTACAGCCGTGCCATCCCGCACCCGGCGGCGTTCAAAGCCATCAAGGCGCTGGGGCCGATTGTCGAGATGGGCGCGGGGTTGGGCTACTGGCATTCGCTCATGGACCAGCACAAGATCGACGCGTTGGCGTTCGACCCCACGGCCACTGCCAAATGGTCGCCCAAGACCGGCGAGGACGACGCAGCCGACGACCCCGACGGGAACGAAGAAGACGTGGCGGCCTCCACGGGACTGCCTCGATGGAGCACGGTGCGAGACATTCATAGGACAATCAATGGGTTTGCTTTCTCATGTAGTACCTATCGGAGTAGGTGTATCAAGGGAACGCGGATATTCTAGACTCGGTGCCCGCGCTCAAGTCCCGAACGTTGTTCCTGTGTGCGCCGCCCAAGACGTCGTTTGCACGGGACTGCCTGCGCCACTACAAGGGACGCCACCTGATCCACGGTACTTAACGAACTAAGATGCGAAATTATTATGTACGTACATTATGAACGGCACTTTGTTGTTGCAGTGGGCGAATGGTATGGGGACACGGGCGACCGTCAGTTTGAGTGCGACGTGATGAAGGCGTTTGCGCTCACGTCGCGCGTGCCGCTTCCGAATTGGGGCGACACGGCGTTTGAACTGACTGTGTGGGAGCGCAAGACCAAGGCGAACCAGCCGTCGCTGCCGGTCGTGGCGTGTGCCGTGTGCGAAAGTCGCCACCGGAGTCTGCTGCGGCGCTGCTCGCTGTGCAAGACGACGGTGTACTGCAGCGCCGACTGCATGCGCCAGCACACGGCCGTGCACACCGCCGAGCACGCGCGCCGCCTCGTGTTCTTGAACCACGACGACCTCCTGGACTTTGACAATCCGCATCATTTTCACCCGTTCGAGTGGGACATGCACGCCAACGACGACTTCAAGGCGGCCGCGTCGTGGTCCACCACGGCCAAGGAGGACGCGACATTTTCGTTCAAGTTTTAAAAATGAGATTGCGGATTCCAGACCCCGTCGAATCGAATCTCGCCGCCAAATCGAATCGCGAATCGACGCTATTGGCTAATATCCATTTTTGAGTGGATTTGATTGGCTCTTGCAGAAAGGACAAGTATATTCAACCAATCAGAACTCCAGAGTGATTCAATATTGATTAGACAAACCACGCGATTCACAATACAGTGTGATGTGGAATTACATCATCCCCGGGTATATATATAAAGTGTACGGCGAAAGTTACTCGTACACTTCGTTGTCCCAGTAGTCTCGAGCATAAATCCATTGCGAACGACAAGGCATTGATTTGACAGTTATATTAATGTTCATCACGAAAAGCAAAAAGTGAAAACCAGTTGTTTTGCCGAAAATCCTATATTGATGTGACCAAAATGGTCGAATTCTACAGTAGTATACTATTAATAGTATTAATATGTCGTAGTATTGTAATTGGTCGTGCAAAAAGTTCTGGTGTTAGAGAAAGTCTACCGAGCTAGCTAGCATCGTGGCCCCGAGTGCGTGACGATGGAGCTTCGTTTGCGGTCCTTGGGGGGCATCGCAGAAAACTCGCGGCTGTGGGTGGCGCTGTCGTCGGGTTCGTTGAGGAACGTTCGGATGAGTTGGTTGGTGTGGGCGGACCACTGGTCTTCCATGTGAAACGCGTGGTCGGCGTCGGGCAACATGACGAGTTTCGAGTGCAAAATGCGTTCGCTCAAGTACTCGCCTTGGAATGTAGGCACGAGCGAGTCCTGTGAGACACGATGAGCTGTCGTTAGTATTGCATCCTAGTAATGCTAGTATGAACAACAACCTGTTCGCCGTGCAGCACCAGGGTCTTGCACTTGACGTCGGGCAAGAAGGCGGTGCAGAGGTCACCATTCTTGTCGTCGAGGAGGCGAGCCATCGTAGCGATCCATTCTGCACCAAAATATACATTGCAATAATTTCAAAAAATTTATATATTTATATTTTTGTGCAATAAGGTGGAGTGTTATCATGATTGACAAGCGATACATGCATGTACCTGTCCACTTGGTTTGGAATGGCCCGACTCCGCCATGAACAGCTATCATTTGTTCTCGTCGCTCGTCACTCCACGTTGCCACGTCCGCGCAAGCAGCGTACAAAGCCAAGTCTTCGTCCGTCAAGAAAGCCTAATGCACACAAATATGAACAAAGCAGGCGTCGTTGGAGGGGTCTTTGTACGTTGCCGCCCATCAGCACCAAGCGCTGCATGTGCTGAGGGTACTCGGCCGCCAGAATGACGCCACTGTTGGCTCCATCGCTAAACCCTAGCACGGAATACTACCACGGCTGCGTGAGACCATCGCATGCTGTAGCTATCGCATACCTTGTCGTAGCCGAGGCCTGTCATGAACGCGGCGGCGTCGTGCGCGTCTTTCTCGAGGAAGTTGAGGGATTGGGCCTGCGATGTGTCTGGATGGAATGCGATAATAGAGTATTCATCCGTGAGACCAGTCAACTGCGCCGGAAAGTCCGTCGCTCCTGTGCCTGCAAGCATCCTTGGACGTAAATCCACATGGTTCGCTGGCATGCCATCACTTACCCAACGCTCCAGGCAGGCATAAGATGACCTTCTTGTTGTCCAGCGACTTGGAGATGGTAGCATGGCAGGGGTTTCCGTTGACAGTCAAGCTAACCAAAGATGAGAAGCCTCGCAACGACGGCGACGAGATCAGACGAGACGCCGCGCGCAGTAGCATCCTTGAATGGCGTCGAGTACCTTTCGCAATGGATATAATGTTTTACAGGTAAAGCTTTGTTCGGATTGGCTAAAATGCCTTGCTATGTATTTTGCCAGCAAAGCGCAAAAAAATCCAAAGTGCGATGACGGTGCTGGACGTTATGACGACGCAGCTCCGTGCATGCGAAGAGAAGCTATCGAGCATCCAGGACTACAAGGAAAATGAGCTCACGGACCTGTATCGATTGGCGGAAGAAGCCATCAATGCCATGAAGGCAGAGCAAGATGCGATTGAAGCCACCCTGCCGCAACTCGCAGACAAAGAACGCCATGGCGCCATGGAACGTCTGTCGAGAATAGATTTGATGGAATCCAATGCCAAATCCGTCCAAGACAAACTCACTCAGCTCCACGCTCACACAGGTGAGCTGTGCGACCTTCTGGAGCCCCAAACGACCCGGTTGAAGCACCTCGAGACTCAAATCCAGTACTTCCAACTGCTCTTGGAGGTCGAAACATTGAGTGCCCGCGCCAAACCTTCGGCGGGTTCCAACGGTACAATGATGTCGTGAATGACCCTACGTTGTGAACGTGCCTCTGCAGGAGACATTGATGCGCTGGTGGCGATGGCGGCGCTGAACCAGTCGCTGTCGACGCATTTTGGGATGGACGTGTCCTTTCAGCTCAACCTTCGTGTATGTCGTGTACATGTCCCGTTCGACTCTAATGCGATGTCATAGTCGTTGATCAAGCAGCGCATGGCGTTCCTTGCGGTGGAGCTGCAAGCTTTCCACACCAACGCCCTCGACGTGTCCATCGACGCCCTCCGGTGGCCCCAAGTCATTGCCGACACCGACTTGGCATCCAACGTATGCCCAGGCATCACTCGAGCATGTTGATATTGACACTGAACTAGGCCGTGGAAGTGTTTCGAGACAAGTTTACAGCGTTGGTCCAAGTGCAGTTGGCTGTGGCGTCGGTCACGGCAGAAGGCGTGGAATCCGAGGTAGCCATATATTATTTCCTTGTATTCAATTATATCATAATTAAAAAAACGGTTTTATTTTATATAAATATTTTATATGATTAAAACATATTCTGTTTTCCTTGTCCTTTTTATTTGAAAATATTCTTTTTGCTTCATTTTTTGAGCATTCTGTAATAAATTTGAATTCGTCTAGAAAACATTTTGATTTGACGTAAAAAAATACTCATATTATATTGTGCTTTCGAGTGAAATTTCATGTTGTGGCGTGGTTTCTTGTTGAAATTTAAATCGATTTGATTGGCTACCTCAGAGAAGCTCAAAATTATTAGCCAATCGAAACCTTCTCAATGAAATTTAACCAATCAGATCGATTATGGATCGGTTTCGTCGGCGCGATTCGATTGCATCCCCTCCCCAAATTTGTATCAAATCGACAATACAATGATTTGTTTTCTATATTTCTTTGTGAACGTGCCAAGTCAATATCGTGCACGATAGTTCGATTAGCACACGTTCATTCTCGAGAACTTTGGCCAACTCATAGCGTGGCATAGTTGTCGGATCTGTGGGCCATGCAGCGGCTGCTGCAACCACTCGTGCGCCGATTCCACTTCCATTTTGATACCCACGTCAAGACCAACGACGTGTCCAAGCCCGAGTGGTACCTCACGCACGTGGTCGAAGTGTTGCGGTTGGTTTGATGCCATACATGTCCAGTGGATTGACGTTGTCGCATATATTTTACCGGTGGTAGAGGCCACATCTTGTTTTTGGAGTCGGTTGTGCGGCCGGCGCTAGCTCGAGGACTCGTCGAGTCGTCCGCGGCAACACGCAGCAACAACACGGACGGCGTCGCTCTATTCATCCATGGATTGCTCCAGCCTGTTTGCGCCAAGCTCAAGCAGTCGCTTCCGATTCTGGTGCTGGTAACACGAAGCTTGCAATATATATATATATATATATATGCAAACAATGCACGTACAACAACGACAACTCGTTGGTTAGAACAAGGCGTTGTTGTGCCATACCGTGGACGAAGTGGTCGACTTTGAATGGGTACGTGCTACTCGGTACTTGGACCTACCTTTTGTCAGTGTGAGCGCTTAACATTTGAGTAGAAACTACGCCAAGAGTTCCAGTACCGACGACCCCCACGCGTGCCCAGCCAAAAGACCCTACTAGTACTCGACCAAGTAGCGGCCAACGCTGCCGCCTTGGACCTGTGGCTTCAAGTAGACTTGGAGTACGCGCAGAATTTCACACTGGGATTTCTCCGCGATGAAGCAGACGTTGCGTGGACGACCGTGGCCGACGACGATGCAAAAGTGACTCGGGCAGCGTATGCCATTGCAGCGACGTTTGACGTATTGTCGAAACGGTATCACAGATAGGTTATGCTACCAGTGTGTTGTGACAATGCTGGGTAGTTTCCAAGTATTGTCCGATCCAACGCACCGGTATACGTACGTGGCCCAAGTACTCAAACCGTGGCTGTACCAGTGTCATGTGGTACATACACATTTAAAAAAATATATTACTGATTTAAATTTCTTATTACTATTTTTCAAATATACTTTTGTAGGCCATCGAGCGTTTTGGTCAAAGCCAGCCTGTTATGTCCCAACCATTGGTTACCACGGTATATATATATATATATACGTCTCCGTTGCTCTAGAACGTTGTTGCTCAAGGCTAACGTACGATATATATGTGCAGGCCCCTCCGTCGTCGTGTTGGCGGGCGGCTTGCGCGGCGGTTAATACTGCATGGTTCGTCCAGCAACTTCTTCGAGAACACGACGAGGTCAAGGCGTTCGTGGAGCTGCTGCCCATCGCCAAAGTAACGCTGCATCAGGCGTCGATCGTGCCGTTAAAACTCAAGCAAACCGTGGCGGGGCTGTCCAAGAGCGTGCTGAATCACCCGCTGCTCGAGACCCAAGAGGCCAAGAACGTCACGCACGGACTGCTGGGCCAGGGCTCGCTGGTGCTGCCCACGGCCGCCTTCTCTGCCGCGTACTCCGTCGGATCGGTACGTTCTAAGATCATACACATGTGTATACTGTACTGGTGGTGGTGATGAAATGGTGTCGACTTGGTAGACACTGTTTCGAAGCTTGCAACGACCTAAAGAAAGCGTCGTGGAAGTCGTCCGAGCAGTGGAAGACGGTGCTGAATTAGATGAACGCGAGTCGGATACGTATACCCTGGACGGGTCGATCTTTCAGAACGAGTGGACGTGGTTTCAAGCTGGCGTCCAGTCGATGGAAGAGGTGTTGGTGGCCGCGTCGAGCGCTGCGATTCGGGCGCAGTGGGGTCAGTACCACACCAGGTGAGGGACGACACCACATCGTTGCAATCCGCGACAACGTACATGACTAGTCCCCGGTGGACAGAGCCAGCTGCAGTCGACCGAATCGTGCCGGACGTGTCGCCCGAGTTTACCGGCGGCGTGGCGCTGTTTCGACACCATTTGGTACGAAGAAATCTCGTAAGTTGGTGGAATATCATATTGACAGCAGCATGGGGTATAGGTCTTTGCGCACGCCAGTTTGAATCCGTCGTCGTTCGAGGTGTATTGGAAAGCTCTGAGTAAGGAACTCGACGGCCACGTGCTGGCGATTGTGCTGCAACTCAAGGTACTTACTTACTAGTAGTACCTACTAGTACCTACTCGACAACATCACCCCCATTTGAACGCCTCCACAGGCCATGTCCAAGAACGGACGGCTGCAATTCACCCACGACGTGCACGCGGTCACTCTGGTCTTGCGCCCGTACACTAGTCGGCCTGATGCTTATGTTCGGAGGTTGTTCCATCTCTCTCATCAGGATCATCGTTCAATGTGGTTGGACACGTGGCCATTCATGATGCAAGTGTACGTAGGCTGGTAGAAGCGTCGGCGGTGCTCCACATGCCCACTGCCAAAGCCAGAGTGTTGGGGGATGCGCTGGCAACCCAACACAAACTAGACATGGCGTCCGTCCAAATTCAAACCATGTTAGAAGCGAGCCAACTTCACGCGCTAACGCCATCCAACGTGTCCACGTTGCTTCGTATGGGGGCGTAGTGATGGCAGGGATATGTAACGCACTCGATAACATCGAGTGTTCAGTCTTGCACATGCCGAGTTGATTCTGTCGACTGGTGGCGGCAGGATTGGCGGCACGGAAGCATCGTCCATGATGGAAGTTCCATGGGAAGCCCCGCTTGTGGCGGCGATGTTGGGGAGATGTCTACAGAACTACTGTCTATAGAACTACTGGTGTCCGATAAGTCTTGATCATGAACGGACTGGGTCATGTCTGGCTTGAATTCGCCCTTTGACGTTGAGGACGGGGGAGACACAGCTGCAAGTTCCCTCCGAAGCTGGTCGTTTTCCGACATGACAGACGCCATGTCTACACGCAACGCATGCAATTCGTCTTCCAGTGCCTTGATCCGACCAGCCGATGAGCCACGCGATGGTGCGTCATGGCACAACGCTTCCAAGCTGTCGTTTTCAGCTGTCATCGTGGCCAGCACACGGCACACGGTGGCATGGAGCGCTTCCTTCTCCTGTGTTTCCATGGCTAATCGAGCCTGAACACGTACGAGTTGGTCCTTGAGTTGATCGACGGTTAGACACGACTGGGCATCGACAGCATCAGTGGATCGTCGCACGTTGTTGGCGTCGTGGGGGCAACAAGTGCGCACGATGAATGTGATGGTGCTGAGAAATCGTCCGCCGACAATACCATCGATAGATGATATCCAAGGCTCGGTGATGTGAGCCAGAGAATTGACAAACCGAGGGATGCCCACCCGCACTGCGACGATTTCGGTCGCGGCGACCACGACTGGCACGATTGGTAGGTTCGCCGCCTTCACACGAGCGTAGCATGCACAGACTCGTCGTTCAAACCATTTCAAAAGTTCACGCAGTAGGGACACTTGCATATCCGTGGACAAGTAAACAGAAGACACTTCCAAGTCCACCTTGTGCGTCTTCGTCGTCGTGGCCATGGTCACGTGTGTAGTGGTATGACGCACCCCATTTCGTAACCGGTTGAATGATGTCTCATCCGGATGTTGGCATTTCGTAACTGGATGAATGAGGTATCATCCGGATGTTGAAGTTACTACGTAGTACTAGTACCGTACGTTTGGGTGTACTTTGGAAGTATGTACTACTGTAGTATGCATTTTGTAACCGGATGAATGAATCGTCTCATCCGGATATTGACATCATCGCATGAAAAACCATCAGGAATGCAAATAAAACGGGGCACGTTCCCGTTATCTCGTGCCAAGCTTGTTCAGCGACGTGTACTGCATGTTACAGTAACTAACAGGTTAACTTGGTATGACCAAGAGATTGTTGCAACTGGAGCACGCGGTCGTCTGCGTACTGTACATACCGGTACATACTCGGAGAACAACACGGTGATGATCTGAACTCAGAGTCGTCATACTGGATAGCATGGGGGGGGGTTAGTACTGTACATTCCGACGAAAACAGGTAAGTGTTTGAGATCACGTGATGCAAAACCTTGGTACGATTGAGGGTTGGGATTGCACCCACAAGAGATTCTAGGCGGAAACAGTCTTTGCGAAGCAATAATCTCCTGTGAAATGGACTGGAAACGTTGTGAAGGCAATATGCAATGATTTGATGTAATCATAAGCAGGTACAGTAGGTAGGTAGGTGCATACTGTATATAATACAACGAGTTTGCTGCCACTTGTGAAGCGAAGAAGAATACTAATCTCGTTAGAAAACCAACAACTTGGGGAGATTTCCCAAAGGTACTTGCCGAAACGATTTACAGGGAAAACCGACTCCTAGACGAGTGTAAGGTATGGATTGACCTGTTGGCCGCTTGTTTGGCGCGAAGCCACCCAATACTGTATCACAGTGTATCGGCGGCGAGCTTTTATATTAAATGATCCGACAATAATGCTGTCGTGTCGGTGGGGAAAATTCCGAGCCTTTGCCTAGTCGAAATAGGCAACTACCCTATGGGACAATTGCAGACATGCAATATCATGCATGACACTTAACGAGTGACTGGCTCAAAAATCAATAGCTTGCTTGCCCATGTCCAAGCTCACAACGTACCGGACGCCTGGGTACGATGATGAACCTCCTCGGTCCCCCCAGCTCAGCACGGACGACGACGACGATACGGGTATGCATCCGAGGGATTTGGACGATTCGTTTGCAGTCATGGAGGCCTCCAGGATTCCAAAGCCAGATCGAAACAGCATCCCGAACCATGGCGGTGAAGTCACGGCGTTGAAGCCGTCGATCCTTCACTGCTGGCCGTTGCTGTTTGGACGTACGTGTATCTTTGGCTATGACGTGGATGGTTCTCACGATAGCTTTTAAGCAGTGCTGTACCTGGCGGGCACGGGGTTCGGTGTGTCGAAACTCGTTAAAGCCGGATGGATCGACCCCGAGTATGGGAATGCCACATATGCTCAGTACCGAGAGGATTCAGTGATCGGGGAAAGCTGTCGGGGCGTGGACCACGCCGTGCCTTGGCGCGAGCTCAAGCGAAAGCTCAAGCGATGTCGCCGTCACGAGTACTACGTACGACAGTTGTCGTCCTCGATTTGTCACGGTTGGTAACCACATCTTTGTCTTCAGGACCCGATGCACGACGATTGCCATCTATGTCCTGCCGCCACGCCCGAAGACAAGATCTTTGCCGTGTTCTGGGAGACCCAAAAGGACTGCACACGGGTGCGTTCGTGACGTTTCCAACGACACGACCATTTTGAATATGTACATGCTTGTAGCTCGTGGAAGACTTGAGTACGCGATACGTGACGCACGTCATGTGGTCGTTTGCCGAGCCGCTCGATGACGGCACGATCAACACCAAGCTGCAGTTCTGGGACGACGAGCACATCCGCGACTGCATTGGCCAGCTTCGCATGTTCGTCGTCATCATCCTCCTATCGTTCGTTCGTGTAATCTCATGGGTGTCGTGTCAGGCGGTGCATCAAGAGCATGATCGCCGTGGGCGGCGCGTCCTTTCGCGAGCGCTTTCTCCCTTTGAAATCCCCCGACAACCTCGCGCGGTTCACAGCGACTGCCGTCCAGCTCGTTCAATTGTACCGCAATTCTACTACTATTATTAATATTGTGCTTTCGAGTGAAATTTCATTGTGTTGTGGTTTCTCGTTGGTAATTAAATCGATTTGATTGGCTACTTCAGATGAGCTCAAAATTATTAGCCAATCAAAACCCATTTCTCAATGAAATCCAACCAATCAGATCGATCGTGCATCGGTTTGGTTGGCGCGATCCCCAAATTTGTATCAAATCGACAATATTACTAGTATTTTTATTCGATACTCACATCAACCGTCATCCTAGGTACGACTTTGATGGGATTGACATCGACGACGAAACTGGCAACATGGTGGCCACCGGCGGCAACTGGCTCAAGAGCCACGGACCGACGGTGGTCAGCTATTTGACTGCGTTGCGCGAAGGTATGGAGACATGTAGCACCCAAGGGTACGTGTTGACGGGGGAGTAGGGCTGGACGCGGTGCAGCATCCGGACGAGCCGCGGTACTTGCTGTCATGGGACGAGTTCCCGTACGCGTGGGACCCGCCCCAGCCAGACAACGCCAACTACGTGGGATGCATCCGGTACACCGAAGGCGAAGATGGGTGGCATCGGTGCTACGAGCCGCGGATCTCCAACTTGGTGGATTTTGTAAATGTCATGTTTTACAACATCAACGGCGGCGAAGTACGTACATCCGTTCATATGATCAGCATCGTAGTTGAGTACCATATGGTCCAGGCCGTGTACCGCGCAGTGATTGAAGACACGCTGCCCAACAAAGCCGCCTCGGTGATCCCCAAAGACAAGATTGTCGTTGGGGCGTGCTGTGGGATGGGGTGTGTGACGCTCCAACCCCCCGGCCAGGAAGTATTTAACGCTGGCAACGGATCCGCCTACTATAAAGGTATACGAACGTCCTTATATTGTGAAATTTCGAGTGAAATTTCATTGTTCTCGTTGGAATTTAAATCGATTTGATTAGCTACCTCAGATGAGCTCAACATTATTAGCCAATCAAAACCTTCTCAATGAAATTCAACCAATCAGATCGATTGTGGTTCGGTTTGGTCGAGTCGATCCCCAAATTTGTATATCAAATCGACAATACCTTTTTGTATTATGTTTTTCCTCCTAAGTACACGAGGTTGATATATGTCGTGATTCCATGTAGGCACGATGCTTTGGAGTTCGACGATTGACATTCTGTATGAAAACTCGAGCTCGACGCATCGCATGGGGCGCGCCGGCAACTACGGCGTCAAGATGCCGTTCCGTATGCCGCCGCCGTAGAAAGCGTCCGAGCCTCATTTATAGCTGCTTGACTACCACCACCAACTTCACTGGTATCGTAAACAAAGTAGACATTTCACACGTGTGAACAGTTCGGATTGGTCCGATTGGTGCGTTTGTTCGACGCTAGAACGTTTGAATTCAGAGGTGAGGTAAGCATGTAATTTACATATATGATAGGATACAAACTTCAAATGAAAGCCACGCTGGACGTTTTCTTCTGTTCTGGCTCGACGACATTCGTCATGCAGTGCTACAGTATATGGGACGCGTACAATGGTCCGAGAGCTTCCCAGTCTTGTGCACACTTCAAAGTAGATCGATCTTGTACTAGGATATCATTGGACTGTAAGGCCACGACTGTGGCACCACTGCTATATGTTGCGTGGATGTTAGTTACCGCAAGGATGCATGTAATGGTTCTTACACCCACCAGATGCTTGAAAGTATGCAAAAAACGATCTTGTTTTCCGGTATATCGTTGTCATACCTCTTGTATTGGCACATGGCGTGCGCTGGCAGAAGTCAAACGGGCGTATCGTGTTGGCGACGCAGACGACGATGGATCTCCCAAACATGAGGAAGTCCCAGTACTACGACGAGCCTGAGCGGCGTTCAGACATGCAGCTCCGAATGACGCCGGTGTACAATGTGCAGGACAAGACCCACGTGGAAGAACCATCCTTCACGCACACAATCCGACACATTTGGCCGCTCATCTTTGGATGTACGTTCGTTACGTAGAGGGAGGCATGGCGTCACGCAGTGTGTGATCTGTAGTGGCCTTCCTGGCAGGATCGTCGTACGGCGTGGCGACGCTCGTCAAAACATACGAGGTGGATCCGACCTACTTGAACATGACGTTTGCCGAGTTCAGGGAGGAACAAGTGCTTGGTGAACAGTGCAGAGCTGTGGACCACGCCGTGCCGTGGAAGGAGCTCCAACGAAAGATCCGCGGGTGTCGTCGTTTCGAATACTATGTACGACCCATTACTGCATGAGTACTGTAATAGCCATGGCGTCGACGATGGGATTCTTAACCCCCAAGTCGTGCGTAGGACCCGATGCACAACGACTGCCAAGCGTGCCCCGCCCACCAGCCCACAGACAAGGTCTTTGCCGTGTTTTGGGAAACTCAAAGCAATTGCCAGCATGTACGTACGCCCATATCCTTGAACATGAATACTATCCCTTTGGATGATCAATCCCTGGTCTTAGCTGGTGGGCAACCCCAATATTCGATTTGTGACCCATGTGATGTGGTCGTTCTCTACACTACGAGCCGACGGCAGCGTGGAGCAGAATCTGCAGTACTGGGATGACAAGCACATCAAGAACTGCATGGCCCAGCTGCGCATGTACGTCGTCCAGTAGTCCTCAGGGGGTTGCGGCCATGTTGATTCGACTGTTGTTGATGCTGGCAGGCGCTGCATCAAGAGCATTGTCGCGCTCGGTGGCGCCAACAACCGAGACATGTTCTATGGACTCCGCCAACCCGAAAACGTCGAGCGGTTCACGGCATCTGCTGTGTCATTGGTCAAAAAGTAAATCTCACCTTTTTCTTTCTGGTGATATATATATCAATGATATATATTATAGGTATGGCTTTGACGGGATTGACGTGGATGACGAGACGGCCAACATGGTCATCAACAAGGGCAAGTGGAAGGACTTTCATGGCCAGACGGTCGTCGACTACTTGACGGCGCTTCGAAAAGGTAGAGGATTCACATCGCGGGAAATATATAGATATATTTGTGTACAATTCATAGCACTGGACAAAGCACGGGTGCCCGATGAGCCGAGATATATTTTGTCCTGGGACGAGTTTCCACAGTCATGGACGCCGTCCGACTGTGAAATTTACAACAACAACGACGGATGGCATCGGTGCTGGGAGCCGCGCATCACCGACTTGGTGGATTGGGTCAACATCATGTACTACAACATGTTTGGGTACCCGCAGTTCGGAGTACGTTGCAAATCCCGATATATATTCATTCTGAATCATGGTATGTAGAATCCATTTTACGACCTCATGGCCAAGCACTTGCCGGAACGGGTGTTGCCTGCAATCAAAGACCCCAACAAGATCGTGCTGGGCGCGTGCACTGGTCAAGGGTGTGTGCTGCCGCAGCCGGACGGCCAAGACGTGATGAATGCTGGCAACGGGTCTGCGTACTACGGAGGTACGACACATGCAGACTCGTGTTGTCTCTGAAGTCAAGGGATTCTGCACAGGCACGATGCTGTGGAGTGCTACGATCGACATTTTGCTGGAGAATTCGACCAGCCTCCGTCGCATGGGCCGGGCAGGCAATTACGGCGTCAAGATGCCATTTCGTGCCCCCCATCCGTAGTTCCTAGAGGCATACATGTAGTTGGTAGCATAATAATGTATGTTGTATACTACTAGTAGTAGTATACAACATCTAATATCTCCAATAGTAGTCTACTACTATTGGAGATTCGGAATGAATTCCTGGATCCCGTTTACAAATCGATCGATCGAACCGACCACCATCCTCTCAACACCCTTTTTATAGGATTTGTCATCCCGATAAGGCCTCATTATAATTGGGCGTCGCGGACGAGCGACAATTCCACATCGAACGAGTCAAGCGAAACATATTACTTCGATATATTAATAATAGTAAAATTTGTTGGATTAGGTGATTATGCGTACTATTAATAGTAGGCACCCTTATTAGGGCAGTAATAAGGCCCAAAACGCTATTTTGGGGCCGAATTCAACAAATCTGATCAATATTGAAACATAATATACAGACACGACACAAAACCGACAATTTTTTATCGCGTGATTGGATAACTGACATAAAGTCGTCCTTTCATTGGTCAGAGTAGTTTCGGTTCCATCCATTGGTCGAGAATATTGTCGTGGCAGCAACATATCATTAACATGTAACATGTACGCAATTCGATTGGTTAGATGCAAATAGATTACCTAAAACCGATCTTTGACAGTTTTTCACTTGCCAAATGGACGCGATACCAACGAAGGAAGCGATCCAGGACGCATTCCACGGGACCTCGACCCGGCGTACGTACTCAACGTATCAGCGTCAATTCCTCGAATACTTCCAGCGTGCGAACAGTGGAAAGGACCCATGTGCCGCTACGACGGGAGACTGTACAGACTTCCTGCACCATCTGTATTCCTTAGGACGGAAAGCCCGTACAATTGACTGTGCAAAGACAGCAATGGTGGCGTTCTTCAAGGAACGGCGTGTCGAACCGAACCCCGCACAAGCAACAGCGACTAAGCGCTACGTTGTAGGCCTGCAGAAATTCAACAGACAGAACAATGTGGATGACGAGAAGAAGGCGCATCCGCTCTCGGCTCACGAGCTGTCGCTCCTCATGAACTCGTTTGGCGACCTGAATCCATTTGTCGGAACTATGTTTCGCTTTTTGTTCTCCATGTGCTATCTGGGATGCTTTCGTATCAGCGAGGTCCTTGCACTGCGCTGGTTCGACTTGGCACGAGCTCAGTCGGAGACTGGCGTCCATGTGTCAGTGCGTTTACGGTGGCACAAGAAGGCCAGCGTTGAACAGGACTGTCAAATCTACAATCTTGTCGACGAGGTGACGTACCCATGCCTTCGTGTGTGTGGCTTCTATGACGACTACCTTTCCATGGTGAAAGCAACGATGATGAATGTGGCTGACAACGCTGTGGTCTTTCCTCAAGTAACACATCAACACAATGGTACGATCAAGGTTTCGTGGGACAAGGCCATGGAACAGAACTACTTGCGGCGCTGTCTGAATGATGCCGTTGAACGATGTCCGCAGTTGTCGACCAACGTCTCGTTGCACAGCATGCGTCGAGGCGGGAGTTTCTACCGTGTCTTTGAGTCCCAAGACAAGCGATTCAATTTCCGCGAATTAATGGCATGGTGCCGTTGGGGTGACGCGAAGACTTGCTGTGAATACCTTGTGACGAAGAACCTCAGTGACGAGGTTGACCCACGAAACCTGCTTTTGAATTCCATGCGAGCTCGAACGACACTGGTGCCGGCCCACCCTCAGGTGCCATCGGCCGACGCAATTGCTGAAGCAGTGATGAAAATGCTCCAAGATCAGAAGCCTGCACAGCCCAGCAAGACAACATCGGCGACAAAGCAGACAACATTGGACGTTTTCGTCGTGCCAAAGACCATCCCATCAGCCCGGTCAGCGCATGAAGCGTGGTGTCAGTGGTTTTACGCCGATGTCCCGGCAGGCCGACCATGTGCTCTGAAGGATTTCACAAAGGAGATGATCAAGGCGGACCGCAAGAAGTACTCGGAACGAGTGACACTCTCGCTTGCTTTTAAGAAGTTCCAGACCTACGAGCTGTTTGAAAGCGCATATGCAGGGCACACAGAGACGTACAGTAGTGTTCTTAAGGAAGCTCGCCAGAGGAAGAGAGAAAATAAGTTGTAATTCTTTAAAGCCATTTTGCGAGCGAATGAGTGGAAATAGGATTCTACATTGCAGAAAGATGCGGTGCAAGCTACGTTTTGGTGTCAAAGAGTGCACAAATGATTGTTTTATGATTTTGACCAATCAAATCATTGTCGGATGGAATTGTCGTATATCCAATTTTATCTATACATAAGTTTTAAAGAGTTTTAACCCAAATCCAACAATTCCACGTGGGATTTACTCGTTAAAGCAGTCCAAAACGCCATAACGTTATTACAAAAAATGGACCGTTTACCTCCATTTTGAAAAAGGCCATTTATATTATGTGTTCTACTCAAATTTTCCTCCGGTGATTGGTTGAATCAACCACCGAACAATCGCCGGGCCTTCGAATTTTCATATAAATCTGAGTTGTGAAGTGGTAGTAACTTTGAGACTGCAATGCATCAATCAATATTTTCAGCAAATCATATTTCAGCCTTCATTCTTTATAGCCAATCATACTCCTTTGCTCGATTAGTTGGCGATTTCATCAATCCCCCAAAATAGGCAAATTTGACTGAAAAGCACGACGCACCCTAAACACATCATGGAACGGCTCAATCGATTAAGTGAACTTTCCGCGAAACGGCATCTTGACGCCGTAATTGCCTGCTCGACCCATGCGACTGATGCTCGACGAGTTTTCGAGCAAAATGTCAATCGTGGCACTCCACAACATGGTGCCTAAATACGAACAGCCATTCTGGCACGGTGTTCTTCTAACGGACATTGCTACCTCGATAGAAGGCCGAGCCATTGCCAGCATTGTACACTTCTTGGCCAATCGGCTGCTCCGACACACACCCCTGGCCCGAGCACGCGCCGACGACGATCTTGTTCTTGGGAATCACGGCGGCGGCCTTGACGGGCAGCGTCTCCTTCAACACGAGTTCATACACCCACTACAAATAGTCCACAAGTGAGTCAACACATCGCTACAACAGCACTGAAGCTATTCTTACATCGCCGCTGTCCATGTTGTAAAACATAACGTTGACCATGTCCACAAGGGCCGAGATGCGCGGCTCGTAGCAGCGATGCCATCCATCGTAGTCTTTATGAAAGGAGATGCAGCCAGTGTATAGCTCGTTGGTGGGGTCGGGAGGGTCCCACGAATGAGGAAACTCGTCCCATGTCAGCAGGTACCGCGGCTCGTCCGGGCGTTGTATGGCATCCAGCCCTACAATATGTCAACGTTATTCGAATAGCCGGCATGGAATACACACCATCTCTTAACGCTTGCAGGTAGTTGACCACCACAGGGCCATGATGTGTGAGCCAATCTTGATGGGTTCCCTTCATGTTGCCGGTTTCGTCGTCGATGTCGATCCCGTCAAATCCAAATCTGACATATGCAACCACAACCACCACATCACACTTTAGAGTATCTACAAAAGTGATATATATATATATATATCACTCGTACTCCTGGACCACTTTCATGGACGAGTGTTTGAACCGCTCGAGGTTGGCGGGATCTTTGAGTTCAAGAAATCGCTCTCGAGCCGTCGCCCCGCCGATGGCCACCATGTTTTTGATGCACCGCCTGCCATATTTGTCGCCAATACATGAGAAGGATAAATAGATGTACACATCATGTATGCATATCTCGTACATGCGCAACTGCAAGATGCAGTCCTTGATGTGCTCCTGGCTCCAGTATTGAAACTCCGAGGGCACGGTGCCATCCTCCCCCGGCTCCACGAACGACCACATGATGTGCGTCAAGAATCGAGTGTGGGGGTTGCCCACGAGCTAGCATGTTCACACTTGGTCAGGTCTCTTGAAAGGGGATACACACGTACATTTTGGCAATTGCTTTGGGTCTCCCAGAACACGGCAAACACCTTGTCGTCGGGCGAGTCGGCGGGGCACTCGGCGCAATCGTTGTGCAACGGGTCCTGTGAAATACCACCGTGAGTTCACACTCTTTTATGCTACGCTGTCTGACGTACGTAGTACTGGCCTCGGCGACATCGCAGCAACTTTCGCTTCAATTCCCGCCACGGCACTTCGTGGTCCACGGCTCGGCAGCCTTCGCCGAGCGTCGCGTCTTGCCTGTATTGAGCCATGGTCCAGTTACCGTAGATAGGATCGATCTCGAAAGTTTTGACCATCGCGGCCACGCCAAAGGAGGTGCCACCCAGGAAGAGTACTATCCAATCATCAGTCAGAATGATCGACGAACGCACACTACTAATACTTACGGGCAAAGAGCAACGGCCAGCAGTGGCGAAAGGTATGCACAAACGATTCCTGTTTTTCCACATTGGTGGAGGACATGCTGGCATCGTCGGTGTCCAATGAGCCGGCCCTGGGACCCGTTCGCATGGGCTCGTCCAAGAACTCGGTATTGTGTTTCCTCTGCAAACTAGTAACCACCGTCGGTGCCAATGCCATGACAAATCGCGCAATGCATGCAACTTCAGTTTGAGCAGTGCTCAACGTACCACTGTACTACCAGGAGTAACGTACTGTAGTATTGTATACAGAGAATTCTGGATTCATCTTATCCAATCAAATCGCTTACTTGACAGTGTTTGGACGTGACTACAGTCGTACGTAGTACAAGCGAATGAACATTATTCACATATGCGAAGTATGAATATCACACCTAATTAACGACCAATCAAGAATGACACTCTCACGTTACTGCATAACGTTATACCCACCGCTACCATCATGCTCATATCCGCCTACGGTCCGTCTACGGTACTGTATGAGCACCACCGACTTTTCTGGAGGCGTTCAAGGGCAGGTGAACTCCATCGTTACAGTGTATTGCTCGGTGGAGGTTAACCATTATAGCGAGCAATTCCCTTAGGGCTGGTCTGGATGCCACAAAAAATGGCATAAAATGGTCGTGTTTCGAAGAAAAGTTGCCAAAATCAAAATATTCCATTTTTCGAGATTTTAAAATTCAAACTATATGCCACAATTATCTTAAGAATCAGGTGATTCTGATCGGTCTATTCCTTTGAATAAGTACTGACAGTGAAGTACTCCGTAGTAATTCCTCCGCATCAGAAAGAGAGTATCCATGTTTCCCACAAAAATGAGCCAAATTTGTCCCAAATAGGCTTAAAACACTGCGCGAATACGACAGTATTATGGGATTTGTTTTATTTGGCTGTACCCGACGAGAAAAGGCATTCCAATTGGCAGTGATCACATGGTCCAATGTTGAAAACTACGTTAACGCTAACGTTACTCACTCAAATCAACTCCATTCCTCCGTATCACGTGTTTAGCCTCTTAAAATTATATGAAATAAAGTATGCATGGTTTTATAAAATGTACGTCCAGGTTGTATTTTTATTCAGAAAGCTGCGTGCATGACGAAGTATCATATGATCTACTGTGGACCTGTGGTGATGTCGTAGTACTGTATTGATTACCACTGTGGCTTGGATATACATACCAACACGACATTGTCCCGGTTACATTCATAATCTTTTGTTCTCGGGGCTGAGCCACCGACGCTACCTCCTTCTAAACTATAGCCATTCTGTGTGGCTTCAAATTTTGAACGTTGGTTCATCGTCTCCAGCACGTTTGAGCCACAGTGAGCGCAATTGCAGGAGATTCTGAGAGCCTTACATTACCTGCACCTTAGCAAGTTCATATATGTTGTGCCTTCTACTTCCCTTTGCTGTTTCATTCTACCGGTATATAGTACTTAGCACATTCCGCCAGTGTATGCTGTACAGTTCTCAATATCTTGTCCAGAATAACGGTATTAGTAGCACCTTTAAGGCTCAAAAGTGAAGTGCTGGTGGTGCGACTTTTCTTATCTTCGTTTCCAGAAACGTTTTCGCCGTTATGATGTGGGTTCACACTATAGTATTTATGCGTCGAGAGGAAGCGTTTGCGCGCAATACGAGTCGCAAGTACTGTACGTCTTTTCATGCGATGTCGCATATTGACAGGTGGCCAGACCGCCCTTACACTGTGAATCCAAAATTAACAGTGTAAGGGCGGTCTGGATGCCACCCCATACAGTACAATAATGTATTCGAGTCATGGACGAGTGAAGTCCTTGGACTACAGTAACCTTCCATAATAATTTCAATGGAATCTGCCAACCAAGTGCCAACTGCCAGTCGCAATGCGTCACGCCATGTCCATGCCCATAAAACACATGCGGTACTGCTCTAAATTCAAATAACATCCATTGTTCACATTGCCTCAGTCTCGAATGCGTCACATTAAAGGCAGACCTCCTATAAGCCGACCGCAGGATTTTGTGGCGCAAAGCCCTACACGTGTGATGTCGTTAAATGATAGACCAGCGCAAGGCCATTGAAAATACTATTTTTTACTTATTTGTGCTCAAGAGAAAACAAGATCATTCATTTCACAAGGACTTATGGACTGAGTTATTTATTTGTGCCTCCTGCCCTGTTGAATTATTTATTCCCCCCTGCGTCCAGAGCGAATGAATTATTTGAATAATTCAAAACAACTTAACAGTAAATAAACATATTCAATGTACTGTACTGTATGCTGTTATCGGAATGAAATGAACTTGCTATAACTAGTTACTATATACACAGTACTGACTACGTAGGTACTTCGAAGTACTGTACCTTGCACGATTTTCTGCATAGTTCACATTTGAGACCAACAACTACTAGGTGTTAAGTCACAACGGTGGTCGCCAATGGCTCCCTTCGTACAGAGAAGAATCGCGCATACATTCTTGACGTTGGGACAATAAAGCGGCAATGAAGGAATAAGCTCGGCAAAAGCCTTACCACGGAGGGTGTTCAAAGTTGTCTACTGTACAGTGAACGACGAATCAATATTGAATCATGCTGGAGTTCTGATTGGTTGAATATACTTGTCCTTTCTGTGTAAGAGCCAAATTAGCCAATAGCGTCGTTTCGTGATTCGATGGGGTCTAGAAATCTGTACCGAATCCACAATACATGTACTATTAATAGAGTTAACTTTTGCCGTTCAATACTTGGTGCCAATCGGAAGCTTGTCATCCAAGCAATTGGTCCAATAAGATCATTGAAAATGCCTACGAATAATTTGGTTGAAATGAATCATTTATTTTACGGCTTCAAAAACGAGAACAATTTATTTATATACGGAGCAATTGTAGATTATTTACGCAATTACAAAGAATAATTTATTTTAGATTATTTTTTGAAGGGCCTTGGACCAGCGTAAGAGCCTTTGGGGCGCCTAAAACTTTTGTCAGCAGCCCTTGTGTGTGGGGGTTGCATCATCGGAATTGCGTTCACCATTTTGAAGTTGACAACATCACCGGTTAAATCTGTATAACAATTTTTAACCGCATTCTCGATAACTCTCCTACCAAGTCACACTTAACTGGATTTACGCATTAAATGCGAATAGTTGTACCACAGGCCTTGTCCGGGTAAAATCAAGCGCAAACTGTTTACTGTACTTCGCGTTACTGTATTTGGCCTGGTCCTTGTGCTTGAAGCGTCGTGTTAAATGGCAAGGCCGTAGATTGCAATGACCGCTTGCATCGAGCTGTTTTCCCATGTGACAAAGCAAGCACCTGCGCAATAGCTGAATCGATTCATCAACATCCTTTAACGTTAGCTACAACATACCGTCCGACTTTTCGTCCCAGAAGCAAACGCTACAAGTACTCTATCATGAACGGGACGTGTCCAGTGCGGTATGTGCCACTCAGTACCTTTCAACGTCCAAGCCCCCTCCTCGCTTTTGTTTGATGGAGCACGTGACAATGTACTTGAAATTCTACCCACAGCACTCATGACATTGAAGTTCCAACACGACATTGCATGCACGGCTGGTACATACCTGGCACAGCTTCTTGAGGTCATCCAAGCACGACATCGTAATGACGTTTATCCAGTCGTTGACCTGCCACGATCAAACGCGTCACTCACATGTAGCACTGTTCTTGAAGCTTACCTTGGCTTGGTCGAACGCTTTCCCCTCCAACGAACTGAGCACTGCATCTTGCACTATCGTCGTGACCTCGTCTCGCAGGAGTGGAAAGTCGAAGCAACTTGTCGGGAGCATTGTTGTATTGTCGTGTAGTCAAGAGACACAAGTGGATCACTTGGTTTGCCGGCGAAACTGCCATGAAACGGCTAATGGAAATGCCAGTTGAGCGCCCAGTGATTCCTTCCTTTATACTACGCTATACAATGCAACGTGTTTTGCACAAAACTGACCGCTTTAATGTTTACGTTGGCTATCGTGAAGGCCATCACGCCATCAGGCGGTAGAACGGTGTGGTCATTCTGTGCACATGGACAAAACACCATTGGATTTAGCTATATTAAACTGCTTATGCGGTGGCCAGGAATTTCACACCATCGTTTTCCGGCGTGTCTCCATGGATTATGGCAGCCTAAGATAGCATGAGCGACATTGCGTTGCCATGGACAGTACCTTTGCTTCGTGCTCCAAGATCTCCAACGCTTTGCGAAGGAGCCACGGCTCCAAACCATAGAAACCTAAGGCAGCATGAGACACAATCTTGAAAATCCAAGGCGCACGTACTTGCGCCCTGCGTTTCTTCGCCTGAATGGAGTTCGTACACTGTGTACACGTTGCTGATCATACCGCGGTCGGTGGCCTATATGACAATCGTCAGCCCCGTATAGATAGATATCCATAGTGGACGTACAAATGTGTATATTTCAGCCGCCCATTCTGCCGGGGGTTTCCAGAAAATGCGCAATCGCGTGTGGGTGTCGTCCTCCCACTCGGCGTTCCCACACCGCACGAGATACGTGACGATGGCCGTCCGTGCCTCCATGGACAGTTTACCTACGCAAGAAGCAACAAAGTTCAGTCCAAATATCTCATGGAGGAATTCATATATTCGAACGGTTGATTTGTTGGTTCTCAAAGATGGGGCTTGAATTCGGCGTCAGCACAGGCTGGTTCATCGACTTGTGGTAATCCAACACAAGCGCCTTCCATAAGATCAACTGCTTTTCGCGCGTCGACCGAACTGGCTGAAGCCTAGATAAGATCTCAAACAAGTCCAGTGGCGGTCATGCACCCACGTGAAGAATGGGGGGAAGCCGTAGTGCTCGGGGAACGTGAACGCTGCCTTCGTAGACGTCATGACGAAAAGATCACAGGTATCCGGATAGGACCTCGTCTCTCATCCGTATTCTCCCGGATAAAGTATTCCGGATAATCGGGTTTTGAATATTTGAACAGGTCGATATTTACCTCCCCAAGGTAATCAATCAAAAGCGGAGGTAAGTATGAGTGACGTCGAGGAGAGCAAGCATGAAGAGATGCATTCTGATCGCGAAGAGGAGGAAGGTAGAGAGTTCATTGTGCCCGTGCACGTGCAGGACCTAGAGCTTATCAAACGAGATCGACTATTTGTCGTGAACGTCACAGATCTCAGTGATGGGTCGAAAGATGACCACATCCGTCAGCTCAAAGGTACGTGCGATTGTCCGCATCTATCGTCGTGGTTCTCGTTGTACTCAATGGATTTTATTGTCTAGACATCCAACGTCAAATCCAAAATGATCCGCTGGGTGTCGTGGAGACGGATGTGTTTGACATGCTCTACAGCTTCGTCAAGTACCACATCAGCATTGCGCATTCCACGACTCATATGTGAACTAGAATCTTGAAGATTATGAGCGACGAAGCACGAGTGGTCTTGCTTCTACTAGCGAGCTCAACCCTGGACGACGTCGTCAAAGCAATCAAGCGCGGCCAAACAGAGTGTACGCGCATTTATCTACCAACCGTTTGCTGCGCCTTTCCCGCCTAACACGTGCCATGTTCAGCATCCAAGCAAGCACGAAATGCATTGAAGGTCACGTCGTTCGTGCTGTGCCAAACGCTGATGCAGATCCGCAACGTTCAAGTCGACGAAGACAAGGACATTCTCCAAAAAAAGGATAAGGCGTCCAAAGCCAAGCAAATTAACTGGGGCAAGCATTGCGAAACTGGGGTCAAGGCGCTCCACGAGTCCCTTTGCGACGAGACGCTGGCTCTGTGGAACATGAACACGCCCGAGGAGGTGTGGTCCATCATGGAGGGGGTGTCGCTTTGGTTTCTCATGTCATGTGGGTGCTAGGAATTCATCGCACTCTACTGCACGGCAATCTTTCAACTGCTAGAAAGTCCAGGCTTACTCAAGTCCAAGCTGCTCAAGTTTCTCATTTACAAGGTAGATCCAGTAACTACGTTACTTGGGGTATACCAGTGCTGATATATATATATACTTCTCCTGGCAAACAGTGCGTCGGCGAATGCCTGGTCCGCGCGCCCCGCGTCCTCGTCACCGTGAGCACATCGTTGTTGGAGCTAGTGTTTGCACACGAACATTTGGCCATCCCGATTGCAGACTTGGTTCAGTATCTGCAATCGACGCACCACTCGATCAAAGTGGCTGCGGACTTGATCAGGTACGTACAGAGCACGCCCATCATACCCCCCCCCTCATGCCGTCATACCCACTTCCAATCATCACCGTAGCGAAATCTCCAAGATTCGACAGCGGGATACGTCTCGGGATTCGTCAGGGACGAAGAACGTGTCACTCTTTCTGGTGTGTACGCGATTGCTTGATAGACGTACCCAAACTATATGGTAGGGACACCTGGCGACGTTGATGCCGTCGACGGTGTTGGCCAACTTGAGCATTGTGCTGCCATTGCTGGATGCGGAATCGTACTACCTTCGGAACGCAGTGGTGACGGCGGTGATGCACATCTTGATGGCCGACTTTCGCGCGCGAGACAAGTCGACAACGGCGGCAGCAGACGAAGACGGCCCCAACGACGATGGCCCCACGTCGTCGTCAACTTCGTCGGCGCAGTTTCGTCCGCTGTCCCGACAACGACGAGATACGCTGTTTGGAGTGCTGGAAGACCGCGTGCACGACGTCAACTCGTTCGCTCGCAGTCACGTGTTGCGGTGCTATCGAGATTTGTGCGAAGAAGGTGCCGTGCCACTGCGCCACATTCAGAAACTGCCCAATATTGCCGTCGAGCGCATGCAGGACCGGACGTCCAGTGTCCGAAAGTACAGCATTGAGTTGCTCTGTGTGCTGTTGGAGCACAATCCGTACCGCGAGACTCTGGACCGCCAGTACTATGAAGGGCAGAAGAACCACCTGGTCGCCACGTTTACGGCCAAGAAGAAAGCCGTGATGGAGGATGTCGAAGAGCAACTGAATCGCCGGCTCAGTGGTTTGAACGTGAACGAATCGCAAATTGCCACCAACGAAGAAGAGCGAGAAGTGGAGCTGCAGAAGCTCGAGCGGCTGCTCTTGTTTCACACCCACGCGCTAGAATTCATCGACACACTTGAAAACGACGCGATTCCGCTCTTGATCCAGCTGCTCGGAAGTGCCGCGATCACGGACGTGCTCGAGTCGATTCGGTTTTTTCACCAAGCACATGCGTTCCGACTGCACCAAGCCACGCAAGGCATTCGCGCGATGCTGATTCTGATCTGGCGGACCGACCCCAAGATCCAAGAACTCGTGCTCAAGACGTTTCAGTCGATCTTGTTTTACAAGCCCCAGACCGATTTGCTCGTGGCCCCGCCGCAAGCTGCCCAAACCCTCTTGACGCTGCTCGATGGATGCACGGTGAGCGACGCCACGTGCCTCGAGCAGCTCCTCGGCGTGATGAAGGCCAAGGAGCTGGTGCCCCAGCGCGTGATTGCGGCGCTGTGGGACTTGTGTGGCGACAACTCGTCGTGCAACACGATTGGGCACTCGATTTGGCTCTTGTCTATGCTCAAGACCCCCCCGAGATTGGAAGTGCTGCTGGAGCATGGCCTAGGGGCGCGCGTGCGCGAAGAACACAACTGGCTCTGTGTCCGAGCGACGTCGCACATGCTTCAAAACTGGAACTTCAAGGACAAGAGCTTGATCCCTGACGGCATTGAACCCCTCGTGGTCAGCTTGCAGACGTTCTTGACCATGATCGACGAGACCAACCTGGACTGGTTTGATGCGGCGCAACAGGCCATCGAAGCCCTCTTCCACGTGTGCCAGTTTCCAGAGCAGCCGTGCGGGGACATCGTTGCCACGTGGTCCACGGCGCTGTTCCCGACCGACGAAGACGACCACGACGAAGCCGTGTGTTCGGCGTCCGAGCTGTCCAAGTTTGTGTTTATCTTGGGCCACGTGGCGATTCGCATGGCCGTGTACGTCGAGTCGTTGGCGAGCTCGGTCAAGGAAGCACGCAACAAGCTGCAACACGACCAGTCGAAAGCGGACAAGGAGCAGTCGAGCATGGAAGACGAGTTGGGGCTCCACGCAGAAATCGAAGCCGAAGAGGACGAGTTTCTGCACGCGTTGACTCAAAACGACCTCGTGGGCCGGTAAACGATTGGATTGTATTGGGTTTTACTAGTGTACATTACATGGTTGACGACTGTGCTACTGTATTTTTTGTTAGAAACTTGCTGGGGGCGTACGGGCCAATCCTTATTCGACTTGTGGCCAACGAAGATGGTATATTTGACGACGAGTTGATCAAGGAAGCATCCACGGTCGCGTTGTGCAAATTCATGTGCATTTCAGCCGAGTTTTGTGAAAAGAACCTCCCGTTGATCTTTACGAGGCTAAAGGAATGCCAACAGCCATCGGTAACGACGACGACTACTATGCTATATATGCTTGTCGTAACCAACACCAAAACGCTGTAGGTGCGCTCCAACATTGTCGTGGCGTTGGGGGACTTGAGCTTTCGGTTTCCAAACTTGGTGGAACCGTGGACATCCCATATTTACGCCCGTCTGCGGGACATCAACGTGAACGTCCGCAAGAACACGATCATGGTGTTGACGCACTTGATCCTGAACGACATGGTCAAAGTCAAGGGGCAGGTATGATTGCTATATATTATGACCTACTAGTACAGTAGTGCATTGGACCGTTGATGTGTTGACAGGTCAGCGAAATTGCCCTGTCGTTGGTGGATGAAGACAAGCGGATTTGCGAACTCGCCAAGCTCTTTTTCCACGAGTTGTCGAAACGAGGAAACAACCCGATCTACAACATGCTGCCAGATACCATTGGCCGCTTGTCCACGAGGTACATCTAGTTGATGGGTGTCCGTCCTTCTCAACGACACTTGTAGCGCCACGCTATCGAAAAAATCATTTCAAGAAATCACCAAGTTCCTCCTGGGGTTCATCCACAAAGACAAGCAAACGGAAAGTCTGGTGGAAAAGCTCTGCCATCGGTTTGTCACGACCGCCGAAGTGGCGCACTGGCGGGACCTGGCCTACTGTTTGGCCAACCTGTCGTTGAATGACAAGTCCCTCAAGAAACTCGTCGAGCTGCGCAAGCTGTTCAAGACATGTCTGGTTGACGACGGCGTGTTTGAATGCTTTCAGCAATTGGTGTCCAAGGTAAATAACATGGCAATGACGATGATATATGCACAATAATAATATTGGTACGTGCGTACGTACGTACCGTTGTAGGCAAAAAAGTTTTCCAAAGCAGAAACCAAGGAAACGTTGGACGAGCTGGAACACGTTATCAACGCCATTCATTCTGGCGAGGTATATCGTACATGAAAGTGTTGTGGCACGTGGTTGATTATTTGACAGCATAATTTTGTTCCTAGAACCTCGACGACAACGAAAATCTGCTGGACCTGCCGCACAAAAAGCCCGACAAGGTCAAGACGCCTCGAAAGGCCAAAAAGGGCAAAGAAAGCACACGTAAACAAAACGTGTCTGTTGAGGTTGGACGTATATTAATAACCAAGTAAATCACTATTGGAACTAACGATGTATAGACCGAGAACGATGAAAACGCCGCCGATGCCATGCCAAAGCGACTTCAGCGAAAGGCGAGGAAACCGACAAAAACCAAAGAATTTATCGACAGCGACCACGACGACGACGACGACGAAGACAACGACGATGTAAGGAACAAAAAGACTCAGTATTCTAAGCTGATGTTGAATGATACGATTAGGAGGAGGACGACGTGGGTGGGGACGACGAGCCACCGGCAGGGCGGTCGCAACCGGGCAAGCGCAAAAAGGCCGATGCCCCTCGTGCAAAGGCGACACACTCTAAGAAGAAAAAGTAACGATTGAAATCAAAACCCCGTTTGATTACGTTGTGATTCCCCCTGTAAGCGACAGACAGACACGCTACGAAAGGTCGGACGGCGGGTCCCCTCCAATAAAACTAAACCCTCGAAAGTCACCGTCATGGGAAAACAGCATGCTGGCTTCTCGATCCCGCGCCGTGACGCCATCTTGTCGGACGTTGCGGGGGACGTACGCCGTGTCCAACTTGCCCACTTGGGGGTCGTATGGCGTCTTGACTTGTCGCTTGAGCATGAGCTGCCAGTCGAACTCCTTGAAGAACGGATGCATGAGCACTTCGTCGGCGCCCGTGGGGCCGCTGCCCAGCCGTTGCATCGGGTCTCGATTCAGTAGCTACGACACATTCATGTACAAGTCTAGACATGATCAAACGTACCCCTCGGATCAGGTCGACCGCGGCGTCGGAAAACCCTGGCGTAAACGTCACCCATTGCTGCGTCAAGATGGTTTGGAACATAATATCGCGGTTGCGGTGGTAGTACGGGGGTTTGCCGCCAATCATTTCGTAGAGTAAAATGCCAAACGACCACCAGTCGGCCGCCTTGCCGTAGTTCTGGCCCTTGAGCAACTCGGGCGCGATGTACGCCGCCGTGCCGCAGAATGTCTTGGCGCCTTTGAGCCCTGACACGCCCTGCTTGGACAAGCCAAAGTCGGCAATGCTGACGTGGCCATCGCTGTCCATGAGCACGTTCTCGAGCTTGACGTCGCGGTAAATAATGTTGACCTGATGCAAATGCGCGATCGCCAGCGCCACTTCAGCCGCGTAAAACCGCGCAAATGTTTCCGGAAACTTGCGCCACTTTCGCAAATGCACGGCCAACGATCCGGCGCTCAGGTAGTCCATGACCAGATACAATTTCGAGTCGCTTTGAAACGCATAGTGCAGCTTGACCACAAACGGATGCGCCACTTCAATCAAAATGTGACGCTCCGCCATCGTCGTGTGCACCAACCCATTCGATACGACCTACCCCAGACGAAGTCGATTGTTGTTTCAATCTATGGCGGAATACCTGGTCCTTCTGAAGCACTTTGATGGCATACACTTGGCCGCTATCAGGCCCAGACACCTTTCTGCCCATAAACACCTTGCCAAACCCCCCTTGACCCACGACTTTCAACAGTTCAAAGTCCTTGATACTGATGTTGCTGCGGCCCGTGCCGGCTTGTTGCCGTTTCTACGCCAACAGCAGTCATATAGAATAACTATTGTTTGCGTGAGGCATACCTTTCCCATTTCCGCCGCGCCAGTGTGCCCGCGCTGGCCGGGGAGGTAAAACTGCGTAATCGACGGATCCGACACAGTGCGCTGTGGCTTGGTGGGGGGTTTCGACTGGGGGGGCTCTGGGGTAGCCGCCTCGGGGGGGGCGCGGGTACGTCCGGACGACGAGCGGCCCTTTTTCAGCGTCGATCGCATGTGCTTGACGATGGCGGTCATACCTGGCGCCGCCGGATTCGCCGTCAAGTAGGCGAAGATGGGCACTTGCATGTGCTTGAGGTGGTCGGCGGTCAGGTCGAACGGGTACATGGACGCCACGTCCGGGGGGTTCGCCGACTTGAACCCCGTGGCCATACACACACACCCGACGCGCGACTGGGAGTTGACCACTTGACTACACAGAGCTTGCCCGTCGGCGCCCTCCCAGTTGATCGCCCGCCGCCCGAGGCACTCGAGCACCACCATGCTGAGACTGCTGTCCACGGCGTGCGTCGACTGCAAAAAAGCCACGCGGTTCAGTTTCTCATACACGGTGGCCTCTTCGTCCTGCATGAGGGTGATCACCGCCTTGCCGGCGCGACCGGCGGCGACGATGCCCACGCGGGTGGTGGGAAGCACGTTCGCCGCAATGTAGTTGGTCCAGACAAAATGGAGGTGTTCGGCGGGCGACGCCGACTGCTGGACGGTAAAGGTCCGGATTTTAGGCCCGTCCCGGACGTCCACCGTGTTGTGGTGGGGGTTGCACAGCACGACTCCAAAGTTGAGCTTGAGGGCCGCTTCCACATACGGCAACATGGACATAGGACTCGTGGGGTCGTCGATCGTGTCTGTCTCGTCCTTCCAGATCCCGACTTTGCCTGAATCGCCCAGGAACACCAGCACGTCAGCCGCGACGTTATAGTTTTTGGAGGTGTAGAAGCGGCAGCTGGCCTTGGCCTCTCGCGACGGGACCCACTGTGCGTCAAACCCGAGCGTGTGCTCCAAGTACGTTTCCATCTTGGATCGTTTGTCGTTGCCCTCATCCCCCACGACGATTCCGTCCATGACCAGTTCGCACAGAGAGCTCTCCCGGACGTCGCCGCCCTTGTCGTCGCCCAGCATCGGGGGCTCGTCCTCGTCGATCGAGTCGTTGGTCAACCGTCTCCTTCCTTGATTAGGATGCTGCTCGTCTTCCGACTCGGAGTAGTCTTCGTCGTCGGCCATCCGCGACGGGCGTACAACGATCACGTTGTGCGTGGCCTGGTTGCTACGGGGGGACGGCACCCCCGTCGGCGCTTCGTTTGGCAAGTTGGCCTTTTCCAGCGCCGCCGCCAACTCGTCGTCCACCGACGCGTCCACCGTCGTGTCCTCGGGCATCATGTCGTCGGGCTTCGCGGCCACCTGCTGTTGCTGCTCGATTTGGCGGTTCTGGGGTTCGACCAGCGACCGCCCCGGGTGCGTGGCTTGCATGACGGAAATCAGCAGCGTCTGGCTGTTTCGGTCTTGTCGTTCTTCATCGTCGTCGTCCCTTCGTTTTATGTGTTGCGGTTGGGATTGTGGTGGCTGACGCGGCGGCGTCCTGGGGGGTCGCGGGTCGTCGTACGGAACATCCACGTGGTGGCCGCAGTTGCCGCAGAACTTGCTCCCAGTCACCATGTGCCGACACTTGGGACACACCTTGGACACTGGCGGCGGCCCCATGGCCAGCGGCTTGGGGGCTCGGGTCGACTGCGCGTCCAGCAGCGCCTTGAGCGACACCAGCCACTTCTGCCGCTCGCGCTCGCTCTCAGCGTACACGTAGTAAACCACTTGTTCCGACGTTGTGAACATGAACCCGTGCATCTCGCCGTCCCACACCTGCACGTCTTCGATGCCGACTTCGGCAAGGCACTGCTTGTTGGTCGAGTCGTAATCAGTGTAGTACGATAGCAGTGACCCCCGTAGGACAAAGTAGCGCTTTTTCCAGCTCTTGCGCTTGTGGCCTTGCTTGGTCAAGTACCCCGCGCACGCGATGGGCTGCAGGGACGACCCGACCTTCTCCTGGGTGGCCGCCATCCACCGCTGCTGGTCGGCTTCGGATGGTGCCGACAGAAACAGCATCGCGCCCGCTTCGCCCTGGAACGAAAGGCCGTCTTCCCAACGCGATGCCGCGCGGATATTCCAAGCGGAAATCGGCGCCTCGTGGCTTCGATACGCGTCTTCGGACTCGAAACATGTGATAACGGCGTCAGTGAGGACGTAGAATCTGTACATAGCATGACCATCTTGGGGATGAATATGCGGACGTACTTGGGTCGTGAAAACGAGAAGAGCGTGCCGGGGGTCTTCTTGGTCATGTAACCTTCGCAATCGGCGACGTTGGACGTGTGCACGTAATAGTCGGCCACAGCATGGAACCACTTTTGATGTTCGATGGCTGACGTTGTGTAGATGTAGTACACCACCCGTTTGGTGGTGAAGAACATGAAGCCATACCGCGACTCCTCGGCGCCGCTGCTGCTTCCACGGGATTCGCGCTTGGACACGCTCTTGGCCAACGAACCGTTATACTCCCATGGCGCGACTTTGGCCAAGTGCACCTGGCCCAGCTTCTTGGCCATGCTCTCGTCCTCGTAGTACGACAAGCTAGCATGGGGACGCAGCACGAAGTAGCGCATTTTCCAGTTCGTCACTACATGCCCGCGTTTCGTGAGATACCCCCTGCAGAGGATCTCTTCGTCGCTGTAGTCGAAGCCCAGCGACATGGCCAGTTGGGCGTACGGAAAACTTGCTCTGTCGTCGGCTTGGCACTCACAAGGTCGTGTTTTTTTTCGAGCACGCAACGACGTTTTATTCCAAATATGAATGTTCAATACAGTATTCAAGACAGAGATAAGATCCAGTTTTTATAATTCAACCTTATGTTGTCGAATGTGAAATGGGGTTGTGTTCTACTATCCCACCCTCGCTCTCTGGACGCGCCGCCTTCCAGCAGTCCTCATGGCGGCATGACGTGGCACCGCGGCGGACATACCGTACCCATGCATTCCATCCACCCGCCCTTCCTCACATCATGCATGTTTCCAGGCCTGTTGCGCAATTGCCTCTACTCGTTGCCTGCACCATTTCCCGGACATGATGTACCGTACTGTAGAGCTCATTCTTCCGCGCACATTGTGATGCAGTAGTACCAGACCACGACATCGATGGGTGTTGTATTTTAGTTCAAACTCACGGCGGACGTCGACCGGCCGACAAAGCTAAACCCGTCGAAATCATTGTGCCGCGCCGGACCGTGCTCGTTGACGCGCATGACGCTGACTTGGCGATCCTGGGCCGTGATCTCTTGCAGGTTCTGCGCCACGTACACCGTGTCCAGCTTGCCCACGCCGGGGTTGAATGGCGGCGGAATGCGCTTCGACAGCAGCTCGCCCCAGTCGATCGCGTCAAAGAACGGATGGGTCAGCACCTCGTCCGCGCCGCGGGGGCCGCTGCCCAGGCGCTGCATCGGGTCCCTCGTCAGCAGCTACACAAATCCACACATCTCATTCCATCTTTTTTCCAATTGGCCAATTGGGCATATATATATATATATACGTACCCCTCGAATCAACGACACGGCCGCGTCTGAAAAGTCGGGCGAAAACGTCACCCATTCCTGCTTGAGGATCGTCTGAAACATAATATCGCGGTTGCGGTGGTAGTACGGGGGTTTGCCGCCAATCATTTCGTAGAGCAAAATGCCAAACGACCACCAGTCGGCCGCCTTGCCGTACGTCTGCCCCTTGAGCAACTCAGGCGCGATGTACGCCGCCGTGCCGCAGAACGTCGTCGCACCCTGGAGCCCCGACACGCCCTGCTTGGACAAGCCAAAGTCAGTAATCCGGACGTGGCCGTCGCTGTCCATGAGCACGTTCTCAAGCTTGGCGTCTCGGTAGATGATGTTAACGTGATGCAAATGCGCGATGGCCGCCGACACCTCGGCCGCGTAAAATCGCGCCCAGTCTTCGGGGAATTTGCGGCGGCGGCGGAGGTGCATGGCCAGGGACCCGCCGCTGAGGTAGTCCATAACTAGGTGCAGCTTGGTCTCGCTCTGGAACGCATAGTACAGCTTGACCACGAACGGGTGCGTGATCTCGGTGAGGATGCGACGCTCCGCCATGGTCGTGTTGACCAGCCCCGACGACAGCACGTGCTGCTTCTTGAGTACTTTCATCGCGAACGACTCACCCTTGCGCGGCTCCGTCACCTTTTGCGCGAGAAAGACCTTGCCAAACCCGCCTTGGCCCACCACTTTGACCAGTTCAAAGTCCTTCATGGAGATGGTTTGCACAGACGGCGGCTGCGTCGTCGTCGGTCGTGCCGTCGCCACGTGCTTTGGCATGTAGTACTGGGGCGATGGCTTGTCTGGAGAGGGCGAGTCGGCGGCGGGGATGGCACTGTCGCTGTGGTTGTGTTGATGGCCTCCGTCGGCTTCGCCCAGCACAAACACATTCGAGTTGCCACGGGCCATCGTAGACTTTTCCACGGGGGGACGGGTGCTGCCGCCTGCCCCCCGTCGACTGATGCGCAACGCACTGCGCACTTGCTTGACAATGGCCGTCATGCCCGGGCGCGTCGGGTTCGCCATCAGAAACGCAAACACGGCGTCTTCCGCCTTGTCCAGTACCCCGACGTCGCCATTGTCGGTCGCGCCCAGCGACAGACACACGCACCCGACGCGCTCCTGGGCGTCGACGATCTGGCCGCCCGCGGGCTGATCCACCGACGCCTCCCATTGAATCGTGCGACGGCCGAGGAATTCCAGCACGGATGCGCCCAGTGTGTCCCTGTTGACAATGTGCTTGGACTCGATAAACGCAATCCGAAAGATCTTGCGGCGCGCGTCTTCAAACTTGTCGAGGAGGGACACGGCCAACGCCCCGCCGCGGTGGTACGCGACGACGGAAATCTCGGCTTTGGTCGGCATGACAAACGTTTCCCATACAAAAAACAGGTGCTCCTTGGGCGTGGCCGACTGTGGGATGGGCACCACGCGCTCGACGCCGCCTTGCTCAAACACCTTGGCGCTATTCGAGAACGGATTGCACACGATGAGGCTGAAGCCTTCCTGCTGGGCGCGGTGCAAGTACGGCAGCATCGCAAACGGATGGTGGACATCCACGGGCGCGTCACTGGTCGTCGCGTCATCTTTCCATAGCCCCAGCGGCCCAGAGTCGGTCAAAAACAGCAGGATCTTCTTGGACGTCGAGTACGCCATCGACGCGTACAAGCGACAGCGCACCGGCGCGTCCGCCGACGGCACAAACAGCGGTGTGAACTGCATCTCGCGTTCCATAAACATATACAAGTCTTTCTGGGGGTCTGGCTTGGACACGGCGGGGGCCACCACCGCCGTTGCGGTGTCCTCCTTCAGACCGGCGACACCGACAAGCACCAACGAGTCGTCCATGCTGGGCCGGGGTGACGCATCCACCTGCGGCGAGTTCAAATGTGCGTCATCGTTTGGTGGGAGCGTGTCAAACTGCCGCGCCGAGCCCTTGAGCTCAAACAACTGCGACCGTCTTGTTGCCGCCGCCGCCTTCTCGTCCTTGTCGTCGTCCTTTTCCTCGTCGCTAGAGTCGTGCAAGAGGTCGGCGATCGTCTGTTGCTGTGCCTTGCCAAACGGCCCCGGAGCTCTGACAATCGGACGATCCACATCCGACCCAAACGAGCTAAAACTCGTGTCGTTGGTGGTGCTGGCTGGTACGACAAAGTCCTTGCGCGCCGACGTCGATTGGCGCGGCGCTGGAGGAGGCGGGGACGAAACGCGGGGAGCGGACTTGGCCGACTCGTTGCTCGTCGTCGATGATGACGCTTCGCTCTTGACAGATCCTGGCGCTGCCGCCGGTTGAGATGGCGAGTCGGCTGCTCCTGTCGCGGCTGGAGATGCTGCTTCTGTCGTCGTCGGTGGTATGGACGGTGCGGGCGTCAAAGTGGTGACAACGGGGGAAGACGGACCAGCTGCCGCGGGCGGCGTCACCTCCTTGTCTTGCTTGCCGACAACGTCTTCGTCGTCGTCCATTTCAAGCGCGTCCATGATCTCTTGCTCGAGCGCGCCAACCAGGTTCGGGTTGCTACTGTTGTTGGTGTTGCGTTGGTCTCCCAGTTGAATGCTGGGGTTCTGCATCACCGCGAGAAGCAGCGTCCGTGCGCCTTCCGACAGCGCGTCGAGGTCGTCCATGGCCGAGTTTTCGTCGTCATTGTCAAAGTCGTCGGAAGGCACGACCAGCGGCTGCGACGCCTGGCGCGACCGTTCGTTGGACGTCCCGCGGAGGTTGAAGCCACAGGCGCCGCAAAAGCGCGAGCCCGTCAGTACGTACGCGCACCGTGGGCATGTCTTGTCTGGCTCTTCCATGGACGTGGCAGACTCGAACAACTTGCGCAGCGCCGCGAGCCATTTCGCCTGGTCGCGGTCGTTGTCGGCAAACACGTAGTACGGCACGCTGTCATTCGTGATAAACATGAAGCCGCTCGGCTCGCCGTCCCACGCCGACACTTCGCGCACCGTGACTTCGCCCAGGGGCTTGCCATGTCGGAGGTTGGATGCGTCAAAGTCTGTGTAATACGCCAGCGTATTTCCCCGTAGAACAAAGTAGCGCTTTTTCCAGCTCTTGCGCTTGTGGCCTTGCTTGGTCAGCCAGCCGGCGCACGCGATGGGCTGCATGGGCTTGTCCGTAGCGACTCTGGCCAGAGCCTCGAGCCACTTCTGCAGCTCCGGCACGTTCTCGGCGCATACAAACAGCGTACTGCCCGTGGACGTTTTCAGGAACAGCCCCGTGGACTCGCCGTCCCATCGGCCCCCGCTGCGCACTTCCATCTCGGCTAACGCGGACGCTCCCGACCGATACGCAGTCTCGTCGGCGTAGTATTTGATCGTGGACCCACACAGGACAAAGTACCGCATGCGGTAGCTCGGCACCAAGTGGCCTCGTTTCGTGAGGTAGCTACAGACAGACACACACACACATGCGTGAGAGAGAGAGAGAGAGTTGTGGGACATGGAGATGCGCACCCTTCGCAATCGACGGCGTCGGGCTCGACGTAAAAGTCCGAGAGCGCGTCCAGCCACCGCCGCCGCTCGCTGTTGGTGCTGGCGTACACGTAGTAGGCGATTTGTTTGTTTGTGTAAAACATAAACCCGTTGGCTTCGCCGCTCCATGGACTGACTTTCTCCAGATGCACCTCGCCCAGCTTCTTCTTCATGCCTTCGTCTGCGTAATAGCTTAGCCGTCCACCGGCTCGCAACACGAAGAACCGCGTCTTCCAGTTCGTCACAACATGGCCTCGCTTTGTGAGGTATCCGCTGGCGAGGATGCCTGAAGGTGCGCTGGAATCCATGCTCGCGGGCAGTGTAGACATGGAGAAGGAAGAGTTTGACGAGTTCAACGATGAATCTGCCAACGAGTCGACAGTGGACCCCGTGTTGGAGATGATGGGCGGGGGATGCGATGCCACGAACGAGTGACTACTCGGTGCCTTGTCGCCGAACCCGAAGAAGGCAAAGCTGCGTCGGGAACTGGTGCTTTTCGGGAGGGGATTCGACGGCGGTGCATTGTTCGCGCCGGCCAGCGACGGAGCCGAACTAGGGCCCATGCTCATGGAGTTGGGGGGCAATGCGGAATGGCGGCGCGGCGGCACACCTGTGGATGGACTCGGCTGGGTGGTTACATCTGTAGGTCGAGCTGAGAAGCTCTGATGGACAGACGCACGACGGTACTCATCCAGGGACGAAGGGGACGTGACAGATTTAGGCGGAAGGTTGTCTCCCATGATGGACTCGGCCGAGGTGTGGATCTGTGCCCCAATGTGATGGCAACCAAGGTGAGACTGAGAGTTTGGTTTTTTATTAAATTCCCACTTGCACTTTGTATGGGTGAGTGGAAGTGACTACAGTTGGTTGTTATTGCCAGTATTTAAAGAGCAGTTTTTAAAGGATACTTTTGGACGCGTTTGTTCTATACAAGGTAGGGAACGTCTTGAAAAAGATATAAACCTGGCCAAAAACAAGCAGCAGCCTCAGATGATCGATCTCTCATGCATATGTAAGCCACCGTGTAAACTGTACCTAGCGTTGCTGATGATTTCCGTGGGATGACATTGTTTTTTCTGACGTAACGTTAGTATCGAAATGAAAATAACCGCACGACAACTGTGAAACGTCGTACGTTTTAGTTTTTTTTGGTTTTTTATTCCGTCAAACCCGTCGGAAATTCCACTAACTAACTAACTTGTGCACATACAGGAGCAGCCCATCTCCTGCATATATTGCTGTACTATAGTGTGTAGTCGTACTACGTAGTATACACATCACCACCATGAAGTTGTGGCCATTTTCAAAGGCCTCCCGCCAACGTACCACCAATGAATTGGTGCAGTCAATTGACTGTGCCAGGTCTGAAAATACAGTGTAACGTTAACAATATTGAAACAGTATGAGACCTGTTAACTTGTTGATTCGGATTGGATATTAAAATGGAGGATTTCGCGCCTGTGATTGGTGGATTTTATGGTCGCAATTACTCACTCTCCATGTATTAATCATACTTCGAAATACGTCGAACAAAACAACTGAGATGAAACATTCGCTCTCTCCCGTGAGGATTAAAAATGTAGGTCTAGCATACAAATCTTACGTAGATGGCCAGTTTATGGTGCATTTGAACGAGACTTCGTCGTACCAGAATGCAGCTTACTCGCCTCTTATTAGGAACGGGATTTCAATTCTCAAAAGTGCTGCTGCATGAAGCCGAAAGGTTGGGCATTATTCTGGTTATTTAATCGGCTCAAATGGACTTCAGCTTACGTTCATGTACTTCGATTTCCACTCATGTCAAGGCAAAATAGGAGGGACGGTTTATGGTGCACGGTTTAAGCTTAAAATATGTATGCGAAGGTTTTGCTTATTTTTTGGCGATTTCATTTTTCTAGTGATTGGATTGGCTATTCCAAAACTCAAGCTATTCCATTGGCCAATTTGAGTGCATCTTAAACCGTCCCGTGCACCATAAACTGGCCATCTACGTAATAGTATTACAGTACTGTTATAGTACTTACTTACTGTACATTGATATTTCAACCAGTGTGACACGCACATTCAGCGCGCGATCGTCGGCAAGTCAGCACATGAGCTCCACGACTCCGATTGCTACAGTCTTCCCCGTGGATACGTTTACATCATACTGCAACTACGATGCCCCACTCATGTTTCCGGGATGCGTGGCGCGTGCAGGTTCCAAATGGAGCGCCTGGATCGACGTGGCGTCTGGAAAGAAAGTGTCCGAGGTTGGTCCAGCCGACGCCACTCGGGGGCGGCAGTTTTATGCGTATCCTCCGTCGAACTATACGTTTGAGTTCCTTGACAGCATGACGTCCGAAGCTCTGACCATGTACGTTGTCATTCCGTCCGCCGTAGTATCGTGGCGACTAATATATGACGGATCCGACGCAGTGACATGGCTGGTCATGGCATCAAAGTACTGGGCAACATGAACTCCCAGAACGCAAGTTCCGCCGGCACCCAACCCCTCAAAGTCAAATCTTTGTACGTCTGCCATCCCACATCGTCCCCATCCTCGTTGTTGTCACAGGAACCTGTCCAACAACCTCCTCACGGCCATCCCTCGCTCCGTCGTGTTTGGCCAGGACTTGCAAAACCTGTCAGTTCCATATCTCCTTCCACCATATACATCCTCACCATGTCCATGTAGCACGCTCGCGAACAACAAGATCGCAATCGTCGAGGCCATCTCGTCCCCATCGTTGCGACTCCTGTACATCCTCCCCTCTCCTCCATGTGCTTCTACCAACCCGCGGCTCTTCCATCCACTAGGAACCTCAGCAACAACGTGCTCGCGTCATTAAAAGCGAACGACTCGTCCGTGTTCCCCACCTCGCTCACGTCGCTGGACCTGTCGGGCAACCCGCTCGTGGACTTGGGCTATGTGCTGCTGCCGCCAAACCTGGCGGAACTGTACTTGGATCGCATATCCACCCTCCAGAACATCCACCACGTCGACTTGACATCATTGCGGCTGCTGTCTCTGCGAGGCACGACCGTGAAAACCCAATGGCTCGTGACCGAAGTGCACTTTAACAAGCTCCTGGCCCGCACCAACGACAAGACACTGACCATCGTCACTTCGGACTCGACCAAGTTCGAAACCAACGACTGCGACAACCCCCAGACTCTGCCCGCGCTGCCAGCGCCCGTCGAGGTCTGCGTCGATGGCCCCTCTGGTACACAAACAATATATAAATTTCTACTTTCCCCAATCTGTTCGTAGACGATTCAGACAACACTTTCATCTACATCGCGGTGACGGGCGTCGTGTCGGCCGTGGTGGCGGTGGTCGGGTACTTGTTCCTCCGGAAATATGCCCAGCGCCGCGCCGCCGCCAAACGCGCGGCAACCCCCGGCGTGTCGTTTTCAGTGTTTGTCAATCACAGCACCCGCCCGCTGCCGCCGTCGTTGGCGAACCATCCGACGACGAAACCGGGCGGAGGCCGTCCGCGGGACCCGACACTGCTCGCGTCCGCCGAGCATAAGTATGACGTGCGGTTCGATCCGGCGATGCAGCAGTTCCGCATCGACCACCGGTCGATCGTGTTGGACGGGGTGCTCGCGTCGGGGGGGTTTGGGGTCGTGCACAAAGCGACCTACCAGGGCGACGTGGTCGCGGTCAAGCAGCTGCTGCCGTCCATCGACGGTAACTCGGACGCTGTGACTGACTTTATGGAAGAGATCCGCCTCTGTTCGATGCTCGACCACCCGCACATCGTCCGCTTTATCGGGTACGTTGTGTGAACCTCGTCAACATATTGTGTTTCTTTTACCCAAAATGTGGTTGCCTTGTACTCGACCAATGTATCGATCGATTCATTGTACTGTGAATTTTGAAACATCCCGATGTATTCACACTAATATTTGTTAAGCCACACACTAATTCAATGTTGATGATGGTTTGATCTGATTGGCTAAAAATTTGTGCTGATTCTTTTGTGCATAACAAGTTGAGAGAAACCGGCGATATGGATGTGTAGGGTGACGTGGACGACGCTCAAAGACGTGGGGGCGGTGATGGAGTTCATGCCGAACGGCGATCTGGCCAATTTGGTCCGGTCCGCCCACAACCATGTCAACCTCGTGTGGTCGTTGGGTGAAGATTCGAGTTTGGGGTCGGGTGCTGTGTCCAAGCTGCAGATTCTGTGGGACGTGGTGGCTGGCCTCGACTATCTCCACGGGTTTCACGTCATCCACCGCGACTTGAAGGCCAAGAACGTGCTGCTGGGCGCGCTGTACCAGGCCAAACTGAGCGACTTTGGCACGAGTCGCAGCACCGTGAGCGACGCCACCATGACCGCCGAGGTCGCCCAATATATATATGTATATATATATATCATAATGTGGCTGGTGTAGGTTGGCACGATTGCGTGGATTGCGCCAGAGGTGCTCAAGGGCAGCAAGTACGCCGTGAGCGCCGACATGTACTCATTTGGGGTGTTGCTCTCGGAAGTGGACACGGGTATCAGTCCGTACAGCCACCTCGTCACGAACGGCGGGTCGCAACTGCCCAAACCTATGATTGCCATGAAGGTACTAACCCTCAACTATTGATATGAATCCACTTGATTCATGGGGTATGGATGCATATGAATGTACGTTGTAGGTCATGGACGGAGAGCTGAGACCGACGTTTTCACCGCAGTGCCCTGCCCAAGTGCTAGCGATTGCGAACCGATGCTTACTCCATGACCCAGCGGAGCGGCCGACGGCGGCCGAAGTGGCGCGCCTCCTGGGGGCCATGGTGCGTTCCCAAACGTACTCTATGTAGAGAGTATTGCTTGCAGTCGTGTTAATATATATATATGTTGGTGTAAATCGTGTGTGGAAGGCCTCCTGGTCACATGGGCCATCGTCTGTCTGTTCAGACACGATTAGGTTGTTAGGAGCTGAATTGGAGTGTTGTTCATCTCCCGTCTACAAGAATGATGTCACGAAGAGTGGCATAAATTGGCCGTTTTTCCAAGAAAAGTTGGCAAATTCGAAATATTTCATTTTTCGAGATTTCGTGCGTCTGGATGCCACCAAAGTTCAAACATTTATGCCATACTTTTCTTGAGAATCGGGTGTTTTATGGCATACCATCGTAAAAAATGGACCGATTTGGTCCAACTTTGTTATGGAGGTTTGTGTTCACGTCAATCGGAAATCGAATAATTTCCCACAATTCAATTGGCATCCAGACAGCTTTGTAGATATAGTAACGTTATATAGCGTTATATAGCATATATTGTGCTTTTGAGTGAATTTCGTGTTGTGGCGTGGTTTCTAGCTCAAAATTATCAGCCAATCAAAACCTTCTAAATGAAATTCAACCAATCAGATCGATTGTGGATTGGTTTGGTTGGCGCGATTCGATTGCACCCCCCTCCCCAAATTTGTATCAAATCGACAATAGTTAACGTTACTAGTACTTCGTTTCTCCTTTTTTTCATAGGATATGAGACTATTATATGGCATAATTTTATGATGTGGCATGCAGACCAGCCCTAAGCATGCATGCTGGTACATCACACGAGCTTCCCTGTATAGCTAACTTAGCTAGCTCTCCACGTAGTTTAAGGCCATGCAAGGTCCCGAACGTTCGAAGGACTCCGAGCGATCTCCATGGTCTTTCGCAACTGCAGTATAACTTGCCTGCGGTCGCCCCAGCATTTTACTACCGGTAGTAACAGTTATCAGCTGTACTTTGCTTTTGGATACTCTGTGGGTGCACATTGCTGTTAGAGGAATTATTAATATCAATAACGCTATTATAATACCTCTCCAAGTACTTTTACCCTTATAACGGTGTATGTCGGATAGATATCCCTTTTTTCACAATGGAGCAACACTTATACCTAGTATATATCTGGATATCCGGATAATGCCACCTGTGTCGGGTATTTAGTGGGGCAGTGATTGCCGCCTTCGTGGGTCATCCACGGATTCGTCAATTGCATTGCACGTCAGAAGCAAAGTCTAAATCTTGCACGCAAACGACAATGGCTGCAGACCGCCTTCTTCGCGTCGTCGCGGCCTTGGCTTGCGCCATGGTCATGGCTTCTGCCTTCAAGTACGACAATGTGACCCACACTCTTCAAGAACCTCTCAGCTTCTTGCACCCCGATCTCCATGGCTCACCGTTTCCGACGGGAGCGTTCTGGACCAACTTTGTGCTCGGCCAACGCAACGAAGTGGTCGTAACGTATCCGTACACTGTGAAGCTCGTGCACGACCAACTACACATCAGCTACCCGTTCCGAGTGGTCACGGCCAAGAGCATCATCCAGGGCTTCACTCCCGAGATTGTCGTGCAACTGGGGCCGCAACCCCTTCAAATCCGCCGCTTTGACGACTTGAGTGTCACGATTGCCTTCCCGCAAGCCACCGGCGGTACCATTATCCTCCATCTCGTGCGTGGATCGCCGTACATGACGCTGGAATACCAAGACGCAACACCCGCGATTTCTTCGGCGGCGAACATTCTCTCCGTGGCTGCATCATCACCCACATCCCCTTACTCCCAAGTGACTCTTGGCAACTGGCATCAATGGCTTCTCTTCACGTCCACCCCCTTCGCATGGACGCAACACGAACACACATGGAGCGGTCCGCGTCGATTCAACGGCATCGTGCGCATTGCGTTAGCCTTGCACGAGAACGCCAAGTCCATTTTAGCCGCGCATGCTGCTGTGTACCCCACCGGCGCTTCCATTTCGTACGACTTGCAATCCGGTTCGAACGTGACAGACTTGACGTTTGCGTGGACCACTACGTCGACGAACGCATCCGTTTCTACCTCGGCCTTGCTCATGGTGGCCCTTCCCCATCACACCCAAACGTTCGTCCCAGCGACGGCGACAGTTCCCGAGGTACTGTGAATATGCACTCTGCCACCATGTTAACCGAATCCAATATCGCAAACATAGATTCAATACACGAGCATGCGGGGGCCCGTCACAGGAGTCGTTGGGAGCACATGGCACATGCAAGAACCCATCGCGGACGTGCCGTGGGACTACCCCCAGGACCAAGGTATAGATAGATATTTAGATAGATATTGTGCTTTCGAGTGAAATTTCGTGTTGTGGTTTCTCGTTGGAGTTTAAATCGATTTGATTGGCTACCTCAGATGAGCTCAAAATTATTAGCCAATCAAAAACCATTTCTCAATGAAATTCAACAAATCAGATCGATTGTGGATCGGTTTGCGCGATTCCCTCCCCAAATTTGTATCAAATCGACAATATATGCCCTGTATACACTGTATATAGTATCTAGTCTATGCTCTAATGGCAATCTTGTCAAGGGGTATTTGCCACGCCCTACTCGCGCGCGTACAACGCCACCATCGACTTCATCTCGTCCGCGTTGAACAAAGATATTGACCGGTTCCCAGCATTCGCAGAAGACTCGTACAATTTCGGCAAACAATTTGGCCGCGAAGCACGTCTCGTGCTCACTGCCCATCGGTTCAACCACACGAATGTGTTTGCCAAAGGGCTAGCGAAACTGCAAAGTCAGATCTTGTCGTGGCTGCAGGGCACGAACGTTGACCATTTCGTGTACGACACGGCGTACGGCGGGCTCATCACAATCCATGGCTTTCGCTCGGACGGAGAAGACTATGGCAACGGCAACTACAACGACCACCACGTACGTTTTAGCTCTTTCACTTTGGTTCGTCGTTTCATAGTGAGTAGTTTCATTACGGGTACTTTCTGTACGGTCTGGCCGTGATTCGGCGGTTCAACGCATCGTTTGCAGACGAACACAAAGACGCCATCGTGTACATCTTGAGTGACATGGGGGCCCCCCTTGGAAATGCCTCGACGTCGTTCCTAAAGAACTTTCCGCAGCGTGAGCTATTTCCCACCGCACGCCATAAGGACTGGTTCGTCGGGCATTCGTACGCGAGCGGACTGTTTCCGCAGGCAAATGGCAAGTCTCAAGAAAGCAGCAGCGAGGCCGTCAACGCGTACTACGCACTCGCACTGTTTACGTCGTTGGATCCCGACGATCGTTCGTACTTTGAGTACGCGCGGCTGCTGCTGGCCATGGAGATTCGGTCCACGCAATTGTACTGGCACATCCCTGCGGCTCAGTCGCCGCCCATCTACGAGCCCGCGTTTGCCGCCAACAAGATGGTCGGCGTGGTGAGTGAGATGGACGTGGTCTACTCGACCTGGTTTGGCGACAGACCCGCGTTTATCCATGGCATTCAAGTAATTCCTGTGACCCCCATCACCGCGTCCTTGCTTCCGTACGTCATATATATATATATATATTGGAGATTCGGTACGAATTTCCGGACCCCGTTCCATCGAATCTCGCCGACCTTTGAAGCGGGCATCAATCTCTCCCATTGGTTAATCCGACATTACTTGTCTCTGATTGGCTGCAATCCATTCTTGATTTATTCTACTACCTGAAAGGGCGATGTGGATATAAAATATATTAGGCAATCACATATCTCGACTCTATTTGGCCTCGATTGTGTTAACAAACCTGGAAAATTGGGAAATTTGAACACAATCGACAATATACATATATATATATACATGCGCGCTTTGGATATTGAACATGTTTGCTTCTAGAGTGACATTTGTAGCCGACGAGCGAAGCGTGCTGGATGCGCTGCCGGTACGCACCAACCCAAGTGACATTTGGTCGTCCGTGCTATCTCTGGACAATGCGATCGTCGACGCCGCCACCGAATGGACATCCCTTCAAACCACCGCGTACAACTACGACACGTGGAGCTCGGCCGCCAACGCCATGCACTGGATCGCATCACGCCCGAACTTTGGCACGGCGGTGGTGCCTCCCCCGACCACTGCTTCCCCCGCCTCATGCTTCGGGTACCCGGCGTGTGCCGTGGCGGGGGCGTTCGGGGGCAGTTTGGACTGCTGCCACACACTCCCTGGCTGCTGTCCAAGCGACAATTCTTGCTGCACCAGCGACGTCGATCCGTCGGCGGCATCCCCTTCGTCGTGTCACGCCCAGCCTGCATGTGGGGTCCTTGGCTTGAGCTGCTGCGAGTCACCGGACGGCTGCTGTACCCCATCGCCCGTCACTGGTCTGGTTCTGGGCTGTTGCAAAGCACTGTCGCCGCCACACGACGCCGCCACCTCAACGACGTTGGACAACACCACCACCACCCCCGCGCAGTGCCACGGACAGCCGAAATGCGCGGCCGCGGGGCTTGCATGCTGCGACTCCCCCCTCGGGTGCTGCCAGCCCACCGCGTCGGGCCAAATTCTGGGATGTTGTGACCTTCCGTCCCCCTCTCCGGATGCAACGAAGGCTACCTGCCACAACGAACCTCTGTGCGGTCGGTTGGGCTTGGAATGCTGCGGCGCGCCTGACGGATGCTGCCACGATGCCCCAGGGCAACCTCAGCTAGAGTGCTGCTCGCCGCCATACACGAAGAATGAAACTCCTGGAAAGGTCGTGGTCGGTGACTCTGCGTCGACATGCGACCTCAACCCCCGCTGCTGGACGGCCGGCCCGAATGGAGCGGCACTGGCGTGCTGCACTGACGACACGGCGGGCTGCTGCCCTGGCCACGCTTGCTGTAATGCGACCACTGGATGGACATTCGATCGGATCCTGCTGGTCGTGCTGGGGGTGCTGGCGGTGCTTGGGGTGGTCTACTGCAGCGTGCTGTACTTGCGCCGCAAGGATTACCGACCGCTGGAGCGAGACATTCGCGCGTGGTACTGCGGCGTGTTTATGGTCGTCATGCTCGGGGTGTTTTTCTACTTGGCGTTTACTGTGCAAAACTAGGCCCTTAACTATTAATGAACGCGAACCAATGTACGTGATAAGACGACGACGACGACAGCTGAACCTGACCATGTGGTGTGGGGGAGGTTCGTTGAGCCGTGGCATCATCGCTGGACTGATCTGTGGCGAAGGGAGATATATGTCAACGTGATCGTGGGTTCGAGAGATGGATGATGTCATATTAACTAACTGACGCAGTACGAAATGTTGCGCTCTTCGAGGAACTTTTTGATGCTGTCGTTGAGTTCGCCCGTGACGGCAACCGCGTAAATCCCCGGCACGAACTTGCCAATGCGTCGCCACTTGGCGACCCAGCTTTCCTTGGGCTGCATCATGGCAATCATCCCTTCGAAGTAGGCAGTCGTGCAGTCTGTCACTCGCGTGCGGTTGTCTTGCATGTTCAGAAACCCGCAGTTGTCGCATCCCGACTCATAGAACTGACTGTACGTCTTGACGAGGGAGCAGATCATGCACGCGCGCAGTTCACGGAACGTCGTCGGGATCTCCGCATGAACCACGCCTTGTTCCACGTCGTCGTCGTCTTCGTCGCCGCGCATAGTGTCTCCGGTCAAATTGGTACGAATGGGAACCACTGTATATCCGGCTATCCGGATAAAATTTACGAAATGCCAACCGACGTGAAACCTGCATGCCGATAGCCGACTTGGAGCGCGACTCGGTGTCCTCCGAAGACCTGTCGCCGGAGGATCTGCGGCGCCTTGTGTTCCCTAAGGACTGGACACTGTACGACCGTTTTGCATGTGCGGTGTCTCAGCAAGCTTTCCGCGGCTGGGTGAAACAACCATCGCCATCGTGCGCCGCCGCAGCCCTAGGTATCGCTGATTACTGTAGCCACTGTGCGATATCTTTACGTATCGCGTTGTAGCTGGCGCATTAAACACAGTGTATGGCTATGCTCGCACATTGCCTGAAGCGTATACGACCATGGACATATTATCTGTGTATCGAACGCAATTCGAAGACATTTTGGCTCGTCACCGGAGCGAGATTTCCACGGCACTCGGCGAGGCATGTTTAGCCTCGTTGGAGGTAGCCATGCAGTCTGGATTGCAAGCACAGGGACTTCAATATGGAGTACGTTCCTCATGAAGTCTTAACAACTCATGGCGTGTCCAGGGCGTTGGCGATCACAAAGTCACCAAGGCCGTTCTGCGGCGGTGTCTTCGGGATTGTCTACCACTCCTAACTTCGTCCGATGAGGTTGAACTTGAAGCGAATATGCAGGAGACCAACGATGAATCATCGATCACGCCTCTCAACGTCGAAGTCGTGGTGATCGATGATTACGAAGTAGACGACGACGACAGCGCTGTAAGCTCCATGCTGCCATCCACCATCAGTAGTTCTCTGTTTGCGTCAATGTTGTTGTACTTTCACCGCAAGGACGGAGCTGCAAAACTCTGTCGAGACGACAGACCCAGCACGGCCGTTTGTGGCAATGTCGCGTTGCTGAATGCCGCCTTGTACGTTCACAGCACCAGCGTCGATACGAGTGGTAGCCGTCGCATCCCACGGCTTGGGGCGACCTGTTTGATGGGAAAAGCCACGACCAAGTGCAAACTGCACATTGCCCTTTCCTCCACGGACTCGGCAGACAAGCAAACCCGCGACTGGAAACTCCTATGGAGTGCGTTTACGGACGATCACACTGGTAGTATGATACTATATCGCTGATGAAGGGAGGTAGATGGTGATAACAGTGATAGCCTTGGTGGTCCATCTCAAGAACCACTACGCGTTGCTGTTTGCGTTGCGCGAGTGGAAAGATTCGTCGACACAGGAATGGACGAGGCAACTCCTTACAGCGCGTCGGTGCCAACGACCCACTGCATGGATAGATTGGAGTGAGCTGCGGCAGATTTTTCTGGCATGGGTAGGGTACAAGGTCTTATCATTTGTGGTTACACCGTGAAGTACTGCATAATTCTACTCAATTGGCTCATTTACCCATATCCAAGGATGCTTCCAAACATTGCGGAGGCATCTGCTTTCCCTGTAAGGGGTTATATTAGCTTTAAAAATTAACGTAGCTCATTCTACGCTAGCTTGAGTTTTTGTATAGGACAAGCATTCGTTTACCATTCAGCATTAAGTAAATTCAAGTGAAGAAATACCGAGCATTATTATTGTATTTCGACTGCAACTTTACCAGAGAAAGGGGTTTCTTTACATGCAACTCGCCTGAGAGCAGGACTGTGAAGTTCAGGCGATGGAATTGGCGGCATACATGTATTCAACTCAATACGAATAGATTAAAAAGAGAATAACGTTAGCAGAATCCGACAAAGGGTTAAAAAGTTACCCTCCCGATAGCCCAAACGGACGGTATGGTACACGTCATTTATAAATATTTTTCGATGTAACGTAAAAAACCAATTTAAGATAACTTTTTTGGAGGCGTCGGAGTAGAATGGACATAACTTTTGAGTCCGTTATGATATTTGAGTTTTGAATAATGATTCCAATAGACAAGACGCGCCTCTCTGACTTCATAATCGAACTATCAGTTTAGGAGATGAACTTCACAGGTAAATTTGTTACTTTCTACTTCGAAGTAAGCATTTGTACTCACATTTTGATAACCAATTTAGGATAACTTTTTTTATCTTAAAGTATGTGTCTGAGCATTGAAATTCTGTGTTTAGGGTAAGCGGTTACAACAGGTTGCATATAATTTATACAAGTGTACTGTTTTATAGAGTTCAATTTCTGTTGTGGATGGATGTCCACCGAGTTTAACACTCGACAAAACCTCAGATCCAACCCAATGTGGCCCGTGTCGACTAGGGAACTTCAAACCCAATCTTGAATGACTATTACCAATGGCGTATACGCCGTTTTTGCATTTTATTCACGTGACGGAATGGCCAGCATTATATGATAGAGGTTTTGACTCGAACAAATAACGAGGTGTGATTGGGCAATACAAAGTTATCCTAAATTGGTTAAGTAATCTTAAATTGGTTTTTTACGTTAGTATTCATTCAACAACTTCATCGAACAATTCATCTACGTCGACAGAGCTGGTCTCGGATGATTGTTCGTCTGTTTCCTTGATGAATTTGTGTCAATAGGGAGATTTCGCAACTCTTGTCTTTCCCATTCCCATAACTCCATCTATGGGAAGTGGAGTGGGAAAGTAGTTTCGGCCATTTCGCAAATCCTATTTATATACAGCCGTGAAACACCACTCAGTTCACTGTCCTTGCTCGATGGATAACACGGACTACACATTAGCTCTTTTCTTGGTCAAGTGGGCCAAGAGAAAGAAACTCAGCCCCAAGCTTGCAATGGCACTCTATGAGTATGCCCTTGGCATACCGATTGAGCGACCACTCATTCCAGACGTGAGGTTCGATTTGAACATGCGCGATGCCGATGCTCTGCTGTCTTTCAGGTTTGACGTTGGTGGTGTGCTGGAACTGACCTGTTTGCTGGGGATTCCCAATATCATCGTAACGAGCTGCCGCGACCGTATTGTTGGTGTGGAAGCCATGTGTACCTTGCTCCGTCGTCTACGTTACCCTGTGACATACTACATGTGTGTGATAATGTATGGCGGTGTGTAGTAAACGAGTCGGATCTACGGGGCTGTACAAACGATTCAGCAAGTCCTACAAAGAGGTGCGTAGGGTGTCGTGCGTGCTCTCTTAGTCCTCACATCGTCCTCTTTCTTCGTAGTTCGTGCACACACGTTTTCCGCGTCAACCATCACGCCTTGATATTGACATTTGGGAGGTCCAGAGAGCAGTTGTATCGAGTGTTCAACTATATTGTCAGTTTTGTCTATGGTCAATGGAGTCAAACGATTTACTGCAACACCTGAATTGTTCGCACCCGTATTGCTCAGTATGCTGCTGCAGTCCATGCAAAAGGGGCCCCGTTGACTCACGTCCCCGATGGAACGAAACTCGAGTCGTGCCGTATCAGTGCCACATCTGCTGGGGCTGTTGGACAGAATATGCAAAAACGCATCTACTCGGGTCACAAAAGAAAACACTGCCTGAACTATCAAGGCCTCACCACACCCGATGGCTTGTGTATTCATTTTTTGGTCCTTTGGAACGCGCCCGCCACGATGTGACCTTGCTCCGGGTCAGCAAGCTGCAAGATTTTTTTGAAAACAACTCCGACATTTTCAACGGATACTACATTTATGGTGATCCAGCATACCCCATCTCCAAGTGGATTATTTCTGGGTTCCGCGGAGCGAATTTGTCTGAGGAAAAAGAACTATTGAACGCCGTGTCAGACAGGGAGTCGAATGGAATTTTGGACGTCTGAAGACGTTGTGGGGATTTATTACCTTCAAAATGCAACAAAAGATCATGCTGTCAAACGTTGGCACAATGGTGCTGGTGGCAATGTTCTTGACAAACTGCAACTGCTGCTACAATGGAGGAAATCAAATCTCAACATACTTCAACTTGCCGCCGCCGACACTAAAAGAGTATTTGACGAAGGAATAAAATCAAAAGAAAATATACTGTTGGACAAGATTGTAATATTATTTCTTGCTTTCTGCAAAGGCTTTAAACATGCCTAACATCTTTTCGTTGTCAATTCACGCCATTAGAATTTGGTGTTCACGCTCCACTTGTCTTTCTACGCGATCCAGTTCTCGCTGTTTAATCTCCGAATCGAGTTTAAACTGTTGGAATGACAGCTCTTTTTCCCTGTAACGGTAGCGAGCTTCACAGAGTAAATTGGAAAGTGATTAGATTGTCGTCTTAAACTACTAACTACGAAAATTTATACTATACTAAACTACATGAAGTAAATGTTCTTTCTCTACGGCTTCTTCAACGGCCTTGCCCGCTAATGGTGCGACAATCTTTAGCTTGTTCGACAGTCTTGCCATCGTTCTCTTAACGATGCGACAAGCTGTATTCTTGGTCGGCAACCTTGCCATCATTACATTCCCGCACCACCAACTCACGCTCGCTCTCAACCTCGATGGCGGCCGCTAAGCTGTTTCGACGATTGTCGAGGGCTGGTTTCTTCTTCTGCTCGTCACCATCGTTGTCGTTGGGTCGCTTCATTGTGCGAATGGCCATGTCCCACACAATTAGGGCTCCTTGTTCCGCCTTCTCTTTTTCGACCACGCTGTTGCTCGTCTTCTGCGATGTGATTTCTTTCACATCGTCGAGGAGAGCAACAATATCGTCGAGAAGGATGTGCTTCTCCGTTTAGAGCTTCTCCGAGGCCTTGTCGAAACGACGTGCTCTTCGACAAGTGCAGAAGATCGGTTCTGCACCTTTCGGCCATCCACCACCCGGGTGA